ACACCTCTCCTGTTCCCTCGGGGTCTTTTGGAATCCAGGCAGAGCAATCTGTGTATGCCTCGCATGATCCTGAGTTTCGTGAGTTTCACATAAAGCATCCAACTTAGTTCAGGCCCAACAGTCTGTGGACTCTCCCCATGGCGCCCCTGCGCCAAGATTCCCTAAATTTTAACCACGGTTAACCATAGCGACCTGCAAACAAACCAGCAGTTTGGGCAAACCTGGACAAAGCGCGACTGAACAACCCCAAATTTCTTGAGCGGAGGGGCCAGCGCGCGCGCCCCGGTGGCTTCCTTTGCAGCCTTCTGCGCCACTGCTTTGAGTGCCTCCTCGGTGAAGCGGAGCCTTAGTCCAAAAAGCGGCTCCGAAGATCGGTGAGTGACTCTGTGTGCTCTTGGCGGGGGGTGGCTGGGAGGTTCATCTAAAGTTAATGACTACGTTAATGACTACGTTAATGTCTACGTTAATGTCTAAAGATCTTTTTACCTGCGTTTATGTCTAAAGATCCAACATGCCATGAAGAAAAATGGTCGGTGTGCTTTTGTCGACCTTCAATGACAAACCAACAGTGGGTCCACTTTAAGAACCCCTCATAAGCCCTGCAAAAGATCCAGCCCAATACTTCACACTGTATGAAACATGATTAGACTTAGGCCCAGTTATAGAATGTATATTCTATTGTTTGCTTCCCTTTGAGCCTGGACAAAACCAAATATGTCCAGTAGTGAAATCGATTCCCTCAAAGCCAGCAGGCGAAATTGACATATGAGTTTCTGATTTGCAATGCAAAAGCACTCTGGACATATCAGAACAATCTTCTATTTCAGTCTTTTTCCTTGATTGTTTTTCTCGCGTGCCTTCCAAGTCAAAGGCTTCATCTAAAACCCGTGAGAACTTCTGCGCAGCTGAAAGGCTCAATGCCGTAGCGTCGGAAGTCATCCACCAGCTGTGCCGTCGCCTTGGAGCGCTAGAGGTATCCCCGGAAAAGGTCCCCCCCCAATTCTTCCATTTGCTTACGCCCCCTGGAAAAAAAAGTCCAGTAGTGATAGCTTCCCTTTAAAACCAAGAGATGAAAACAAAACAAATACTCCTAAGCAACTGGAAGAATTCCATCGCCGTACTCCCCACAGGGAACATGGAAATATGGACAGGCTTGCACCTCTCAGGCACACAAACCTATGGGTCTCCTGAGACCTGCAAGCCAAATACGCAACAATGGACCCATCGATTTGGAATTCCAGGGGTCACCCTAAACCCAATTCCATATTTGAGGGGGCGGGGATCTGGAAGTGAAAACGTCATAGGCCGGTTGGCGGTGTCACGGTGTCACGCACGCGCTCCATGCTGCCGGGGTGGCTCCTTCTTCTGCTTTCCTTAGATGCGTGAAGCCTGATCTGTCATTCTCCCCGCCCGGATCCAACGTGTCGAAGAATCTACTGAACTGTCCAAAGTGGCGTCCAGCAAAACAGGTGCACAGGCCGGTCGTCTTTCTCTGCATGCAAAGAAACCACAGACGTGTCCCATGGTTGTAAAGGGCCGAAACCCCAAGAGCCCCCAACGAAGTAACACTGTACATGGCCCAATCTCTCCCTACACCCCACTTCCCTTCCGGCCCGGACCTCCGGCCACTTTTGAGGAGACAAGGGGCAAGCCCCTTTCATCAAACAAAACCAGTCTATTTTTAGTAGGGGAACCCTCCCCCAAAAAAGGGTAAAGCTTGCACTACTGGGGGACCTAGACACCCTTAATGGAACACAGGGCACCGGTGGAAAATACCGGAGAGCATACCCTGCCAAGCTGCGTAAGAACCTGGAAGAGGTCATCTTCGGACAAGGCTTGCAGCGCAACACGCACCGGCAGCCGCCCCACGAACTCCCGCTCCATGCCGGCCTTCACCAGCTCCTCCTTATCCCAAGCTGCAGCTTCCATTTGCGTTTTCGCCCCCTTGAGGCAATGGTATGGAGTAATGGTTACTCGGACAGTATAAGACCTGACCGCACAACCAAAGTTGGGTGGGTTCAAAAACGTGCGGTGCTTTAGCCCCCTGGGAAAATGAGAACATGATTCCAGAAATGAAATCGATTCCCTTCAACAAGGAAAAGAACACATGTTCTCAAGCAAATGGACGTTATCCAACGGCTCCCCGGGCATTTTTGGTCCGAACAACGCAGGTTGACCAAGGCGCTTTGCAAGACATGGTCAAGGCCCTCTCAGCAGTTATGAAGCATGAGACCTTCAGTTTGAGCATTCAGGTCGCCATTGGCTTTGCTTGCTTGCAATGCCGTGAACCAGAGCTTGCTGAAACCGCACAGCGCAGCGCTGAAAAATGCTTGCCAAGGATCTGTATCTGCCTCGGACAATCGACATCTCTAGCACACTGGGTGCTCCAGAAGCAAAACACACTGAACTCCCTTTCAGTTTCAGTTTCTTTGCGCAAACCTCTGGCAGCTGAACACTTCTCTGCATGTTGCCAAAGGCTTTCTCAGGCGCGAGAGCCTAAGGCTTCACCGGCTCAGGTCTACCAAGCAGAAAGGTCAGCGGAGTAAATCGGATCAGTTCCCTCGTCTACTTCCCTAGCCAACTCCCTGCGCCTTATGCAGCATGGACTTCACCTCCTCCGACTTCTCGCTGGCATCGCGCGTGAAGCCGAAGCCCTTGGCATTGCGCATGTGCTCCTCGACGAGTGACTCGTCTCAACAACCACCGGATTGCGCCAAAAATGGAGTCGCCACATATGCAAATCCGGCAGAGACTCGGCCACGTTGATATCCTGAATTCTGAGCGTGTCAGACTTTGTGGGAAATGCGTGGCTTTTTCCTTCAGGCATGTCTGCGATACCAATTCTCTTATAAACCTGGCAAAACTGACGCCATGGCACTCTGCTGGTGGCTCGTTGTAATTCATCTTGGGCCCGGCATGGAATGGCACCCAGTGTTCCCTTCTTGTCGGTGATTCGAATTCATGGAGGCCTGTCATCGGGTCTGCCATCTCTCAATTTCTTCTCTTTTGGCCGAGCCTCCCTGACTTGTTTTCGGGGACACCACAAGCAAACGCTCCAACCCGCAAAGGGGGAGAGTTCCCCTGTTTGATTGTTGGGTCTTCTTTGTTTCTGTGTTTGATTGTTTGCTTGCTTGTCCCTTTTTCTTTTCTTTTGTTTGTTGCCTGATCTGGCCTAGTTGCTTGTCTGCTCATTTGTTTGTTGCTTAGTTTTCTATGGGTTGGTTCCAACCATTCTTTTCAACCATCGTTCTTTGTCCGAAAACCGGATTCATTTTCCGCGGGCTTCTGGAGGAGAAAGATTCGGATCCCTGGAAAGAATGGAAATGGAAGGTTCCCCTTCCCCTAGAATAATTGGGAAACCACCACCAAACCACCAAGAGGGAAGCTGAAAGACGCCACGTATTGTTGACCCAGGATTAATAAACCTGTCCCATTATTAAGGAGGTACCCCTAGAAGTTTGGCTTGGCTGGTGCCCTTTCAAGGCTGAAACCGCACTCGCGTCCTCCTTGAGCTTCTCGTCGAGCTGGCTAAAGGCGCCGGAGAAGACAAACAGCACGTGCCTGTAGCCCCGCACCGAGGCAACTGACGACGCCGAAAGTGCCAAGTGGGAAGCGTTGAAGCAGTGGATTCTTCGTGCAACTTCTCTGCGGCAGAAGGAGCACGTTACCTCCATTTGGTTACGACCCCTGGAAAAAAAAACCAAAAAAAAAACACGCAGGGTAGTGATCAATTCATCTTTGGGAACCCTGTGGACACTATGGGGATGTCGCACATCTACCGCTTCGAATTCTATCGGGAGGCCTCCCCTGGTTGAGTTTTGAAGCCTCCCGACTAGGTGCTGCCAATTGGATACTCAAGCTGGTTGCCTCTTCTGGTTCAGACATCCCTTCCGGGGTCAAATGCTTTGGCTCCCTTTCGGAGTGTTCCCAAACGTTTGCAGGCCCCCCTCTTTGCAAGACCATAATATACAAATTCAGCTTCACTCCAATATGTGTTTCGCTACCTTCATGGCTTCGTTTGGAGGTATCAGCTTCCCATTGAGAAGACTTCTGCCTTGCGTAGGCTGCAGTTTGTTGATTCAGGTTTTCGAGGAATTGAACTGCAACTATGCAGAAAACATTGGGTGTTTGACCATTATGCATAAAACCAACGCTGTCCAAATTATCCCGTTCACAGCCAAGCACGAGCCAGAGATGACAAATTGTAGAACAGCCAGAGAAAATACGCGTGACGCAGCTTTCGCCTTTAGCTTGTTTAACCGCCTGTGACCGTTTAGGAGCCGCCAGAATTGCACCCCTCGACTTTCAGCTGGGTCCAAATAGGGCCCAAACAAAAGAAACGCGTTATCAATTCCCTTTTGGTGTCCTTCAAAACTGGGCTGTCCTCAGATCCTCTGCTAAAAGTTTAACTTTTGGACACTAGCCCTAAAAGCCTAAAAAGCTCTCTGGAACCGGACGACTGGGGTTCCCATGAAGAAACTAAACCCAGCCTTGTTGACAGCTTGACGCCCTTGTCTCCTCCGAGGCCGCCGAGAATGCTTCGCGGCCCACCAGAGCCCACAGTGACTTCTGTGTCCTGGCACGACCCCGGATGTACAACTCCTGGGGTCCATTTCGTTTAGACCCCTGGGAAAAAAAATCACGTGATAGATAGATTCTCTTTAAAACCAACAGGGGAAACTAAAACTATTCTTAAGCAAATGGAAGCTAGGGTCCCTGTTTCCTAGGGGCGCCTTTCTTCCTGGGGACTGACAAATACTTGGAGAGGTTGCTGATGAGGGGTCAACACGCACCATGGCTAGAAAAACTGATGCTCCTTTCCTGTGGCAAGGAACGTCTCACGGGTGTGGGCAACAGGGTAATTTGGATCATTTGATAGCCATATTTTGTTCTGAGATACTACTAGCCCACCAGCTGTACAGTCCTTCAAGGGGGAAACATACATTTTTTTGAGATACTACCAGCCCAGCTGCTTGGATAAGCTTGCGCAACTACCATTTAAGGAGAACATACGTATACACAAACTCCACTTCTTCTCACACAACTCCAGCTCTTAGTCCGCGCGCCTCCATCAACTTGAGGAAGGTGCTCTGCGTGGCACGCCTCGATCGAACTCCGAAAATCGGACATTCTGCGCGATGTGTGTGGGCTGTATTGGTCTCAACTTCCCAACTTGTTGGTATTTACAGGGGAATCATCATTCCAGGGTTTCTTAGGCGGTGCGAAATGGATTTCGTCCATCCATTGTTTGGTTTCCAGTTCATTCACTTGCTTCAGTAACCTGTGTCAGTCAGCCTGAAGGAGGAGGTGCGCCCATCTCCTTCTGAGCAGACCTTGTCGATCTCGTCCACGTAAACTATGCCCACCTGGCAAGGATCGCCCCCTTCGCACGTGCGTGAGGGCCACACCTCAACATTCCATCAAGCCTTCCCAGCACCCATCCATGCCCGCAGATTCCAAGAGGCTGTCCAAAAAGCGCGCGAGTTGTGAATGTCATGGAACCGGGTGCTTGTTGGAGGATCTGGACTACACACATCCATCCTCTGTTGGGTTCCGTTTGGGAAAATCGTCACACAAACATGCGTGGGGACCCCTTTGCGGGTTTGTTTGAAGGGGAAAACCGACTGGAACTTCGCAGTCTTGTCTTTCCCTATTTTGCCACACCGCCCCCGTTTAGCGAAGAAGGCGGACGAGCCCAGCGAAGAAGGCGCCTGTGCCAATTCCACATCGCCGTCTGCAGCTTGCAACAGCTCGCCCATGACCTGGGCTGTGGACCCACCGCCACGACTGCAGAGGGCCATAGCCCCAGGTAAGGCCAGAAGGCCAATGGGCCATGGCAGCCAAGAAATATGAACAGTCAAGCAAGAGCAGGGCTGTGGGGAATGACCGCTTCTGTGATACAACAGAAAGGGCTTCCCAAGACTATTTTGATAATAGAAGGGGGATTCCCTTGTATCACACAAGTGGAGAGAAACCCCTTGATCCCACAACCCGGAGCAAGAGCAAAGGGCCCAAAAACCTTCGACAGGTACACCCAGTTTCGGGGTTCTTGAAGCCCAAAATTGCCTATGGGAATCGCACATGCTGGCCTCATCGGCATCGCGGCCCACATACCCCGTCTCCGTGAACTTCGTTGCCTCGTCACACGAATCCATGTCTGAAAGCCCGTCTGGTTCCCTGCGATGGTAAATGTCATGCGGGAGTCAACAGGGGTTTGTGGAAAGAACCGGTTGGGATCTCAGCCTTTCTCCTTTTGAACCCCAACTTGTCGGCTATTGTAGCCGTTGGTAATGTCAACCTCGGATGTGATCCCCCGGAGATGATCGGTTCTCCCTTGCGGAAAACAAAATCGACTGGGGGGCCACCGACCATGGTCCTCCGGATTAATCTGAAGTTAACATCAGAATGGTTTAAGCCTCTTCCCAACTAAACCTGCACGTTTGGGTGTGTTCCTTTTACCTGAGAAGCGTGTGGATCCGTTTGGGTGTATTGTGCCCTCCAAGAGAAACGAAGTGGGCACGGAACCGTTAGAGTTCCATATCCCTGAGTGCTAAGGGGGGGGTGCATATCCATGCCCTCTTGCTTCCTGTGTTTCTTTATGGGCGATTTGACACCGTGCCCCGTTTGGGAGACCGGCCATCTTTCTTGGCAGGAGCTGGGCGAGGGCTGGATCTGGGTGCTGCGTGCTGCCAAGCTCACACTGTGCTTGGGTGTCTTTGAATTGGCGAAACCCTCCCAAGACGATTGTCCTTCCTCAGCTCAGAAGTCAACCGCCCATAAAAGTCCAAACCACTTGGTCTACCGGATCAAATCCGGAAAAAAAAAAAAAAAAAAAAAACCAAACAGTGCGGCCCCTTTTCGGAGCTCGAGTCTTGAGCCAATTCCTTCCTGGAAAATCCACGGGTCCAGGGATCGTTCCGAGAGCTCGCTCTGGGGGCGCTGCGTCCGCCTTGACAAAGGGCACCCCGATCAGATCCTAGGACTTTGGCTCAAGGTTTCGGGCTGCGGGTTGTTTCTTTTTTTTCAGACTGACCCCCATGTTTTTTGTTTGTTTTTCCCCCGGGTTTTCTGTTTTTACAGGGAAGCCACAAGGGAAGCCAAAAGGGAAGACAAAAGGGAAGGCCTTACATGGCCTTGCCTTCAGACCTGCAGGGAAGCCAAAAGGAAAACCGAGGCCACTTTGCAAAACTCTGGACTTTGACTCAAGGTTAGGGGGTGCTCGAGCGTTTTGGAGGCTACCTACATAACTGTTGTTTGAAACAAGAGGAACACCCGGAGCCATTTTAGAGTCCCCACGATTTTGGCTACCCATATCAACCCTGGATTTGCCAAACTTCAAGTGGGTCTGGAGGGGGAGTTCTCCCCAAAGCATAAAGGATGTTTCAAGCGAAACCGGCAACCAAACGCGTAATGGGTTCAACCCCAGGACAGGCGGGGTCAAAATGATGCCTCGACGAAACCCCTGAAGATTTGCTCGCGCTCGAGTCTTCAGATTACCTAACATTCCGCGTGGGGCTTGTATACATGAAGCCCCAACGCTTCCAAGGCTTCCCCAATCCCCGAAAGAAGCGACTACGCCCTGATCGAGCAGCCGCGAGATTTCGGAGCAAGTAGGTCTTGCCGCTTCCAGTCGGCCCCAGCAAAAGGATGTTTGGCTTCGTGTAGTTCTTCACCTGAGCGCCGTCACAGGACGCGACGGGCCCCGCTCCATGCGGAAAAAGGCCATGTTTGGTCCACCTTAACTGGACACAGATTGCTGCTCAGTCGGCAACCTGCTGTGATAATTGTTGCAAACCGGCAACATTTGGAGCCCCCTCAACAAGAAGGCTCCCTGTGTTATGACCCTGGTTCGGACAATGTCATTGTTCCCCATAGAACGCATGGATGGGCTTCAAGTTGTGTTTGAGAATTTAGGTTGGCCCTTGTCAACACCAGACCAGAAGGAAACCAAACGGAAACCAAAGGAGAGCATGAAACGCATTTGAGGTTCTTTTTGCGAGAACCTCGTCTGATGCACCGTCTCTGCGGGTCAAAGCTCCGTTTGCTTTGGCCACGGTGTACGGCCATGGTGCACTTTGGACACCGTGGCCTGCCTTTCCCCCACGGAGCTCGGGCTGTTGAACGGTTTTGCACGCATGCGTTCGCACGTTTTGTTGCTTGACTCGGCGGTGGGGTGCGCTTCCGGAGGCAAGGCTTGACAATACCACAAACCCATGCGACCATCGAGACAAAACACCATGCAAACCGACATTGCCGATTGATCCTATGACACAAAAACACGAGGTTCCCCCACGAAAACATGAATATTCTCCATCTGGCCCCAGCTCTTGCTTGACGTGGGAAGGGGAGCACAAAACATGAGTCAATTTTAGCAGCTAAGTGGTTGGATTTCAACCACTAAACCACAACAAGCAAAAGTTTAAAACAATTTGTTTCCCAACAACCATGATGAGCTTGTCCAAACTGAAACCCAAATAGGTTCTGACCATTCAGTGGGAGTGGAGTCGCTCGCTCCGAGTCCCCTGCCCGGGCCGGCTTCAGCAGCGCTGCTTTGGCCGCCCGGGCGAAGAGCCCGGCCACCTTCGGTCCCACAGAAACACCATGCCATTTTTGGCGGTTCCCAATATTTCCGCTTGCACTCAGTAAGTGCATTGGACCCCCCCAAACGCCAACTCTTCTTCTTCACCATCAAAACGGTTCCAAAAAGTGACGAACGAACGTTCACGGCAAACACGTAGCTCCGGACTTCTTGGCTTCCCTTTTGAACCAGGTTTCGTCAAAGTTCGTCTTCATCTTGGGGTCCCTTTGCTGCTTTGAGGAGCTGGAGCAACCCAAATTCCACCAGGACAACCCAACATGGTTGTGGATGTTCTCTGTGACACCAGGTGCAGAAAGCTCAGAAACCTTGCCCAAAACCCCCGTGTCCCAGACCCAGGGAGAGCAAACCATGGCGCCTGCTGCTGGATCTTCGTAACGTCTTCTTCGTCCTGGAACTTCCCCCGCCCGGAGTCGTCCTTGTACTCGCGTTGCGCCACATCGATCTCAAAGAGCTCCACCTGGCTGTGGGTCAAAAAAAGGTACCCCAAATGGGTTGCCCTGGTAAATGGAAGCATGGACTAAAACCTGCGGTCCCCTAGTGGTTTAATTTTGACCCGCACCCACCTGAAAGCTCTACGAATCGGCGAATCGACCAACTCCTCGGTGGATGGGATCATTCTTCCAATGGACGTGGACAAGAGGCGCCATTTGTTTTGAACACAATACCAATGTCATGCGATGGGCCATCATGGAAGTGGACAATGGCCTTCTCCCAACACCCTCCTGCCTTCCGTGAATATTGGATAATTAGACGTGTCAGAGGTAGAGAGGGAGACCAAAGAGAAAACCCATACCCGCAACTGACGACACCTGCTCCAGCTCCAGCTCCCCGTTCACGAACTCCCGCACACGGTCGCCGTCCAGCTGTAAGAGAATGACCTCAGCGCTGCTGGGTGTGGTGCTAAAAAGGGTGCGTGGCAAAAAAAAAAGGGGCCTCCACAATTGTTGCTTTCCTTTTGGCTGTCCTTCAAGCAAACCTAAAAAGAATATCCTCAAAACAACACACGCCCAGTTCACCTTATCCTCCGACCAACATGCAACTAGTCACACAACTGTACTGGTCTTGCAGGGATCTCCCGTCAGGTCCCAGGTTGGCTGGGAGCGTGCACCGAATTGGTGATTAGGGTTGGTGGTTTAGGGGTTATCGGGTAGCTTTTGAAGATGAACTGGGGTTCAAAGCCCCAAACATCAAAACACACATGATCAACTATTCTTCTCTGTCCACCCTACCAAAGTCTCATGTATGACTGATGCTTGATGAACAAATTGTATCAATTCCCAACACGGTTTGTCACCATCGCAACAAGCGCAGACCAAGCAAGTTCCATCCTCGAGCCATGCGTCGTCGTCGTCCGTGTCCTTGAAGACAACTTGGTCCAGCGTCTCAGAGCTCTTTCCTTGCATCGCACGTATAAGCCACATCAACCCGATCCACCAGCCATCCCTTGCACGCCAAGTAGACAAACTGAGGGTGCAACTGAATTGGGGACCAAATCAACCAATGAAAGCTAGGTCAACACACCACAGCATGCACCCTCACCCACATTGCAACGTGGAGCCTGAGTTGCCCCTTTGGACCATTTTCCTCTACGGATGGGTTCCTTCTGCAAGTGTGAGGGTATTCCTTATGAACAGAAGGAACCCAACATTTCAGGAGATGCCCACTTCTGTGATACAAGAAAAAGGTCCCCCAAAGACTAGCCCGCCTTTTTTTCAGAGGGGTTCCCCAAAAGTCTCACAGAAGTGGGGATAAACCCCGAGAGATCCCACAGATGACATAATGAACGAACCCCAAATCTGGGGGAAAAACCGCAAATCTTCGATCTGAGGATCGGCTCTCAGAGTCCTGGCCGGAAAGAGCTGCGAACAGGGGAGCAAGCATGGGTGGTGGATTTGGGTGAAAGAGCCTTTGCCTATGGCTTTCCAATTGTACTTGGCCTTATTCCAGATTCACTATCCCCTTGTGTCTTGTTCTCAGGTGAGTCGACATCAAAAGGTCGGCCGCACCTGTGACTGATCAGCATATCCCCCAGACCTCCAGTGGATTTCCATGGGACAAAAGGACACTCGGAATTTGGTAGTTGCTTTTAACGAGAAACAAGGAAAAGGGGGGGGGGTTGGGGATCCCACGTGATGATTGTAGGTGAGATCTGTCACCCTCATGCCACCTGAACCTTGTGGATGGACCTCTCAAGAAATGCGCGTCTTTGGATGAACGGAGTATTTGGGGCAGCTGTCTTTCTAACATTCAGACATAATTCTCACCACCTTTGCACCTGTGATTCAAGCAAATCTGGGCCTCTTTGCTTGTGCCTTGCACCTTGCACCAGTTTGCCGAAGGAAACTCAAGAAATCATCAAGCAAACCAGCAGACTCATCAGACCATGCCTCGCCAAATCAGACACTTTCGACTTTAGATCAGGATCCACACGGGGGAGACTTAGATCATCCACAGGGTGCGAAACAGACTTCAACATGTGTGCCCGGGTGAAAGCGAGGAAGCTTCAGGTGCCGAGGACACCAAAGGCTCCCCCAGGAAGGGTTTGCAGATTCTTCTCAGAGAGTCGTAGAAGGATTGAACACCTTCACAGGTCACAGCGGGGGGTGTCTCAATCAATGTCTCCCCTCAACCTCTGCAACACCTCCGTTTTCAACCGCTCTCTCCTCAGCTGCAGGCTCTGGAACAGCCTTGGCTTTCAGGGCTAGATGTGAGTGCCGAGCTTGGCCCAAGCAGTTTCGAACTGCCAATTCGAAAGCCTCAAACAGCGCTAAAACCAGGGTTCAAATGGACCCACACTCTGGACAAGGAATCACATGCCTGCGTATGAGACTCTCTCTCTCTCTCTCTCTCTCTCTCTCTCTCTCTCTCTCTCATCTGACGAATGTGCAATGATCAGCAACTGCGCCACTTTGAGCAGGCATTTGAAAGAAACACCGGCTACGATTTCATCGCGCAAGCTAAGGAGTGGTTGCAATGGTACTGTTCAAGTTTGAGGGCACCAGAAAGTGTTTTCCCAACACGAATACTCTCAAACAATCAGCCAAAGGTGCCTCGCTCGGATCCTTCGACTCATCGGCCTCGGCTTCGTGGCTTTGCTCTTTTTGACCGAAAGGGAACCAAGGGGAAGCTCACCATTGAGGGCATGTTTCTTTTTGTTCAGCTCAAGGAAACTAAACAAACCGCCCAGTTAAGACATTACCCAACTCATTGGCGAACGGGGACACCTTGTGGCCCTGAGCACGAGGATTCTTGTGCCCTGATTCCATTGGGGCCTTTGTTTCGTCGACCCCGACGGCTTCTCCGAGTTCCTTGCTGTCAGAGGAACCTCACTTTAAGCAAGTGCTTCTTCACGAAGGTAGAAATCCAGGCAACAAAACGACTTGAAGGGAAATCATCCAGGGCACATAAGTGGCGTGGGCTGGTGGCGTATTCTCAGCTATCTGCAAGCATTCGCCCCCAACTCAGTGGCCAGGTGTCTGCACGGAGCAGTTACAGTTAACCTGCCCCTTTGAGTGCCAGGGTTCGGGTTTCTTCTTCCAAGACGCATTTCCCACCAAAGGTGGCCTGGACACCGCACTCATTGCGCAGTGTGGTTGCCAAAAACCATCCAACGCGACCCAAAAAACCACGCCGCTAGAGGGTCGGGAGGGCTTCCATTGGCGGAGAATTAGGCGCCGCCTGCAAACAAAAGAAACAGGACCTGGTACCAGGTTTCCAGTAGTGACATCGGTGTATTTTTTAACAACAAACAGAAAACAAGGGAACATGACACATCTTATTTTCAGCAAATGGAAGCAAGTTAATTGATCCCGTCCCGACCTTGCTGTCCACGGCTACGGCACTCTCGCTGCTCTCAGATTCCTGAGCGCCCGCAAGTCTGACAGGCTGGCCAGGTGGTATTTAAGCTGGGTGTCACTGAGGTCGACTCAACGTCGGTTGAAGGCAGATACTCTTGTTGTAGTTGGCTTTGCTCTGTCAATTTCACATGAGACTCGCTTTCTGAGCTCACGTTCCTTATTGGCAGGTGAACAATCCGACACTTTGGGACTTCTGCGCCTCAGTGACAGAAAAACCGACATCCAAGGATGAAAAAACAACGTCGCTTTGAACGCTTGGCTGCCACACGCCAGTTATCTCTGTGGTAGCTTTTCTGACTGGTCCGATACTCTCGTGGAACGGTCTTGCGAATTTGCCAACTTCACCAGCATGCAGCTTCTTCGACAGATGCTTAATTCTGGTGTCTGAAGTCAAGACTCAGCGTGTTCCCCTTTCCCGGAAAACGTCCGTTTGCCAAAGTCCTATTTTAATGAACCATGAGGACATACTTCCAGAAGTGAAATCGATTTCCTTTAAACCCAGCAGGGGAAACTAACACATGGAAGGAAGCATAGCAGCCCTCGCCCGCACCAAGCCGCAGGAGACGAACTCAGCAGCTCTTCCTGATCATTGGTCGGGTTTGGAAAAGGGGCCATTGGCCTGGGAGACTCTTTGGTGAATGTCTTTGTTGGTTTTGTCTGGGAAACCACCCATGAGGCCGCATGAAGGAGGCGTCCAAATTCTATTGGCACACCCATCGAAGGTCCTTATGTGGCCTCCAACTCGCAAGCTATATCTTTCCCCCGACTCGCGTCCTTTGTCCTCAACAAACACGCCACCCCAAATGGAAGGTCAATCGAACTTGGACATAGGTGATGCTTGAAAGAAGCAAACACCCACAAAGACATCCTTCATCCAACTTTATGCAACGCACTTGAGCAAACAAAACAAAAAACACAAAAACACACGTGCAGGACAGGTTGGGCTCCGTTTCTCCAACTGAAAGCTGGCTGCGCCTCTCTCTTCGAGAGATGAGTTGGGAGTTGGCCCAAGCCTTGGCGCGGTTGTAGTGGTCGCAAATCGCCACCGCCAGCATCTCCTTGGCGGCGGTCTGGCATATCACGTAGCGGTCCTCAGGCTATCGAGGCTATCGCGAGCCGCCGGTACGGTCCGGTTTTTCGGGGCTCCAAGCTACTGGAAGGAACCCTGTGAAGTCCTTTGTGCCTTGTTTTTGGTCAAGAGGCTTATTACCAAACCCAAGGGCGAGTTTCAAAGGGGGGTGGACACGGCGACCGCAAAAAGATCCACCAGCGGAGCCCGGAAAGCGTCCATTCCGGCCGGCTCGTTCAACAAACTCAAAACGCTTGTCGCTGGCCCCGTGGACGGAATTGAAAGGCTTTTTGTTCTGCTGAAGATGCCACAAAACGAGCCACGGCCAACAATTTCGCTATAAGACTCCAACAGCAAACAAAAAAGCACTCTCTCCAAACCCATCACTAACATTTTACCCAGGCCACGAGATACTCCTTGACCTCATCGGGCCTCAGGGCGAACTTGAAGAGGAGCTCCTGCCGCTTGCTCCTTCTTGGACTGGGGCGCCTGCGGGTCAGTCTTGATCAGTTTCAAAATCAAGGGGTGAATGACTCAGTTGCCCAAAGGACCCAGAAATAAAAGGTTAACCTTTTGGGACCTTGACTAAACATGGACCAAGCATGGGAAACCAAAAGGTCAAAAGCTCGATTCGCTTTGGGCAAGTGAGATGAATGCTGGATTCGCATTCCATGGCAAATTTCGATCATTCCCACGCTGGAACCAAAGTGGGTGTGGCTCAAAATTAAGCAGGAGGAGCAAACCGCAGGTTTTGGTCCATGTTTCCACTTTCCAGGGTTCAATTTTGGTACCGGTTTTTGAAGCCACAGCCAAGTCTTTGTTGGTTCTTTGAAATACCTTCAACTGCGCGAGGCTCGTTTCACCCCCCCAGTCAGCTCGTTGCAACTTGCAACGATAGATATCGCTGGGTTGCTCGGCCGGGGGGAAGGGTCATGAGAAACCTGCGGACCCTACCGTCATTCATGGAAGATTCATGTTCACAAACCAATTTGGAAGTTTTTCCATGAACATTTGTAGGTTCATCATTTTGTTGTTCTTTTCTGTGTCTTGCTCGGATGGATCTCTTCATGTTTTTGTTTGGGTCGTGTTATTGTCTTTGATATGTTTTAGTTGTTTGCTTGTTTGGTTCTGTTCATGATTGGGGCAAGAACATATTCTCGTGCCAGTTGAAACAAAATGGTTCTTGGTATACCAAACGTGTCCCAGGCTAGGGGTGGGAAGGTTGGGTCCAAGTCTGCCGCTGGGTTCACACACTGGGCTGACCTGTTTTGGGGCCCAAGTCCAGGGGACGTTTCTCTAAGCGACAGATATTCCTCCAGGCCCTGTATGAATCATAAGTATATTTCTTGGTTGACGTTGGAAGGGGAGCAAAAATTCTCAAATCTTAGCAGCTAAGTGGGATTTCAACCACTAAACCACAACACGCAAAAATGTAAAATATGTCCCAACAACAACCATTATATAGAGGTTCATTAATCGAGGCGCGCCATTCTTCGGCGATTGCTCTTTGGTTGACAAAGCCCTAAAACTTGGTGCGAGATGATCAGTTTTCTGACACACACACACGCATCTACTTTGAGAATCTTGCACTAGGAAAAGGCGAAGCCAGATTTGTACGCATTCGCGTTTCGGAAGATTGCAGTATTCCCATTATCTGGCAAAGAGCTACACTTCTTGCATACCAAAAACGAACCCACACCCGTTGCTCTTGGAACTCTGGCATTTTGTTTGCTCTTTAAGCTTTAAACAGTTGTTTGTCCATAGACAGCAAGGAAAGGAACCAGTTCCGCTTGCCAAACTTTGCAGGGGATTCTAAGCCCGATCCTTGTTTTCAGGAAACCACCAGGACGCAGGGAAAGAGCTGCTTTGAAAAGCACTTCGGTTGCAACGAGTGCTAGAATCTAGAAGCGTCCATGCTTGTCCCAGGAAGGTGGAAAGACTGACCACTTTCACATGGTTACTGGGTACGGTTGCTGTACAGCCAATAAGGGCCGATCCCCGCAGAGGGTTGCGCGCGCAAATCGAACATCGCCAAAAAAAACCTTGAGTTTTTGCACCTCGACCACGCCGATCCCCGAGAGGGTCGAATTTTCGCAGAGTAGGTTTGGTCCCACCGAGCCGCCTTAAGATACTAATTTCAATTTAGTGAGCAAGTTCCTCGTGCAAGGTGTGCTCGCGCGCGAAGAAACGCAAAATGCCCTGTGCTAGTTGTGCTCGCGCTAGTTGCGCTCGTGCAAGATGCGTTGTGCAAGAAGGCATGCCAGATCTCTTCGCACTCACTCTGCGCTCGCCCTATGCATGCCTCTATGCACTCACTCTGCACTCGTCCTATGCATGCCTCTATGCACTCACTCTGCGCTCGCCCTATGCATGCCTCTATGCACTCACTCTGCGCTCTCCCTATGCATGCCTCTATGCACTCACTCTGCACTCGTCCTACGCATGCCTCTGTGCACTCACTCTGCACTCTCCCTATGCATGCCTGTATGCACTCACTCTGCACTCGTCCTACGCATGCCTCTATGCACTCACTTTGCACTCTCCCTATGCATGCCTCTATGCACTCACTTTGCACTCTCCCTATGCATGACTCTATGCACTCACGCTGCACTCGTCCTATGCATGCCTCTATGAACTCACTCTGCACTCTCCCTATGCATGCCTCTATGCACTCACTCTGCACTCTCCCTATGCATGCCTGTATGCACTCACTCTGCACTCGTCCTACGCATGCCTCTATGCACTCACTTTGCACTCTCCCTATGCATGCCTCTATGCACTCACTTTGCACTCTCCCTATGCATGACTCTATGCACTCACGCTGCACTCGTCCTATGCATGCCTCTATGAACTCACTCTGCACTCTCCCTATGCATGCCTCTATGCACTCACTCTGCACTCATCCTATGCATGCCTCTATGCACTCACTCTGCACTCGTCCTATGCATGCCTCTATGCACTCACTCTGCACTCGTCCTATGCATGCCTCTATGCACTCACTCTGCGCTCTCCCTATGCACGCATTCACTCACTATTTTTCCTAAGTACTTGAGCTGTGCACTCACTCTCTACTTCTTCCTATGCACTTGAGCTATGCAGAACGCAACGATTTTACCGGAAGAACCCTTCGCAATGCTTTCGGGAAAAAAGATCGCCTCTGGGAGCCCACTTGCTGCGTGATGCGCCGCAGCAGCAGAAACTTCCGGAGCTCCGCCGGGGAGGTGATGTCCGGGAAGCTTGAGGCATCCTGGGCTCCAAAAAAGAACGACAACGGTTGAAGCAATGACTGCTGGTCTCAAGTGAGGCTAACCAAGATGGTTTTCTTTTGGATTTGGACCCATAAGTGTCCAATGTGGTTAGATAAGATTTGTACAGGCTTTACCAAAATCGTTTTTTTTGGATTTGAACCTAAAACATGTCCTCGACGTTCCTTTTGATGCTCCTTTAAAACCACCAAAAAGCGCGTTAAGGGAGTGTCTTGGCTTCTTGCGGGAAGCTTCAAGAGTGCCTTTGCTACCCCAGTGGACAGGGGGAACTTAGAGAGCGCCGTTCGCAAACATTTAGAAGGATTTCCTCTCTATGCGTACATGTTTCTATACACGCAAACTCAGCTGTCAACCAATGACACACCTAGAAAAACATCCATTTGCATTTTTGCCCTTTCGAAAAACTGAGAACCCCAATCCAGTAGTGAAATCGCCACCATTTAAAAGCAACAGAGGGAAATAAACAAATCTAAAACAAATGGAAGCAATTGATACGACAATATGTATATATATATATATCAGTACATATTTCTATACACACACACACAAACTCAGCTGTAAACCAATGACACGCATAGACAAAACATTAATTTGCGAATTCGCTCTTTGGAAAAACTGAGAACCCCAATCCAGTAGAAGATACGTTTCCCTTTAAAACCAACAGAGGGAAATAAACAAATCTGAAACAAAGGGAAGCAACTGTTACGATGTGTATATATATATATGTGTGTATACATATATATATATATATGAGTACACATCTCTATACACACAAAGTCAGCTGTAAACCAATGACACACATAGAAAACCATCCATTTGCGTTTTCGCCCTTTCGAAAAACTGAGAACCCCAATCCAGTAGTGACATCGCTTCCCTTTAAAACCAAGGGGGGGAAATAGACAAGTCTGAAACAAATGCAAGCGACTGATACGATACGTGTACATATATATATATATACATACATGTGAGTACATATTTCTATACACACAAACTCAGCTGTCAACCAATGACACATATAGAACCATGATACCTGAGATGCCCATCCTTCCTTTTTTGGTTGGTTGAGAAGCCTAGGCTTTGGGTAACTTAGATAGTTAGTGGATTGTCATAGGAACAAAAGGGCAGCCCTTTTTGGGTGAGCTGACTGATCCACCCATCGATCCTAGCCATGGATACAAATCTTGCGCCCGAGCGGCTTCGTCTGAGGCGTCGCCGCCCTCGAAGGAGCCATCCTCGTTCAAGACCAGGAAGCCTGGCAACGGCCCACTGGACCTCCATTTGCTTCAGTCCCCTTTTAATCAAGTAGTAGTGATAGATCCCCTTAACAAGTGAATAATTCCACTAGATAGATGCCCTTTAAAACAAAAACCAACAGGGGAAAATGAAAAACATATGCTTAGCCAAATGGAAGTTGAGGCGCTCGATGGCAAGCTTCTCCGCCCCGCACAGGTGCGACGTTTTTGGCACTTTGGTGGATAAAAACTGAAGTTTGTGGCATGTTGGCGGAAAACAACAACTCGATTCTCCAAAGGTAGCTAAAGGATCAAGATCCAGCCAACTTGCACTCTAGTCGAAACTCAAACCGCCGTAAGCAGGTTTTTCCCCGTGCTAAGCTTCAAGGTAGGCTGTTGCCCATGCTGAGTCATGAGGCAGGCTTTCCCCATGCCGAGTCACAAAGCAGGTTGCCAAGTCGCTCTTGCCCGTGCTGAGCTAGAAGGTATGCTTTTCTCAATGCTGAGCTACAAGGCAGTGTGTTTCTTCATGCAAAGTGGGATAAGGACAGCTGGTGGATTCTGGGTTGCAACTTCCAGGCAGGGATTGTAAATTTGGTTGCCCCGGGCTCACAGAGGTCAACGATCGTCTTCCAGCAGGGTTTTTAGGCTGGCGCTTCCATGTGTGGGAGAGTATGTGTTTCATGTTGGCGTTCCCTGTTGCGTCTACTTGGAAAACGCTGCCATTGCCCGGGCCATTGCACAGTATTTGTTGGAGACACCTGCCGTGTATTTTCTGCGCAGCAAATTAATCACCGGTTCTGAATGGTAAAGAAACAAAAGGCTTCCTCCCCAGCAGTTGCTCACCACCGAAGCTCATCAACATCAAAAGCGTCTGGGTTTGGCAATGCCACCAAAGCTCCAGGGTGCTACACGTCTTGGTGCGAGCATCGGCATTTGGGATCGAATTATTTGCCACATGAGCATCGGGCTTCCTGTACGTCCCCATTTGTCTCTTTCGCACCACTCAAAGAAAGCACATTTTGGAGTGCCGCCTCAATCGGGGCCTTTTCTTCACAAAGGAACACAAACTCCCTAAGCGTGCCCGAGAATAGCTTGAGACACTTGAAAGCGGTCGGCCAAAGCTTCGGTCTCTCAAACAGAATCGACAACGTTGGATCTCCAATGGTAAAAACAAAAACAGTTACCCTCCCGTCCACTAACATGGAACCCATCAAGGGGTATGGACAGGAGGGTACCAAAACCAGACTCCCCCCAATGGCACCGTGTTTTTCCAGGAGAGGTCTGGGCCACCCGTTCCAAGACCTGCGACTGGCGAAGCGGCTCAACTGCCTGGAGGAAGACACCTACGCAAGCTTAACGCTCACCAACTCAACAGGAGGCTTTCCTATGGCAAACAGTCAGCGGGGGTTGGGCCAACCGCTTTCGACAAACGAACCATTGCATGAATCTCCACGTCGATTAACCAAGGGCGCCAAAGGCAGGTCGTGTTTCTCTCTTCCTTTTTGTTTGTGGGAGGGAAGAGGCACCGGAAGGTTCCAATCCGGCCGCGCCTGGGTTCGGATCTTCGAGCTTGCCCTTGACCTAAATCGCAGCAAGATATCATTGGCATGTTCAGGGCCCAGGCCGGACAAACAGCTGGCAATGGCCGTGACTGGCGCGGTGGCGCATCAGGGATGGCTTAATGTATAAATTGAGAGACTGGGAGTGAGTAAAGTTGCAAAGTTCTAGGGGTTGATTCCCCATTCTTTTCAACCATCGCTCTTCTCGAAAACCAGCTGGTTCATGTGTTTTTGTGGTTTAGAAAGAAGGATCCCTGGAAAGAATGGAAATGGAAGCTACCCTTAGACAAGTCCCAAAGTTCCTGGTACTTGCAAGTCCCAAAGTTCCTGGTACTTCAAAATCCGAAAGTTCCTGGTTCCACTTCAAAGTCCCAAAGTTCCTGGGACCCCTAAACCCTAAACCCCAAACTGTTGGATTTCCAAATGGCTTATCCGGGCGGCCTGCTGGTCAGATTGGCTATAAACCGTGCTTTGGGGCCCAAACCCGACATTCCACTTTGGCCTTTGCAAGTCCGTTTTCCGGGCGAGGCGCCTGGGACCACCACTCCCGGTAGCACTCGGGCAGCGGTCGCAGGATGAACTCTCCGCCAGGGGAACCTTCGTGGATCACCTTTGCCGAGGTGTAAAGCTCCAACCTCTTCCCCAGGGTTCAACCCCCATTAAAACAAAGGTTGAGCCAATTTGCATGATGGCAATCTCAGTTGCCCAAAGGACCCATAAATAAAAGGTTAACCTTTCGGGACCTTTACTAAAAATGGACCAAACATGAGAAACCAAAAGGTCAAAAGCTCGATTCGCTTTGGGCAAGTGAGCAATCCTTAGGTAAACAATGGTGGCTATATGAGCCCCCATTGTTTTAATGGTGGATTGAATCCCAACCTCTTGGCTTCATTTGCTCAGCCCAATAGGAGCATGAATAGAGTTAGGCCCAGTTATAGAATGTATATGTTTACAGTTTGCTTCACATGGAGTCACCGGGAAAATGTAAAATGTATCCTAAGTCTACCCCAGGGAGGAAAAACACAACTAAAACAAATGGAAGCAAATGATACGATATATATGTATATTATAGTATATTTGAGTACATAATTCTATACACACAAACTCAGCTGTCGACCAAGGACACACATATAGAACCATGATACCTGAGATGCCCAGTGGCCATGGGGAAAACAGGGCAGCACATGTTTTGTTGGTTTGAGTTTAAAGGGGAACCCTTACCCAAAAAAGGGAAAACGGGCGCCACTGGGCAACAGAACCAATTGCCAGTTCTTAGTTTTCTAGGAAAGCGGACTATTGGAAGCGCCAGTAAACCAAAAGTCTGATCACCTCTTGGCTTACACGAGCGTGGAAGCAAATGCGACAATTGTCAGTGGGTAAGTATAGGGGATGACGAGCGACCAAACGGGGCCGATTTCCAAAGCAGATTCTGTGGATGAACAAAATCCTGCACCACCTTACTAAACCCTGGAATGATGATTCCTCTGCAATTACCAACCAACAATGATGTCCCATGGTTTCATTTCGTGGTGAAATCGATCGGACTTTATCCACGGCTTCTGTCCAACAGGTCTCTCCTTGGCGATGTCAGCCGTGTCACGGAGCCCTGGATGGAGAGAGACGCTTCCCGCATCCGGCCCTTCAAAGTGGTCGCCTCGTCCTGCAGAGTCCTGAGACGGATGGCGTGGACGCATGTTCCGAAAGCTGGTGGATCGGGGTGTGAAACGCATGGCCGGCTTCTTGTTGGACCCGAAAAAGGGTTCGGTGCTGAAGAAGCCGCCTTGTAAAATGGATAAACAAAAGAGGATTGTCATAGTTTTGACAACCTGACTCATTTCGACAACCACTGATTTTGACCAATTTTGACTAGCTTAGGTGCCTAGGGGGTTGGTAGTGATTTTTCGGACCTTGGCCAAGCATCAGATGGGTCCCGCTTTTATGGGTACATGAATGATATTGCGGATGGCTAGTGGTCGTCACCAAATCAAGCCCACAAATTGCGAATTCAACATGTAAGCCCAAAAACTGAGGAGTAAATCTCAGGTGCTTAGAAGCTTGGTAGTGATGACCCCCACTCCCCACCCAGACACCTTTGACGTGCACAGCCCCAAACGTCTCCAAAACATAAAGTTGACATGTAGAGGGAACCACCCCTCTTCGCATGGAACCACCTCTCTTCGCATCCCCTCTTCCCATTTTTTCCAGGGCTTCCCACCGTTTTTTGTCCAAGCCGCCCTTGCGGCCTTGGGTTTCTCGGTTGCGAAATCCGCTCCCCACGGCTAAAAGCGACTAACTTTTAGTGGTTGTTAGTACGGAAAACCCATTGGTTGGCGAAAAGTGAAAAAACTCCTCACATCCAACACCATGCACAGGCTTGGCTTTTTAAGTCCGAGCGTCAGCTGCCCATCCTGAACCGTTGAGGAGAACTTTCCGCGGAAGGCCAAGCCCCGGGACCTCCACAGCCCCCCGCAGCCCGAGGAGAACTCCGCCTCCAGGTCCGTCTTGTTGCCCTGGCAAACATCATCCCGCACGGCCCGCCCGGGATCAAACAAACAATTTGGGGTTCGTTTTTGTTTCTTCCTGTTTTCTCTTTTTCTCAAACAAAGTGTTTTCCGGCGAAGCGCGTGGAAGAAAGCCACAAGAGGGCAAAACCCGGCAAAGAGGCCTTTGCTTAAAAGGATCTTCCCGTTTCAGTGTCTTCTCGCTTCCTACCCAAAGTTCTGCAAAATGAGATCATCAAATGGGACGTCTTGCCATGTGTTTCTTCTAGCCCTGCCATTGTTTGACATCAGGGGCCGGCTTTCCTTGGCCGGGGAATCTCCATCCCCATCTGCACCCTGGAAAGCGTGGGGTCTTTGACCGCTCCCGTTCCATGGATATACCTGGAGTCTCCATGACCCTAAAAAAATGGGGTCATTACCCAAAATTAAGGGGTCATGGACCCATTTTTTGAGGGTCATGGAGACACTAGGTAGTTTGATTTGTACCAACCTTTTATGCACTGCCTCTTGTGGGTTTCAATGGATCAGTTAAAACTCGCAGAAACACGCACAAGCTGGATCCTTTTATTTCGAGAAGAGAGAAACCAAACAAACCTTGGGCCGTTCTTTTGGACTCCAGCTCCACCCCCATAAGAACAATCGGTGGGTTCGAGTGTTGGCAATGGGACTTGCTCTGGGAATTTGTCTTTGAACCGTTTGAACCCTTGGGATGATCATTCACCCAGCAACAAGAACCGAAAAAGGACTCCGCATCGAGTCCCAACGAGGTCACCTTCATGTGCGTTGAACCTTAAGGCGCCCCGGAAGTAAATACAAATGTCCTCCTTTGGTCCTCCTTTCGCTGCTCACTTGGCTGTGGGTCAAAACACAGGTACCCAAAATGGGTTGCCCGATCGGTAAATGGAAACACGGACTCAAACCCGCGGTCCATATCCGGGTGGTTTCATTTTGACCCATACTCTTTTCTTCTTGGCTCAAAGCAAATTTATCTAAGGGCCAACTTGCATACCCCAAATGGGCATACCCCAAAATTAGTTGGTTATACTGGGCTCCGTGAATTCAAAAAACAAAAAGCGGAGCCCCAACACGTGAATTCAAAAGAAAAAAAAAACGCCCCGGCCAGGCATGAATGCAACAGAACAAGCTCCGGGACCCCAAACCGTGAGTTCAATTAACACCGAAACCACCCAGGCGTGATTTCAACAAAAAACAACACTGGGACCTCCAGGCGTGTTTTCAAATAAAAGACACCGGGCCCCCCCAGCGTGATTTCAAAAAACAAGAATGCACCCCCCAGGCGTGATGAAAAAAAACAAAACTGGAGCCCCTCAAGCGTGATTTCAACAAATGTAATTCCAAAAAAAAACATGACCCCCCAGGTTTTTCTTTAAAACAAAAATAAGGGACCGAGGTGTTTTTTCCTTTGCAACCACCAGTCCCTCACTCACGTACTTGCTCGCTTCGTCTGTGAGAAACAAAATGAGAATCAACAAATGAGGAATTTCAAAATATACACGGCTGGTGTAAATTCAAAGACAAAAACACTGGCTCCGTTATACTGGGTTGTGCTAGGTTATACTGTTCAACATCGCCCGATCGGTAAATGGAAACATGGACTCAAACCCGCGGTGCGATTCCTGGTCTAATTTTGACCCATACCCGCTTTAGGAGCCCCAGTCATTGCAGATCCTCCTTTTGGTCCTCCTTTTGGTGCTCCTTTCGCTCACTTTGGTCACCTTCGGCCGCGATTCGCCTGAGTGAGCTTGGGATGCATCACCCAGCCGATGAGCAGATCCCCGGGCCGCGGGTGATGGCGCCACCAGCGCTCCTGCTCACTGCTCTTGCTGAAGAGCCAGGGGAAGCTTCGGACCTGCAACTCGAAGCGTTTCGGGGTGCAGATCCAAGGGACCCGCAGAGGCAGGAGCTCGTTTATGAAATTCCAGTAAACAATTCCCATAACATGTGTGCAGTGGCTGATCTGAGCCCTCCTGGTAGGAAGCCCTGACTCATTTGCGGAGAAAACACAACAAACATGTGGGTGTAAGGATGGTTTAAGGCAACCACTCGGAAATCATAAGGGATGCCTGAAAAAGATGGAGACACCCGACACCCGGCATTCTGATGGAGAAAAAAACACACGCACGCAAATTTTCGCAAAAAAAACCGTGGTTTTGAGCTACAGGAAGCCGCCGGGCGTCATGATTTAGTTGAGCTACAAGAAGGCCCACGTGGCGGGGAAGGCTAGGGTTGGCGTACCCAATGTTCGGCCTGTTTTGTTTTGGCGAGAAAAAAGGGGGGGATGGTTGAAAGGGTTCCCAGCCCGGAGTTTCTGCAAAAGATGTGTTGTGGCTGCTTGTTTTTCAGAGGACACCCTCGTCGGGTTGGGCTTGAAGGGAATGACAAGGTTGGCTGGAGCTACGCTATCTTCAGGGACCAAACCCCCCCCCCAAAGGGAAGCCTCTGGCCGCAGGCTTGGCAACTTGCCTCCTCGAGTTGTGACCTGAAGCTCTTGAAAGAACCCCAACAGGACACCTTGAATTCCTGGCCCTTTGCGCAGAACGCGCCCCAAAGCGTCAAACAACAAGTCACCAAGATGGAGCAAAGCAAGTCAGTCAAAACACGGCCAAAGCCAAGCCGGACGGTCCGTGCATTGCAGCTGAGGCGCCAGGTGTCGAAACCGCCGCTTCCTCGGCTTCAGGAAACCCAGGCCCAGCGCGCCCCAGGCGCGCGACACCGACGCGCCGCAGGCGCCGCTTCGGGCGGCGGGGCCGGGGCCGGCCGCCGCGGCCCGGCGGGCCGCGGGCGCTGGGCGGGGCGGCGGCGCATCGGGGAAGTAGACCGAGGCCATGGCTGGGATATAAACGCGCAGGCTGAGGCAGGAGCCGTTCGGTGTACTGAATTCTAGGGGGGCGCAGAAACACCCGGAAAGAGTGCATCTGTAATCACTGGCCCGGCAAAAAAATCATTGGAAAGAACGTAGCTTGCGCGAGCAGTCGGCACACCTGCCAGTGAAAAGGACTGCTGGGGCCACAAACTCTTGCTTCAATGCCTTGTCATGGTTCTTCGATGGATGCAAACCTTCAGCAGGTCAGGTTTGTAGTTTGAATCAAGCTACAGCTGCGGAGAATAGCCCTGACTGCAGCACCCGAGCCAGCCATCCTGAATGACAGATACTCTTAGTATCCCAGAAAGTGTCCCTTGAAACCCCGCTTTCCACAACCATCATGAAACTCATGCTCCAAGCAAGTCGGCCTTTCGCGAAGTGCATATTGAAGAGTATGACGAGAACCCTCTCGGCCCAAGGAAGCTTGCCAAGCTTGGTCATTGATGTAATCGCCAATCTGCTTGCATTGCAACAGTTGTCCAAGCAAGCAAGCAAGCAAGCAAGCAAGCAAGCAAGCAAGCAAGCAAGCAAGCAAGCAAGCAAGCAAGCAAGCAAGCAAGCAAGCAAGCAAGCAAGCAAGCAAGCAAGCAAGCAAGCAAGCAAGCAAGCAAGCAAGCAAGCAAGCAAGCAAGAGAGTGGCCAGGGTAATGCTTGTGGGAAGTACTGCATCACTTTCTGTGATGCCAAACGTGGTTGCTGACGACTTTCAAATTTTGAGGGGAATCCCCTTGATATCATAGAAAATGGCCCCCAAACCCAGCTTTTCACAAGCATGCGCACGGCATCGGCATCTGGAGGCATTCCGGCAAAACGCAAACCTGTATAGTTGAACGGCTAGCATCCCAGCGGGTCCAGCTTTTCTGCACGCCTGCCATGACTGCATCGGTCACGGATCGCAACCTCGACTCTACTCTTGCTTCACTGCAGGGTTCAACGGCAAGCGGCCTTTACTTGGCGCCATACGGCTGTGGGTCAAAAATAGGTACCCAAAACGGAACCCTGATAGATGGAACCAAAGACTAAAACCTGCGGTCCCCTGGTGGGTTTATTTTGACCCATACCCATACTGTCTCGTATTGCCCTGTATTGTTTGGTAACGTTCCCTTCAGCTTAAGAATAAATTCCGCACCTCGGCCAAAGACGCTCAGACTGCGATGTTTTCGGTCCGCTTGAAGGCGTCTTGATCTATCCTGGCCCACATCCACTGCGCAATGATTCGTCAAATTGCTTCGGCTTGCACTGGGCTCTGAGAGATACCTTCATGGCACCTAGCCTTGGGGGTCTTCCTGGAACCGCCTGAAATAGACAACATGCACTTCGTCACTCTGATCCGGCCGCAAGTTGCATCACCCCCGCTGGGTCTATCCGAAGAACTCCAACCGCAAGCCTGGGATCCCAACTCCAATTTCGGTTTCGAGCGACTTGAGCTTCACCGATCCCCTGGAAGTGAAGAACTTTTAGTGGGTGAAATTTGGGACATCCAACCACACAAATCCAACCAGCCCAAAAAGCTAAGGAACCGGAGGATTCGCTGGGAACCCCTCAGCTGGTATCCTGCTCCAAACCGTTTTTTTATCGGCCCTCCAACTGATTGGCTGAAAGGATGGCACCAGCCACTCCGAATCCTGTGACGGGGATGTTGCCAATGTCACCCCGAAAGAAAACTCAAGGGTTCGGAAGCAAAGGGGTCCCAAACCGTGTAACACCAACAAAGCATGGATCTAAAAGCTGAGTAAACGAGATCCGACCGATCGAACTCAATGACAGGAGTCCAACAGTTTCCGTTTTTTTTCGTGGGAAACCCCCAACAAAGAATGTATCTGCAAAATCCACAATTCCAAACCTGAAACAAGAATTGGATTCCCAAGACCTACGTCACGACTTTGTCTGAGCTCACTTCCCATCAAAAAGGCAGAACACTCCCACTCATCGACGCAAAATAGCTAGATTCCCTTAAACCGCCCACCAACACATGATGTTTCGAAGCACAAAACAGGCAGACGGGCGCTTCTCAAAATCGTTGGTCCACTACACACGCGCACACACAAACATCTATACTTTTAGGGAATTCAGCGTTTCGGCCCAAAAGGAAAACTCAAAACACCCTCGGGGCTTCCCTCAAAGACTGTGCTCGGCCAAGCACAGGAACGCGCAGCTGGCAAGTCCAACCGACGCTTGGCTTCCCTGAAACCCTTGACCTTCCGAGTTCCGGTTTTCTTTTCCATTGGTTTTGGACCCTTTTTGCAACTTCCGAGCCAAAGAAGCCCTTCGTCTCGGCGCCAAAAATAAATTGCACGGGCCAAGCTTGGCATCCGTTCCGCCCATCCGCCCATCCTCGCGCGCGCGAGTTTCCCAGCCTCTTGATCATGGCCTTGAGCTGCTTGTGGGGGCCCACCTCGAAGAAGTCCTTCACCTCTGCAAGTCTCGCGCAGCCATGGCTTTGACCCGGATGAAAAACACAAACTTGAGCTTTTTTCCGGACATGTTGTCACCTTTTAGAGGCAAAACCTGTACTCGTGGAAATGGAAAAAACACTGCGCCTGTTGATCCGCGAGGTTGAGTCATCCGGTGAGACTAGCCACCTTGTCATTGGGCCCTCCAACTCTTGGAGCGTCCAACTGGCTTCAGAACGGACGCCGAAGCGGCCTCAAATTTGGGCTAGTTCAATTGAAACCCTCTAGTGGCACGAACCCATCATCTTCCAAAATCACTTGCTGAACCGGATGCTTCGGCCAAATCGTGGAACACACAGCAAAAATCTGAGAACCGATGTCGCAACATTGAAGGGACAGGTCGAAGGTCCTCTCGGTCGTACCGAAGCGCACGCTAAGCGACTCTCGTCCACTGGAGGGGTAGAAATGCAATTTTACATGTTTTGGCTGCTGGGCAGACGTTGGACCAGGGAAGTGCTGTTGGGTCCAGTAGCAGCAATAGGGGCGCGGAGGGTTCTTGGATTTGATCCACCTGGGCCTGCTTTCGAATTCATAGAGGTGGATTGAATAGTGGGGGAGATGATTACAAAGGGGATATGCTGCCACATGTTGTTTACGGGGTGTATGACCTTTATACCTCCGGCGGCTCTTGACCAGAAGGTCAAAGAGTCTAATCCCCAAAGTGTGGTGTGCAAATGCCGAGCAAAAACCTCCCCATTCCACAGGGAGGGGGTGGGGTGGGGAAAATAAGCCTCAGGGCAGAGTAATCTTCCAAGCTTGTGGCCAGAGAAGGATCCCTCTACTGGGGGTCTTGGGGCGGGGAAGGAAGGGTTGGTAGGCTCTCTGAAATGGGTGTTTTCAAACCTTTCGAGTGAATCCAGTGATGGAAACTAGCAAAGGAAACTGGTCCAAACCAGCTCCTTCCCACGAGGGGCCCACTAGCAAACATGTCTCCTCCAAAAAAAATGCTCCCGGAAGTGATGAACTCAGCTCCGGAACCCGCACCTGAAAAACCTTTGACCTCAACATCCACTCAAATGGAACAACCGACAGTGAAAGGTAAGCTGAAAAGCCAAAGCACGACCATATCGTGCCCCTTGACATGTGCCCTATAGGATGACACAAGATTCAACCGAAAGTGCGAAGGTCCACTGAACAGTTGCTTCGCATGGGGCAGATCCAGGTGACTTCCTGAAGCCCCGTCGATTATGGATTTTCGATGAGGGCCACTGTTGGAGCACAACACTCCCCTTCCGCCACATGGATTCTGGGATCAACATTCTGCTTTCATAGCTGCGCGGGTACTTAGATGGTCAAGGACCTAGCGAAGTGCTTGCTAATAATGCTTATTACCGTTGTAAGTCCCCTTTCTGTCGGTTTGTGACCAGAAAGTACTAACCATGCTAAGTCCCAGACAACACCCCTGAGGATTTCACCTTTTCCGTTGACTTGGATTTATCTTCCCAAAGTCAAGTGGGAGGCTCTTTGGAAGCCACCGACCAGTTTCTCACTTTGATAACCCCCCGCATCAAGTGTCAGTGTATGTCTGTCCTCTCTCTCTCTCTCTCTCTCTCTCTGTGACTCTGTGACACTGTGTGTGTGTGTGTTTTTTGAGGGTACCCCTTTTTTTTGGAATGGTTTCCAAGGAAAGCCAAACAAAAACACTCCAACCAGTGGCCCCTCCCCGGGGACCACTCGACCACTTGGCGCCGGACCCCATCGAAGACCATGTGCCGCACCGTCTGCTCCCAGAGCACCTCGCTGGTCATCTGCCTGCGAAACAAAAGATGAAAAACAAACCAAACGGGCTTACGCTTTCTTGGTTGACGTTGGAAGGGGAGCAAAACTTTGAATTTTAGCAGTGAAGTTGGGATTTCCCACTAAACCACAATAAGCAAAACTGTTTCCCAACAACCATGTTTTGTTTGGGCGGGCTGACGTGGGTGTGGCTCGCAATTTAACAGATGGGATTACGAGGGTTTTGGTCTACCTTACCATTTACCAGGGTTCCATTTTGGACCCCTATTTTTGAGCCATACCCACGTTTTGTTTGGGCACCCGAATAGCTGCGCTTGTTTCTTGTTGTTGTTTTTCCCCCCCGAGAACAAAAGAGTGGGCAGCCTCTGCGTGGGGTGGCTTTACCAGGCAAACCAAAAAGGAACCCCCACCCACTTTGGGGGTCCCCTTGGTCCAAAACGGATTTTGGCATCCCAAGACAACCCAAAGTTGGGTTCCCTCAGCTAGTGGCCCCTTGGCTTTGGCCCTGGAAGCCAAGAGGTTGGGTCCCACCCTCCTCGAGAAACACGGGGCCTTGCGTCAGCAAAAGGGGTGACCGGACTATCCCTGGACAAGGATCTATGATGTTGGCCAAAACCATGGAGAGGAGTAGTCCCCAGGGTCTGCTTTTCAATTAAAAGCTTTTGCGGCGGGCCCCCCCGAAAAAGTGATTTCCTTTTAGTTTCCCTTTACAACCACAAACCAATGGCACTCCCAACTCGCAATTCTAAGCATCCACAAGTCCAAGGGTATGGCTCAGCACGCCAAAGAGGGCTATTTTGGGTTGCTTCCCACCCTGCCGGATGGGCGGGTCTTGGCTTCCAAAATGATGTTGGGTTTTGCTCCGGCTTCCCTTCAACAAAAGCCACCCCAGCAAAACTCCAACCGAAAGGGACGACATGGCAACGGTTTGCTTCAGGTTTTTGTCTCCCTTTCAAAGCCAACCAAATGGGCGAATCCCCGAAAGAGACGCCCAGACATTGCGCCTCTTCATATAATCCACGAACTCCGCCGGCTTCGAACCTGTTCTCCGACGCGGCCGGTATGCACCACCCCTACCATCCCTACCAAATGAGGGAACCCCAGCTGTCCCACAACTCTTCAAAGAAGCTCTTCTGATCCTAAACATGAACGGGTTTACAAGGACATCAAATTACCGGTAGGGCCGGCGAAGCCGGTGGGCGGAAGATTCGAAAAATATCGTTGGACAGCTCGGGGCGCATCGCGGGAATCCAACAACATGTCCATACTCTAGTGTTTGGTTCCTTGTGCTCAAACAGTGCTAAAAGAGTGCAACTTTGGAGTCCACACTTAGGATCTTTAAAATGTTGCCTAATCATGTGGCTGGCGGACCCATTTGCAGGCTCCATGTCCGCCACCATCTCGTGGATCGGGAGGCGCGACTTCCAAGTTACGACCCTCCAATGGTCCAACGCTGCCACAGATTGTGACCCAAGGCGAAATGAAATTGTGTGGCATGTAACTTCTTGCATCATCTTCATGTATCCTTCAAAGAACCTCCAGACATAGGACTTAAACCACTTGCCTGGAGCTCCCAAGAACCTTTTCCCAAGCGTGTCGAAATCTGAAGAGGCGGGGGGGTTGGTGGCGTGTGTGGGCTGCACAAATTTGGTGGCTCGTCTTTTTTTGTTGTTGCGTCAGTTTCCGTTTGGGCACCAACCAAGACAAGGGGTTCCCATGGTTCCCCCCAAAACACAGACAGACCATGACAGACCCAAATCCCAGAAAGACATGCCCAGCCTGCAGGCACCTTTTTGCCAGTGATGTTAAAGTACACCGCACACCTGCCGGAGTTCTGAAATATGACTCTCTATGCACAACTCAATAGCTTTTGTCTGAACCCCTGGTTGACTTCGGATTCTGGAGAAACTGGCTAATCAGCGGCTGCCCTGACAAGTAAGGAAATATGTATTATATATATATACATATGTACATGTATATACATATATATATATATACATAATGTACGCCTAGAGGGTTCTTCTACCTACAAAGTCAACATTACCGCCAGCTTTCTGATCATGGAAGCGCATAGGAGGCTGTTTGCGCATCCTGATGGCAGTCTTGCGAAGCTCTCACTTCCACTGGGGGCCTTCGGCTCCCAACTCCCGCCCGACCCGAGCTTCACATATTTCCTTGGCGCCGATTTCTGGCCGGAGGCATCTGAGCTTCATCGGGGTCCGATTGCTCCGACTTCACGGGTTCGGAGCCTGTGAAGTTGCGTCTAGGTCCTGTCGAGAGTTTCGAATAATAAGGGTACCAACTTTTCTCTGTCTTTTTTAGTAGCGGAACCCTCCCCCCAAAAAAGGGTGAAAGGGCACTACAGTTGGACCTAGTAGTTATGCAAGGGCAAGAGCACAAAGGAAATCTCAGGAGGGAAGCCTATGATTGGGGAATCAAATCATGATCACGGGAAAGTGATGTGAAGTTACTTTGGCTCCTTATGCGCACAGAATCCGTTTCGCACCAGATATGATGGATGAATTTCTATGAACCCACAAATTACAAACAGCCAATTGTCGTGCCTGAATCGCGAACTTCCATCCACATAGTTCCATCCACATACCCCGGACTCCAAATACCCACTTCTTTTAGGGTATCATGTCGACCCTCTACTAAAAAAGGAGGTATTTACCTTGAAACACCAGGTTTTCCAAAAAGCAACTAGAAAAAGTGGGTATGTGGATTAGGGGGTATAAACCGCCGGGCAGCCCAAAAAACCGAGCGCTCGCGCCGTGGAGGCTTCATCTTGGGGAAGGCGGCGTCGATGGCCTGCTCCAACTCCTGTCGAACAGGAAGCCTTGGGAAGTCTCGGGTCTGAAGTGGCGGGGTCCCCCCCAAATAATGGCGCAACCATTTTCTTGTTCTTTGGTTTCCCTTTAAACCCCACCGTATGAATCTTCATAATGTGTCTTCCTTTTTTGGTTTCCCTTCAAACCCACCAACAAAAAGGTGCGCACAAGAAACAAACAAGACACTCGTATGAACCTTTATCATGTGTGTTTTCCTGGTGGTTTCCCGTTAAAACCCACCAAAAATAAGTCACCCTCCAAAAACAACACACACACACAATATGAACCTTTGTAATGTTGGTGTGGATGGACAGCACCTAGAATTCGCACTAGTTGGGAAAATCGTGGTTTGTCCAAGTATTTCAGGTTTTCATCCACCCGGGCCGCTGCGAAGTGGGTTCTTTCCATTCACAGAACTCAGGGTCCATTGACAAAGGCCTATTTGACATGTTCCAGATGGGTGTCTAAGTCTAAGTTGGACGCATCTTAGCTGCTGGTTTCCTACTTTGTTGTGGCTGTCCTTTTCAACTCATCCGAAACGGGGTTCTTGATTTTGACGCACACAGTGATGAAATTCAGGTGCTGTGTCCCGTTTCGACTCTGGAGCAAGGGTTCTCGAGATGCTTCCGGACAAGAATCACGATACCACCGCTGGGGAGCCCCACAAGCAACAAGTCCGCATTTCCAGGGCTTCCCGGCTTCCCTGTGTCTGTAAACCGGAAGTTCGTAAGTCAACGCTTTTTTTGTTAATGTTTTCCCTTTTGTCTTTTCTTATTTTCCGGGCGAGAGCTTCCAATGAAGCTCGATTCTAAGGCTGTCCGACCGCCTTCAAATCGAAAGGCTGTCTGTCAAAAGCAAAGGGGACCCAGGATGGATGTTCTCTGGTTGAGTAATTTTAGAAGGATCCCGCGCTTTTGGGAGGAACCACCCTTCGAAAGTAGCCCGCAATGTTTATCAATGCTGGGTCAAAGTTACACCATATATTAACTGGTGACATGTATAAACCACCTATGTAAACAAGTAAACCGATATTCATGGACATTTCATGGAAATGAATGCAATGTAATGCAATCCCATGCATGTATCTACTATCACGTCTTTCTTATAATCATAATATGATTATAAGAAAGATATGTATATACACATAACTCTTGTGTGTGGGTCCCGTGGGTCCCGTGGGTCCCGAGTGTTGCGCCAGGTCCCGTCAGCTTCCGTCAGCTCCTTCTTCGCCGGCTCCATGAGCGGCGTATGGAAGGCGCCCCCGGTCTGCCGGTTTCGGATCGTTTTTCGCGAGGCTCTCTCCCCGAGCGCCGAAAAGCAGAGGCAGAAGCCGTGCGGATGGGGACCTCCAGGTGGATGGGTTGATTTATTTGGTTGGAGGTTGGTGAACAAAGATTCCATTGAGATGGTAAAAACCATGTGGATGGGGTTCATGGTTGGTGGAAGGGGATACCAATAAATATTGGTGGTTGGTTGTTGAAAATTACTTCCACCAGTGGTAAGAGAAAAGAAGAAGAAGATGGACATCCATCCATGTGGATGGGGCTATGTGAAAACATGTGGATGGGCTTACCAAAGCCATGGCTACCAAAACTAAGAAACCCTGGAAATGAAACCAGACCGTTTGTTGGAACTTACGCCCTCCCTGACATTCTCCCCGCGTGGGTGGGGGTTGTTTTGTTGCTCATGGGCTTGGCTCCTCTCAAGGCCGTGCCACAACAGAACTCTTTCTTGGGTTTGGACTAACTTGCTGGTTCTCATGAACCTTTAAGATGCCTTTAAAGGAAACCACCAGGCATGCGTCAGTTCGGAGGAATCCAGAAGCCAAAGCAGCAAAATACACCAGGCATGACCACTTCCCTCAAGGAGAAACAGCCCACCAGGCCACTTTTTTGGGGTTGGTACGGTTCTTGATTTTTCAGCTCCACCACGAGAAAAGTTCGAATCTCCCTCCTGTGGCTTGAGGCCCTTCCAGAAGAAAAGTGGTCGGGGTGTGTGCACCGTTGTTGAAAACAAATCCGGACCCCGAACAATGGATCCGGCTTCATTCGGCTTCCTTTTGGCTTCCGAGACAAGGCCCGAGAGACTTCGGGGGGAGCCACACGTATGTCTCACGTACTCTGTCGAAATAGAAGGTGATCACCTCTTGTCACCACAGATGGACATCAAGTCAGGAAAGCCAAGAGATTACATCAGCTCTTCCTCGGACAGGGACAACACACCAGAGTTCGTTTCAAACCGGAAATGAGTTGGTCTATATCAGTTGGGCATTGGGCCGAAACGACTAGAAACATCCGGGCAAGTTATGAAACCACTTGTGCAGAAAGACTAGGACATGGAAAGCACCGTCATCCCTCTAAGGCGCACAACTCCCAAGAAAAAGGCCGCGGGTGTCCGCAAAAGGACTGCCAACAGCTAGGGCATGTTGAAGACACCGTTGTTCAAACATCCGTTTCAGGTTCCGTCGGAACTGGGTTCTTCCATGATGACGAACCTAGTTATTTTGAAATGTTGTGTTGCGTGATGTCCCAGTGCCATCCCTAAAGAAACAATGCTACATTGAATCAACGGTCAAGAGCGTTGACACAAACAACTTTGGTACTCTGCCTACAAACGCGCTGCCCGCAAAGGGTGACTTCATCTTGGCTTCTAAACCAACACACATGCACACACAACAACCATGGGGTTGCGCATTGATTGAACAAATCCATTGCGCTGGGTTTCTACTTTAACGAGACAAATCAAATCATGTTTTCTCGAGACTGATTCGTAAAAGCCCAGCATCCTCCAAAGGAGACCCCCCTCAAGTTGCTCCAGTCGAATGGTGTTCACCGAGCGCCTTGATCGGGCGCGCTTGCAGTGCTCGGGCCTGACGGGCAGTGCCCAAAAACAATCCATTTGCTTCCGTCTCCTGGAGAAAAATATGGCCGTGGCAGCTGTGGGTGCAAAACAAGGGTAACCCCAAAATGGCCTACCCTGGCAAATGGAAACATGGACCAAAACCTGCTGTCTCCTGGTGGTTGAACTTGCACTTTCACCCAGACCCGTATTTCCAGTGATGAAGTGATGATAAATTTCCTGAATAGATTCCCTTTTAAAACCAAAGGGGGAACACAATACATATTATTGAGCAAATGGAAGAAACACATGGGTCTGTGCGCGCTTTTCGGGTACCAGTTTCTAGGGTTTTTAGAGAGCCCCCACATGGTTTTCTTTTCGGAGGAGGGCTACCCCAGTTGCGGTGTCAAGAGAAACCACGCGGATAAGCTCCCGTTGTGAGCTTCCCTGTGACGCACACCCATCGTATTCTAATCATCGGAGATCTAGAAATGGATGTTGTTTCTTTGCGGCTTCTCTTGAAAACCATCCCAAAAGGGACAAAAACCATCCCCAACGGGACCATATGTTGAGATCCTTTTGGTCCGATACAGCGCCAATCTGTGGCTCACATTGCAGGGACCAAAACCGCCTCTGAAAGGTGCTTGAAAGACAGCGCTTGCACATGGCCGGCTCGTCTTTTTTTCCAAGGTACGGCCCCAAAAACCGGCTTATAAGGGCTTACTTTTTTCGGTGCCCCTTTACAACCCACCTAAAACCCTTAAAAAAGGGGGGTAGCCTCCAAGCATCCAAAACCTACACAGCCCCAAATGCACCTGAGTGCTCTTGGCTTCACCCGGCTTCACCGGATATCCCTCTCTTTTCTTTTCGCGCGCCGCGAAAGGCGGCCGGCGGCCGCGCGGCCTTCGTGGCGAGCTCGCAGAGCTTGTCGATTGCCGCTTTGGAGCCGCCGCAGGTGAAGCCCGCGGGGAAGAGCACGTTGGCGATCTGGCCTGGAAAAAACAAACCGTCCGAAGACCCCTTCCTTCTATTTGGATAAGACCCCTGGAAAAACATCCAGTAGTGATAAATTCCTTTTTGCGACCAACAAGGGAAAAAAAAGAAAAAACTTAAGCAACTGGAAACTTCAAAGCAGCAGCTGCCAGAGATGCCTCTCGGGGCCCTGAGAAATGGAGTCCCGAGAGAAACCGTCCCTTGCTGAAGGTTTTCTTTCAGGGTACCCTTGATTTCATTGCCTCGTTTGCTGAGCACCAGCTGGTCACTCCTGCATCTGAATCTATGGCGATTGCTGGTGGCAACACCAAGGTTTAGACGACAACACACAAGGCTTGGGCGATTCAATCCCTCGTTTTGGACATGGCTTAAACACCTATTGTTCAAAAGCAAGCTCCATTTGGTTCAGACAGGGAGGCTGGGAACAGCTTTGTCAAAACAAGTCTTGCCACCAACCTTGTAAGGGTTCCGCCAAAACCTCGCAATCAACAAACGGCACTTAAAAGCTCTGCTTTCAATTCGTTTCAATTTGGGTCCACCTGGCAGGTTCATTTCATTTGAGTCATACTCAAAACCTGGTGTGGAAATGATCTACCCGCCATGTAAAGAATTAAAGACAGATCTCCGCACCCAGTTGGCGGGATTCTCCCTAGCTTCATCTCCCCGGGTTTTGAGCACCGAAAACCACTCATTTGACCCACCGAGGCCGCGGCACACCGCGTCGGGGCTGTCCCCCTTCGCCTCCTTGCCTCGATGCGGTGCATCTGCCCGGCCGTTTGAAGCAATGCGATGGACTCGGAGAAAAAAAGAAGAAGTCAAGACGCATCAAGCTGACTCAATGTCACTTCCTGAGTGGCCGCCCGAAAAACGTCGCCCAACTTGTGCTTTACCACTTAGATGATCTTCCGAAAAAGTAGCGAGTCCAGGAACTCAGGAAGTAAGCAAAGAAGTGAGACTCTCCAATGGTAAGCCAAACTCAATTCCCAGGGCACCCCCCCCATGGCCGATATGTTCTTGGATTCCTGTTCGCGTCCCTGACATTCTGAGCCCGAGCCGAGGTTTCAAACGTAGCCGCAACTAAACAAAAGCAACAAATTAAAGTTTGACTTTTTGGGCTTGAACAAGTGAGAACCGTGGGCAATCCAGCAAAACAACGTGTCAGATAGGTTCATTGAAGCGGTCGCGGTTTGGGAAATGGGTCAATCTCCAAATTGGGATATATAGAATCCCAACATAGGCCTGGCCAGTAAAAACATCCATGCCCTCAGGGCAACATGTATCCGATGATTTAGAGCCACAAAGGAGCCATTATTCACTTAGAAACAGGGGGCCCGATAAGGACAAGAGTTCAATCGCGTGGGCTTCCAATAGTTCCTACCAGCTGCTACTGCATATTTTGAGTTGCATTTGTGAGGACAAAAAGGTTTGGCCCTTTTCATTTTGCATGATGTCGACATCAAATCATCCATTACTGGTCACTAGTTACGTTGCAATGGTTCCCCTCAAGAGGCCAACACTCCATTATCAGCTTCTCTCGAACTGTTGGGTTGGATTGGTGGAAGTCAGGACTGATTTCCCATTTACCCTCTACAAGAAGGGCTTGAAATCCCCAAACCACTCCAAACCACCAGGGAAGGGGTTGTGTGGCCGTAGGTTTCGCCGTGTTTGAGCCTTGAGAGGCATCCTTCCGCCCCCAAAATTCCACTAACATCCAACCAAACATATGAAAAAGGGTGCCCTTAAAAGAACATGCCCAAACATTGTGAAATAAAGTGCAGTATACAGCCTTCGTTGGCATAGGGTATAAATACCTTAGGTCCTGACCAAACGGTTTTACGACATAGATCGTACAGATTGAAGAGTAGGAAGAACAAGTATGACTACCATCCCACCAATTAACATGGAACCTGACCTTCGGGACTCAGTCCCTTTGCAAGAAAGATGGTCCGAACCACGAACGGTTCCATGTGAAAAGGGTGAGAGGGTAGCAAGGGAAGAAGGTGATAGGAGGGAAGAAGGTGATCTGAGAAGAAGGTAAGGAGAACAATTGGCGGAGAATAAGGTAATAAGAATGATCAATGATCTGGCCATGGGTCGAAATCCCGTACCCCCAGTGAACATCCCAATCCAACCACTAAAATAGGTTCTAAAATGGTTGGTGAATTCACCTACCCCAAAATGGGATCCTAAAACGGTTTTGACCACCACAGCCATCTAAGTATGGCGCCTTGAGGGCGGCCCCTTGGGCGCCGCGCAGAGTCGCTCCACAGTGTTACGGTCCAGGCCAGCCACCGAGCACATGGACTGCCTGAGCCCGCTCGAGTCCTTTAGGCTGCGTGAGCAACAAACTGGGCGCGTCTTTCTTGGGGACCCCCCTGGATGGCACAACGGTTCTCCCTTTGGATCTCCCGTAAACACCAACCAAAAAGGAGTACCTTCAACACAAAGACATGCCCAAATGTGTTTTGTAGCCACTGAAAGTGAACACCCCGAAACTAAAGCAGTAGAAATACCAAGAACTGTGAAGGGACCGGGTCTCCCAACGATTGGTTTGTTGAGGGCCTCGGTTCAGTCGCAGTTGGAGTTAACATGGACCCCCTTGGACCTGGCTCAGTGCTGCCCATCGTGCCGCATGAAAAGGGGAATACCTAAAAGCGCTCCCCGCCCCGCGTACAACCCCCCCCCGCAAAAGAAAAGAGAACCACTTGCGCAGAATGACCGGGACGTGGAAAGCATGGTTCGCCCTAAGGCGCACAACACCCAAGCTCAAACATCCTTTTCAGGCTTCGTCGGAACTGGGATCTTCCATGATGACGAACCTGGTTATTTTGACATATTATGGTGCGTGATGTCCCAGTGCCATCCCTATAGAAACAGCGTTAAATTGAATCAACTTTCAACCAAACTGGCTACTGCCCTTGTAGCAGGTTTTGCTTCTCTTCAGGGGGCCGCAAGTCCCAATGTGGATGTCAGAGGTGGCCAGGGATGCCGAAGGGGGGGGGGTTGTATCTATGGCTTCGAGGCAACCGTGCCCCTACTACATGCTCCAGAATGCCCGTAGAAATAAGCGATGTCTACATATAAAAAAAAATACAAAATAGGTGACTATTGTATATATATATATGTATGTCTGCATATATATATATATAGAGATTGACATATATCTATATATATATATTAATATATAAACACGTAGTCACAGGGCCCCGGGCGGGGACGTCTCGGTGGCCTTCTGCATGGCCGCCGCCCGCAGCTTCACCAGCTGAAGGCCTCGCAACTCGCTCGCTCGCTCGCTCGCTCGCTCCGCCGTCGGGACCCGGGGGGGGGGGGCATCCTGGCCAACCTGGCGTATCCAAGCAAAGTGGCTACAATCACCTGGTTAACAATATCTATGGGTGGCCACAAGGTCACCAGGTGAACCAAAAAAAAACCGTATGGGTATTGGGTATGGATCAAAGTTAAGCCAGGAATTGGACCGCAGGTCAAGATTTTTTGGGGTTACAGTACCCTATTCTTGACCCACAGCCACATTCTGGTTGCTTTCTTGTCCAGGTGGTTGTCAAACGAACCCCAGGAGAGCTACCCGCTACCCCCCACACACATGACACCCATGTATTGAAGGTTTGTCAAAAGTAGGGGCACTTTGTGGTGCCCTCTTTTGAAGGCGACACAAGGAGGCACCAGGGTCTAAAATGGGGCCATATTGTTGATAACGCCCCTTGGTGTGACGCGCAAATGAACTTTCAGGCAGGGGCAATGTTTGCTGGGCTGCTACAATGGCAACACGCCCACTCTGGGAAAACCGTGACCCAACGAGGCTAAGAAATGGAGAAAGTTCCCAAAACCTGAGCGGAAGAATTGCAAGACCAAATCAGAAGGAACTGAAGGGAGTCAGGATTGCCCTCCAAAAAAGCCCGGATAGATGTGGGACATAAGAACCAAATGCTCAAGCAGGGTTCTGATTGCTTTCGCGAACATTTCCACGTAGTGCAGCTAGCGTTGGCGGGTGAAATGCCGGACAATTTGTGAGATGACCTGGACGACTTGTTAACAAATACCCACCTTTTTTGGACAATTGGCTGCATTGTGGTTGCATGCTGAAACTCAACGCTTTCTACACCCTCGAATACACCCAGGGGAAGCCGGATTCATAAAGGATACATCCAAAAACCACATCTTGTGCCTGGGCATCCTCTCAAGCAGCAAAAACGCAAGTGAAGCCGCCCCAGCTGGTATCCTCCGGGACATAAGCCAATGGCAATGCACTTCACAACCTTCAAACCATCTGTAGATAGTTTCGCTTAGATTTGTGGCTTGGAGTGGTTTCAGAAGAACAACAGCTTTTTCACCCAAACCAACCAGGGGTACCAAGCGTTTCTTTCCCTCACCCATTGAAGCACCCTCCCAGCCAATTAACACATGGAACCCTTCGACGTTTCGGGGTGGTTTGGACCATTTTCCCTTTAAAGGGACCGGGTCCCGAACGTCGACCGGTTCCATGTGTTAATTGGTGGGAGGGAACCCAAGACGGTGTCTAAGGTGGCCGCAATCCTCGAACTCCAGCACCCCGGCAGCGCCTAAACCAGTCGCGGGTCGACTTGTCTCAGCTTCCCAACTGGTGATTTGGAGTGGTGGCTTGGTGGTTTGGAGGGGTCTCCCAACTAAACACTCTACAAGAACAAGGGTTCAAATCCAAGCCCAAACCAATCTAAACCACAAAAGGTTTGCCTTATGGTCGTGGTCTCCCATGGAAAACAGCAACCACAGGAACGTTGACAGGAAATCGGAATTCCAAACACCATCAAGGGGAACCGAAAGAAAACCAAAAGCACTTGCAGGGGATACTTGTATATCCAGATTTCCCCTCATCTTCACGAGAATCGGGTTCAAACCGGCCGACCGCCGCAAATGAGAGGTCGCCTGAACTGACCTCTAAAACCAACGGAACAAATCAGGGAAACACAGCACCGGAAGGTGTGCCAAGGGAATCCCAAGGATTTCAACCTGGAAGGTCTTTTGATTCCAACGGTGCCAGGCCTCAAGTGATATGAGCAGCGGCCAATATTTGTTGTGTCCCAAATGACATGATATTTTGGAGTGTAAATCTGCGTAATGTCATCCCCTTTCTAACTTCCTCAGTGGATGGCCCAAAAACTGTCATTTTTGTCTGCACCACTAACACGATCAAACAGTATAAAGCCCAGGAACTCAGGAAGTGAGCTTTTCCCTGTATACGACTTATTTTTTGTTGACCGCATCTTCATCCCCTCCATTCTTGTCAATGGCCTGCCCTCGGACTTACCCTGCAAAAGGTTCATGATGAAATTTAGGTGTCCCCCCCAGGTATAGCCCAGCAAATCCGCCGACGCCAGTCGAGCGTGTAGATGGCAGTCCGCAACTTGGTCTTCCTTCGGAATCTCTTATCAAAGCCGAAGGCTCTTGGGACTGCTATTTTTTGGGCATGCTGTGCTACGTGTCCAAAACCCTGTATTTTTCCAGTGTTTTTGGGCCTTTCGTGCTAGAAATCTGCGTTTCGCCTAGGTCTCTGGGGGGGGGGGTTTCCCCCGCACGCGCAGGATCTGCATCCCCAGCATCATCAGGATTATCTTGTTGCCATGAATTTGTCTCTTTCTTTTGCAGATACTAGTGGCGTTTTGCTGTTTCAAGCGATGTTGGAATTGGCCTGTTAGGGGTTTGGGTGAAGCCAAGTGCAGTGACACTTGAGGAACTGTTGAAATTTGCAAAAAAATCTTGCAATTCCCCACCTGTACGGAGCAGCTACTGCGAAACATCCCCTGCATTATCGTGCTTTTGGAAGTCCATTCTCAGGGTATTTGAGGGGGGTTGCTAGTATCGGTTTTTGATGGCTGCTTTTGGGAAATATTGAAAAACCTTGGTTTTTTGCACTTTTTTGTGGCTAGCCGGCTGCATTCCCAGCATTCCCCACAACTCTCGTATTTTCTGTGTTTGGTCAATGTCGCGTGTGTGAAAGTCTTAAAATCTTGAGCGTGAAGATTGGGTTTGTTCTTGTAAGTTGTGTGGCTGCATCCCTTGCATTTCCAGCATCCTCAGCATCTGGGACATGAAAAATGACCTAGGCAAAAAGACGTCTTTTTCCTGACCCCAAACTTGAGGCACCCTGCAGTTTGTTAATGGGGGACTGTCCACTGGCGTCGGCGGATCGCGTAGCGATTTCAATATACAATTTAAGCACAATATTGCAAAGAGAGCTCTAAAAGACAACCAAGGGTTTTCAAGAGGGCTTCCGCTTCCCCAAAAACAGTCAGACAATTGCTCAAATGTTGGGGGTCACTTGGTTAAAAGAGCGGTATTTGCAGATTTCCAGGTGACCCCTCAAATTTTGGCAAACCCTATTTCGGACTTTTGCAAGGTCATTTTGGGCAAGATTGACAAGTGAGACGATACCAAACCAGGAAAATAGTATGTACAAACTAAACCAGTTCAGTTGAGAAAGATTGCCAAATATATAGTGGCCACTGTGCGGCGTCCAAAATATAATAGCTATAGTTCAAAATAGTTCGGCACTATAGTGGCTATATTTGGTACTGGACATTTCGATTTTGGTGGGAAGATTGGGGTACACCTGTAGGGGTCCCCATGTAGCAAAGCTAGGATTCTGCCCACTGCAACTGGGTCCTGAATGGAATCAAAGGGGCCCCCTTTTGGTTTCCTTCAGGGTAAACTCAACATACCGGCAATTTGACGCCCAGTTTCACGAGTTTCCGATAATTGTCCCAGGAAGGGGGCAATAATAAAAACAAAAAAAAACATTTCCATCCCTGGTGGTTTGAGCGTCTCCCATCAACATGCCAACCATTTAAGGGGCTTGATTCACCGAGAGAAACTCCCCACATGGGTGTCTTTTTGAAGCGGAACCATTTGTTCGAGGTTTTGAAGCAAAACCAAAGGGGAGCACCACTTGATTGTGCTCAGTAGACCCAGGGTGTTGGGAATAAACCAAAGGATTCCCTCAAAAGAAACCATAGGGGCCGGTTTTTCGGGGTCATGCATGGATCATTCCATGCTTCATTCCCTGCTTATCGAACCAGCAAGACCACCATTTTGCGGGGCCCCACCTTAAAAAAGACCCCCGCCTCAAATAGGGGTCCTTTTCATGTCCCTCAAAACCGCCAAAAAAAAATTGCGGGTCCAACCCCCAGAAACCGACCCCCCCAAGTGTCCCGCAAATGGCGGTGTACTCGCCCAGGCTGAGCCCCGCCACAGCCTGCGTTTGTTTTTTGGCACCCTTGTTGGTCCGTTTCAAGGTTTGAAGGGAAACCAACAAACAAACAACGTCCATCTTTTGCGGGGGCCAAATCCCGATTTGGACACATCAGATGCGAGTTCTGGGTGTTCTGTATGACAACTCAGCACCTGTGTCTGTCTAAGTGGGACTACCTAACGGAGAACACCTGGTAGAGGACACAACCCCGAGGGTTCGAAATTGAATTTGGTGTCTGCACGCATTGCTGTCCTGTGCAAACCATTGCCCTTCCTTCTAACATAGCACTTGTGGGAGGGCACCTGGAAGATCATTTTCCTCTAACAAAAAAAACCCTGTCAGGAGCCAAGTGAGAGGGAGGGTATCCTTTTTGTCTCCCATCTGATGCTCTGTACGCCTGTACGGCAAGCAATTCCTTGACTGCTCACAACTCTTGTGAAAAAACACCACTTTTCTTGCCTGGCACAGGCTGTCGAGGCAAATGCTCGCCTCAAGCAAGCGTTTATGCCTAGGTTTGGACCATGGCGGTAAGCAAATAAACAAGGTTCTACATGGCTAATTCCTTTTTGGCTGAAACCTTCAGATCAGTACCTTCTATCCTTATACGTTTTAGGTTTAGCTACTTTTGGCCAATCCACTCAAGTGGTTTGCGGCATGGCAGGTTCCGTCTACCTGAAACGACCGATGATCCCTGGCCGGCAAATTGTTGTAGCGGATTTACTTACCACGGTGGAGAGGCCTTGTCACCCATAGCCCCAAATTGTTGTGGGGACAACTCGAGAATCCCCTACGTTCCTCCAAAATTGCCAATAGACTGCTGGACACTTTGTCATGTCTGAACCAACAGAACATTCAACTTCAAATAAGGCCAAATGGCGTCATCGCAAGGGGAAACAAGTGCCTAAATAGTTAGATGAGCTTGTAGGGGTACTGTGGACGTACAAACTCCACTTCGCACCAATTGGTAGATGATGTATCCCAGTGTCGGGCTTCATTCGATTCTGGTGCAGGATGTTTGTGCACAACATGAAGCCAAGTTACCTCGTGATCCTGGCATGATCATGTTTCCCACGAACCAAGAAAGGCTTCATGTTGACCCCGGATTACAACACACTGTGCTATCAATAGTGGGGCCCCTCAAGTGACGAGCCCCACAAAAAACAGAAAAAAGAGGCAGACACTCCCGCATTCATCAACCACGGGTTTGGGGGTCCGGTTCCCATTGTATCATTGGCAACTCTGGCAAACGCTTCTCGCGGCCTGCACACGGTCGACCATCTCCCTCTTCCTGAGCCGCAAGACACTTGTCTGGTTTGTCCAATGCGAATCCAACTCTTGCTCAAATTGGTCCGTCATTTCAAGTCATTTTGCTGGGAGAAAAGCTGTCCTCCCCCCCAAAAAAAAATAATGAGCAGGATTTGGACTCCTTTTCAACAGTTGGACTGGCCACTGTCCCCAAAACTTCTTCAGATTTGACGAGCCAAACGCCTGGATCATGGCCCTCCCGTCCAGAGGGCCTTGGCCATTCCCTCACAGGAGGTTTGTTTTTGGAGTCCGAAATCTGGCCCCAGTATTTCGCCAGAGTCACCCCTCACAGGAAGTGATAGGTAGGGAAACAGCCCGATAGGTAGGGAAACAGCCCTCATTGTCTGACTTTGACCACTGGAAGAAAGTCGGAATCATGACACCAACGGCAAACGGTGGGGATTCATGGCCAGCAGCCACTTTCGGATAGGTGACCGCGACTCGCAAAACTCATCGCATGATTGGTGATCTGAGATACTAAAGAGTCCACCATCCAGAAGCAAGCAAATCTTTTGACCATATATCCATGGTCAATCTAAAACCACGCAGTCTTGGGCTACACCTTGCAAAACGGCCTATTCAAACTCAAACTGCAACACTCTGCAACTGGCCAAGTTGTCCGGCTTTGCTCTTGAAATGTTGGAGAAGACTGCGATGTTCTATGTCTGTTGACCATGTCGCGCTAGTGCCACCTGGCTTAGAACAATGGCAACAGTTTGAACTGCTTATGGTCGATTCAGCCATCACAAAAGAGGACACATGCACTCTTTCCAACAATGACAGGGAGCTTTCCCGAGCAAAAGCGGTCTTCCAAAACCCTGCTCTCTCATTGTTGGAGAGAGAGGGAGAGAGACTAAACGATTGTAAAGTCTTGCCTTGAAAGCGTCAGGCCATGCCTCCAAAGGCCCCAGAAAGTGAAGGATTCCCAGAAATAGAGCACCCCCCAATTGGTTGCTACCGGCTCCTTTTGTTCCCACCGCAAATCGGCAACCAAAAGGTGATGTTTCACACCACAAGAAGAAGGACATGCAACCCTGTACTAATCCACTTGGTTCCCATTGGGATTCCGAATTGACCTAAACCGTGGAAACCGCAAAAAAAGGGGTACGCAGGACAAACGGGTGTGTCTCAAAATAGGGGCCTCGTTTTGGATGGTTTTGAAAGGAAACTAAAAGGACACCACCTGGAGGGGTCCCCATCTTTCAGAAACACCCAAATATGTTCTGACTCTGTTCCATATTCAGTTTACCCTTGCAACTATTGTAACTATTGTATAAAGAAACATCTTTGGAGACCGCAGAGACCTTGGGGGAAGCAGGCAACCTGAGCTCAAGTCGTCTGCTTCATGAGTTCGATGCCCGCCATGCCAGCCACAAACCTCACAGGTCTTGCAACCCGCGTCCGTTCAAGTGACTTCCTCCCCAACTCGAAATGGCACCGTTCGTGAGGATGGCATCACCCGCTTTGGCTCTTTGGACACCAGTAACTCTACACTCCTCAGACTAACAGCCGGAAGCCAGAAGGCCTCTGGCACATGGAAATCAGGTCTTCCATTCGGGGTCCGTTCGGGAGGTTTCATGTTAGTCTGGGGGAGGGTAAATGGTCTGCCCCACTTTGCTGGTACTACGTCCTCCAGTAGAGAGGTTAGAATAAGGGTACCAACTTTTTCCATAGTCTATTTTGGTAGGGGATCCCTGCCTCAACAAAGCGTACGACGATTTAGGGATCTGGAGTCTCCGTGGCATCGTGGCTCCATGGCCGGTCGCTTTCAAAGGTTTCGACCCGAAGGAGGTGGAGGACCCCACGAAAGGCTCACTTTCATAGGTGTCCTTCTTGGGAAAATAGCTGGGCTTCCCTGGTAGGTGATTGAACCACCAGGTAAACCAGGCATCGCCCTCAAATTTTAAACCAAATCTACCAAAAAGGACACCTAGGTTCATTTTTCTTCGGGACCCCTTCCGCAGTGCTTCCCTTGCTGGGGACCAAAAGAGCTACCCTTTCCCACTTACCCTTCCTCCCACTTACGTAGCATTTGTGGGAGGGTACCTGGCATTTGTTTCAGGGTACCTGATCATGTTCCCCTTGCAGGGACCTCCTATCAGGTGCCATGTTAGTAAGTAGGCAGGGTAGTTCTTATTCATGACCAGTTCCTTTTGACACTAACGGGGAAAACTGAGCAAAACATCGCCAGCAAATGAGAGAATCCAATGAACAAAGCAGCCAGCACCAGCTTGATCGGTCCGTTGATGTAGCTAGTCTGAGTCTTCCTATCAATTGTAAGTTATGTTCTGCAAGTGCCTTAATGGAAAGCCTAGCATTAATCAATCTCTGGGTGATGAATCGAGTCTGTTTCAGTTGAGACGCCATCATTCACTTTTCGGAGGCTCCCCCCCCAAAAAAAACAAACAGGTTGATCAATGGATCAATCCCGGGTAGGCATCAAGCAGATCTTCAGCTGGGACAAGACTTCCAGGCTCAACTAGTTCTCCTTCATCAACTCCCTCTGTGACTGCAAGATACCAGCACTTGCGCACAGCAACGATCCTAGCTGAGAAGTCAGGACAGACGTTGTCCAAGTTGGGAACTTGTCTCTCAAAGATAATCAGCAGATGCTACAAGCCATGCAAATCTGAAACTTCCAAGCTGCACAACAACGGCCGATATCTCTTCTCTAGATAAGCCCAAGATAGGCTTGGCCTGATGAATACCGCCATGTCTCAGAAATTAGGACGAGGTACACCAAGGAGACCGGGGGTATGAGGTCTTGGAAAATCCACATTCAGTCTTACTTCAAACAGCCGACTTCTGGCAAAATGTGTGCGCCCAAGTTGAGATATATGGGAAATCATGTGTGTAACGCTCTAAGGGGCAAAAAATCACCTATACCCTAAACCTCAAAAGGACTAAGTAACCACGGCCGACTCTAAAAGGACTAGAATACTAGGGTCTTTTGAAAAGGCCCTGCGTACTTAGAAACTGCCAATATATTAAAGTGTACCTGGTACCTGGTGAAAGCCTGCAGATTTGACACATGGTATAACCCTGGTGCCATCTTAGATGACCTTAGCGGGAAACTAGGCCAGCCTTCGTTTTCCATGTGCAAGCTCCATGCAAGGGTAGGGCGCTAGCAGAGTCAAGCCACATACCACTTGAATCCCGCCCAAGCTACATTTTGGGAACTCAACAAATAACATTCATGTCATATAGGTCAGTTAAGGCAGGCCGCAAGTAGAAAGAGTTGTTCACCAGTCATGTCCACTTATGAGGAATAATCTGATCCTGAAAAAAGCTAAGCAACCCCCGCCAGAAAAAACAAAATGTAGTGTTTGCCAAGGGCTGCCCCTAAATGCTTCTAACCCAATCTCGAACCCTCCTGGCTGGACCCAATCCAATACTGCTAACCCTGCTGGACCCCACTGCAAACCCCACCCTTAGGTGTTTTGTTGATGATTTACACCATGACCAACCTCTCTTTAGAAGTCCACTTAGCCTATCTTGGGGGTCCATTTCCACAAATTATTTATGTAAATCTAAAACCTTTCAAACACATCATAAACCAACAAGCCAAGGGTACCCTCTGCAAAGCTACATGGGACTACCCACAACATGAGACCATACAGACAGCTATCGGCGTATTGCCCCGAAACATTGCTTGTCCAATATCGATTCCAATTGATTGGTGCCATTGCCAGCGTCCCTTCTTGAAGCCGACCAAACATCAAGCATGTGGAAGAGATGTTAATAGTAACATGTGTTTGTCAAACCTTCTCAAAAAGCATCCCATAACAATCAGCCAAGTGTACCCCGAACAAAGCTACGTGGTGCTTACATACACTAATCGAGCTAAGAGCGTATTGCCCCTAGCCAATGTGTATCCACAATTGAGTCCAATGTTTGGTGCCATTGCCAGATTTCCTGTACACAACCAAACATCAAATATATGGGCTCCAAGTCTATAAGATGTTCTCTTTTCTTTGTAAAACAAAACATATAGACATCCGAAAAACATTAGCTAAAGATATCCCTACAACAATATTTGCTCCTAAACATATGCCGTAAATCAAGTCAATGGTCTTTGTCGTCACTTCCTGGTACTGCATCCTAATCAAAAAGTAGTTCAAAAGTACGGATTATTTTTCTAACAAAGTTTTGCCAGAAAACACTGACCGTGAATAAAGCTAATGATCTGGGCCACGCCTGGAAATTGAGGCAAATGCAAAAGCTTCTCAACTGGATAATTGCTCTCTGATGTAAAACTGCCAAGCTTCCTGAAACCTGATTCAAATACAAAACTACTCGTACATAGTATAGCGCCTGTTACAGTAGTATTGGCAACAAACAGACGTCTGGGTCATGTCGTACTGATCCTACGAAGAATTTAAAACATAGCGTTTCACCTTTCTAAAGTGCGTAAGGCTGCCAAAGTAATATTGTCAGACTTCCCGAACCCTGACCTAGAACCAAAACAAAGGAGCAGTAGTATTGCCAGACTTCCTGCATCCCGACCCCAAAAAATATGATTTCGAGTATCAAGCTGGACAAATCAGTCAAGATGTTCATATGGGATCGCAGTGGAGGGGGTGGGGCCCCCCGTTCAATACTCAGAGGTGTATCGTGGCTCACCCTTTCAAAACAAATCGCGCTTTCAGCATATTCTAATGGGAAGGCCTTTTAAAACCACGAAAATTGCGGGCAGCGGAAGTGCTTTTTACCAGTTGGGATTGGGAGCAAGATTTCACGGCCTTTCACGAGTAGACAGGGCCTTTCACGAGTAGGCAGGTCCTTTTCACGCTGTTTCACGCCGATTCACGCGTTTTCACGCTACCACTCCCCTTGCAGAATCCCGTGATCACCTGGCTCAGCATTCCCAAACTCAACGTAGGACACCGCTCGCATGTCAAACTGGGCCAGGTTTAATTGGGGGAAGCATTGCTGACCGCATGCAACATGCGTGGTACGCACAGAATGTCTACCTCCACCTCTGATAAATAAACAGGGGTCCCCACCCCTCTACTTTGATCCCAAATAAACATCTTGACTGAATTGTCCAGCGTAATACTCGAAATCACATTTTTGGGGGTCGGGATGCAGGAAGTCTGGCAGTACTGCTGTTTCTTTTTTGGTTCTAGGTAAGGGTTCAGGAAGTCTGACAATATTAAATTGAATTTGCATTTCTTGCGCAATCACAATTCTGGAAATATGGCAGCCTTACGCACTTTAGAAAGGTGAAATGCTACGTTTTAAATTCTTCGTAGGATCAGTACGACATGACCCAGACGTCTGTTTGTTGCCAATACTACTGTAACAGGCGCTATACTATGTACGAGTAGTTTTGTATTTGAATCAGGTTTCAGGAAGCTTGGCAGTTTTACATCAGAGAGCAATTATCCAGTTGAGAAGCTTTTGCATTTGCCTCAATTTCCAGGCGTGGCCCAGATCATTAGCTTTATTCACGGTCAGTGTTTTCTGGCGAAACTTTGTTAGAAAAATGATCCGTACTTTTGAACTACTTTTTGATTAGGATGCATTACCAGGAAGTGACAAAGACCATTGACTTGATTTACGGCATATGTTTAGGAGCAAATGTTGTTATAGGGATATTAGCTAATGATTTTCGGATGTCTATATGTTTTGTTTTACAAAGAAAAGAGAATATCTTATAGACTTGGAGCCCAAATATTTGATGTTTGGTTGGCTTTGTAGAGGAAATCTGGCAATGACACCAAACATTGGACTCAATTGTGGCTAAACATTGGCTAGGGGCAATACGCTCTTAGCTCGACTAGTGTTTGTAAGCACCACGTAACTTTGTTCGGGGTACCCTTGGCTGATTGTTATGGGATGATTTGGTTGAGAAGGGAACTATCAAATGTTACTATTAACATCTCTCTCCCAAATGTTCGATGTTTGGTCGGCTTCAAATAGGGACGCTGGCAATGGCACCACCAATAGGAATCGATCTAGGATAAATCTTGTTTAGGGGCAATACGCCGATAGCTTTATTTAGGACCACTTTGGGGTAGCGCCAAATGACTGCATGGATACCCTTGGTTATCAAAAAGGTTGTGTATGTGTGTAATAAAAAAAATATGAGTGTACATTATCATGACTATAGACCCCTAAACCTCTGTTTTGCCTGGCCACATACAGTAAAGAGAGGCTGGTAATTTTACAACAGCTTGGAAGTAATAACGCTCCCAAGGGTGGTGTTTGCAGTGGGGTGCGGCGGACTGGAAGGATTGGATTGCCAAACAGCAGGGTTGGGGATGAGGTTAAATTGCTTTGGGGCTATGGACCCTTAGCTTCATTTAGGGGTAATTTATATTTGCTCTTGCGGGGTCGCTTAGCTTTATGCAGGGCTGGTGTTAGGGTTGGTGCATTCCTCATAGGTGGCTAGTATGCGGTGATGTTTTTTTGGGTGAAATTCTGCCACAAGATCAAGTATGAGAAGTAACCAAAAACATTCATTGTGCATATCAAGGTTGCTAGCGAGAATGGAACAGCTTGTACGAAGCCAAATTAAAGGGTTTTGTTATCATGTTCACACCCTGGGCCCTTGATAGTAGCTTCATATATCGTACAGGAATTCCCAACAGGGTGCCATGTTGCAAATCACCGAGTAGTAAGTCTCGCTCGAGTAAAGAGGTCCTTTTAAAAGAACCTAGTTACTGAGGCCTTTGAAGCCTAGGGATATGACTTTCCCATGGTCATGACTTGATTTAGTTGAACAGTGCCCCCCCCCCCCAACAGAAGAACAAAAACCTAACTTGATTGCTTGCCTCTCATATGAGCCCCTTATTTTCCTGAGCAAAGACCTTGGTGCCGTCCACAAACTGGGGCTCTGTGGCTGTCGCCTAGCCCTTCTGTGGGTTCTTGCAATGGGCCCTTCCGGGGATGGACGAAACCCACTCAGTTGGTGACTGCTTTATCAGCCAGTTCTCGGGTTTCATCCAACCCGACTGGCGCGAAATGGATTTTGTCCCATGGATTGATGCCCCGATACTCGCTCAGCCACAAATATCCTTGATGCTGGTCCCGGAGAGAGTGTCTAAGAAATCAACAAGGGATCCCCAGAAAAGGCTAAGCCAACCCAACACTGAAGTTCTCAACTTGTTCAGCGATCTCTACATTACACACCTGAACATTGCCGTGTAAATGGTGGTTTCCCCTTTATTTGGCTGGAAAAAGCCATGTTTCAAATGGTTGCAAAATGGAGATCTTTTAAGGAGCCCTGTTGTTCGTTGCCTTTAGTTTGGTATCGCAAACAAGCAAAGCCATGGTAGAACCCGTTGGCTTTCCCAAGAGACCCCAAGAAACCCGAACCCCGCTCTGAGCAAGCCCACATGATCGGCTGGCAGTACTCCGTCGCGCTGAGTTGCTCCTGTACGAATCCCTTTCAGTTGATGGGGTGCTTCCTTCTAGGGCTTCCGACTTTAACACCATCCAGGAAGGGGTCCATTTGGGGGTGCCTTTCTTTGAGGGTGCCTCTTTTGTGAATTGAAAGGGAAACCAAAAGGAAACAAACACACGATTTAGGGGGTTTCCCTTAACATCCATTTTGAGAAACAACAAGGATGTCCCATGTGTTTTGCAGAAAGGCCCCATTATAACGGTTTTGTGGAACATCAGCCATCACACAGATTCCCAACACCAAGACTACTTTACTTAGGGCATGGTATCACAGAAAGTCGACCCAAAATCCAATTTCCCATGATCTTTGGTGCCCCAACGGAATTGAAGCCCAAAGAAATGACCAAATAAGTTGGGGTCTTTACAAGGATGGGCGGGGTCCTTAACATTGGGTGGGTGTCTCAAAATGAGTGATCTTTCACATGTCAAATTTGGGTCTTTTTGTTGATGGCACGGGAAAACCAAAAAGAAACCAAGCAGCCGAACAAATTAGTCCAACTCCTTTTGAGACCAACTTGGGTACGTGAATTGGGACTTGGACCCCAAAATTGCTTCGGCTTTCCCTCGTTCCCTTCCAAACTTCCATTTGCTCTTGTTGATTTCGTTGCCTGATTTTGGTTATGCCTTGGTTCCAGCGCGTTCCAGGCGTGAGGCTCTTGGCTGTCGCCTGTTGTCGCCCGGCAAAAATAGCGAAATATGTCCAGTAGTGAGTCATAAGATTCCCTTGAAAACCGACAGGGTAAAAAATGGCAAACATACACATTTCAGCAAATGGCGACCAATATGGTTGCTGTTCATTGTCCTTTTTCATTTTGGAAACTAACAATCATATTCAGTTCAGCACATGGTCCTTTAAAACAATAAACACAAATAATAATAGCACTACTACTACTACTAATAATAGTAACAATAATAATCATAATACTAGTAATAATATATTAAACTAAAAAAACAACACAAGATGACCACCGTGGGAGTGACTGGATGGCCCGAGCCCCGCCTCCGGGCCCTCCAAACAAAGCTTCTTCACGCTCCAGCCGAGCACCGCCTCGGCCTTCTCCAGCCTGGCGCGTTTCGCGTTGTTTCGGCGCGTTTCGGCGCCGGTTCGAAGTCCGAGGATCGATCCGGGGGATCCGTGTCGAAATGGATCGCTGCTTTTGTGTTGCTCGGTCTCTCGAGCAGAATCGGATCACTGAAGCTAGGGAAGGATATAGGAGAGCTGAGTCATGCGATTCGTTGGCTTATGAGCCGGCCGAGGAGCCGGCCGAGGAGCCGGTCGAGGAGGCGGCCAAAAAGCCGGCTGAGGCCCAGGAGCAGACGGAGACGGAGCCCCATGAGCCGGCCGAAAAGCCGGCTGAGGCCCAGGAGGAGACGGAGGCCCATGAGCCGGCCGAGCTTCTTTCCGGCTCAACTTTGTTGCTTTTGGCTGTTCCCTGTCGCAAAGTGTGTGAGGACCTTCGTTTCGGAAGGATTGAAAGGGTCGCGCCAGATGTAGTACTCATGGGACAGCGCCACATACAATTCTCTCGGTTCAGGATTGATTCTGGTTTGTTCCGCAAAGCAATGCCGGGTGCCTCCTCAAAAGACGAGCCCGTGTCTCAAAAACTGGGCCCTCATGGGTTTGTTCAAAGCTTAGAGCTTCGATCCAAAGCTTGGGCAGAGCCCCCCTCAGATTTCCACAACGAATCGCCGCCCTTGGTTGCACCCACCGGGTGTCTGGTTTAATTATTTCCGAAGAAAGCTTACCGACAAGGACCAACAAGGGGCCCAAATTTGGTGTGTCTCAATAGGGCATTGTGCCATTTGGGGCCAGTCCTCCTTTGAATTCTCCTCTAACCCACCCCCAAAACAACGCTCACAGAAAGAAGGTTTGGGCAACCACTTGCAAGCCGAGCGCTGGGCATCTTCTCCACCGCCGGGATCTCCAGGCAGTTCTGGAGCATGCCCTTATACTGGGAGCCCTGGGCGGAATCCGATTTCCGATCCAGGTGAGGCGAGGGGAGGTGTGCAAGAAGGAACAAATGAATCGATGATCCCGCAACTGTTTCTGTTGGAAACCGGAACCACCATATATATTTCAACCAAAACAACCAAAAAGGGCACCTGTGGTCAGCACCCATTGGCTCCCTCGGGATTTGGCCACATTTCACCAGCCCCTTGGCGGCTTGGATTGGTGAGTTGCATGGCGAGGCCTAAAAAAGCTTCAAGCCAACCAACCTCGTTCACCACATGTCGGAACCTTCTATTGTTCTTAGCTTACCAGGATTTTGTGGTTGGATGTTGGATGTGGTTGGATGTCGAATGTGGATGTGGTTGGATGTGGATGTGGATGTGTCTGCTTTTAGTGACCCCACACGCAAAAACCATACCCGTTTCTTTTAGTTTCTCTTTAAACCACCCAAACAAGGGTACCAACTCCAAAAAAGCCACGCCCAAATGGTGGACCCGTCTTGGATGGTTTTGTGGTTGGATGTTGGATGTGGGTGTCCCCTGTCACATTCTCCCACTAGACTAGTGGTTCGACATATTCTAGGTCCTCCAGTAGAGGGGTTAGAATAAGAGTACTTGATTTTTGTCTGTAGTCTATTTTAGTAGGGGACACCCCTCCCTCCCAAACAAGGGAAAAAGCGCACTACTGGGGGACCTAGTATTTGTTCTAAGCCCTGTCAAATTCTCCGCGCGAGCGCGCGCAAGCCGCAGCTCAGCTCGCGCCTGGCCGGGGAAGAGCATAGCCACCGGCAGCGGCGGCTTGCTCTTGGCCGGCGGCCGCGGGATGGTGCTGCGAGGCCTTGAAACTCGTAGATCACGCGTTTTTTGGGATCACCCTGGACACCACACTGGATACACGAGGGGTGGTTTCCTTGTCCATTCTTTTCAACCATTGTTCCTTTCAACCAGCCGTTTTCCCGCGGATTCTGGAGGTTTTTAGAAAGAACCAGTGGGTGGCACGTCGGTTCTTTTGTTGAGGGACCGGGGCCCCAAAATGGTGGTTGTTCTTTTGGCTTCCCTTAACCAACCAAAGTGGGGTACCTCCCATTGAATGCAACTCGTCTTCTTTTTTCAATCCACCCAACCAAAATGGATTCAGTTTACCTGTTGATTTCCCTTAACCGACCGAAGGGGGAGAATTACCCTCAAAAAAGACACACCCAAATGTGTGTCTTCTTTTGAGGGTACCCTGTGTATCCCAGGGCACGAACAAACGCGGTTGTGGTTTTGACAAATGAGTTTGAAGAAAATGAGTGTTGTCAAAACCTTGAAATAATATTTGCAACACAAGATGAACAAATGAGTATGTTTGTTTACGGATACCCTTGTGCAGGCTGGTTTGCAGAAAGGCAAACCACCTTTGGGTTGCCCTATTTCATGTTGACACATACCCAAATGGGTTCTAGGATGAGTGTCATGGTGCAAGCGATTGGAATTCCTCGCCGGATTCAAGGACTCTGCATCCAAAGCGTGGCCATGTGCTCTGAAATTTGGCTGTGGGTCAAAAATGGGTCCCAACATGGGTTGCCCTGGTAAATGGAACCAAGGACTTAAATCTGCGACCCCCCTGATGGTTTATTTTTGACCCACACACATTTCAAGTTTGCCCGTGTGTATGCCTTTAGTGTAGTATTCCTCGCAAGTTGAACAGTTGTTTTCTTGCTGGTGCTCAGTAAGGATAAGGAAACTAACCCAGGGTCCCCTTAAAGGAAACCACCAGTTGGATGATTTATAGGGGTCATTCCCTCATTTCCTATAGCTACTGAGCACCAGAAAGTGTTTGGGCAAGTTTAAATAAATGGTATAGGCTGACCTGTTCAAAATGCAGGGTTGGCCAATCCTAATCCATAATCCCTACAGGGAAGCCACTACAAAGGAAATCCCTTGCGTAACCCAAGGTAAGGATTGAGGATTACCTTTGAACAGCCCAGATAGGTGTGCAACCCTTTTGACATTGCCTGCCACTTCAAGCCGGCGCAATCGGGAGCAGGGCTCCATATCTGTCCTGCTTAAACTCACCGAACAGAAGCATTTCGCTTGGCAACAAAGAGGTGATGTTGAAAGCCACCACACACACACACACACGTATACATATATATATATACTGGTGTGTTGGTGCAATAGGGTACCCTGTTTAAGGTTGGGCAAAAGGGCCGTCAGAAGGAAAACACGCAACATCCGTGGAGTCCTGAGGTCCCTGTGATTGATGGCCCGCTCAAGAGCTTCGCGCCCGCTGGGGCGCGAACAAGTCCATCTTGGCCCAGAGCTCCTGAGGTTCGGAACGGAGCCGGCCCTAAAGCAAAGCTGAAAGGTATCACCCAAAGATGGGTGCCATAGAGGTCTGGACACAGAAACTATCCGTCCCTTTGGTTTCCGGTTGGGAAATTAATTGGCTTGGTGCCCACCGATTTCTTTTAGAGAGGGATGAGGTCCTCCCATGGCGGTGAACTTCCAACTAATGAAGCACAGAATGCACCAAGGCCTGAGCATGACGCTTGTGGTTCCTTTGTGTACATTGTCCCCGTATTCCGGAGGGGGAGGACAACCAACAACAATTAACACCAACGCGCAGCGGATGGTGCATAGCAAACATGTGCCCAACCCACAAAGAATCGCCGCCAGATCTAAGGTCAATATTCAGCAGGTCTTCCCAAAGGAATTCGGTTTGTGGATGTTGAAGTAGTTGGAAACAAAAACAAATCAACAGTAAACTAGCGTATCTGCACAAATAAATATACAAAGGTGCTCACACATATGTGTATATATATATGCATATATAATGTTATACATTACATACATGACATGGGTTTGAAAGATGCTTTGGTGCGACTCTCCCCATGACTTCCATGAATTTCGAGCATGTTGCCAGCTCCTCCGGGGCCGGCAGAGGGTAGGGATCCGCGAAGTCGCCGGTCTTGTACCTCGTCTCAGTCTTTGGCGGTCCCTGTGACTCAAATGACTTTCAGCTTCGCTCGAAACGGCTGGCTTTGGGGGTCTGGTGGTCTGGTGGCTTGGTGGCTTGGTGGTTTGGGGTTGCTGGTTTTGAACTTTCTATCTACAAGGGTGTCAAACCTCAAACCAGCAATGCAAAACCACCAACCAAGGCTTGCCGCAGGTTTGTCTATTTTGTTGGGGGTACCCTCCCAAAAACAAGCATAGAACCTGCACAAAGGTTCTGGGAAGATCATCTTCCTTTTGGGGGATCACTGTGCAGGCTCCATGTTTGTTTTGGGGAGGGTGTCTTTTGGGTTACTTTTGACCAGAAACCAAACGGGATCCTTCGCCCATTCGCCGTTTTTGGGGCCCCCAAAAAAAACAAAACGCACCTAAATGACAAGGAATTATTTCTAATCGGGAACCCCTCCGAAGTGGCTATCGAGGGTTTTATGCAGGTGTATCTTCTTGAAGTGAAAGGCAATTTCGTTTGGCCAAACATCAATCATGCGACTGATCAACTTGCTGCACGTCAGTGGTTATGAACAATCCTCCTCCGCAAGAAGCCAACGACTGGTCTAGTCGGACCAGCGATCAAACTGACTCGCCCAACCCCCTGAACATAGCTCAACCCTTCTTTGCCCGCACTTTCATATTTATCCAACAAAAACGACAAGTGTTTGTTTCCCCCCAAACCTCACCAGATCAATTCCTGACACAGCAGGCCGTCGAGTGGCAGGTGCTTGCGCTGCTTGGCCTTGTTCTTGTCCAGCCAATCCTCCGCCTTGTCGTCCAGACCTGGCGGCAAAAGAGGAAGAAGAAGACTTCGGCTTCCCCAAGAGGACGCGACTGCTCCCTTCCTGAGCGGATGGGCCAAAAATTATACATAGTATATATATATATATATATATAAAATAGTGATTGGCTAAACAAAGTCCAAGGTTTATATATGTATATATCTACTATATAAGCAATATAAAACGAAATGGTCCTGGCGAGAAGTTTCAAGTCCAGGATCTCAGGACTGAGACTAATCTTGGCGAAGCACGCTGATTTCTGAAGGACATGTCGTCAGTCATTGGTAACCATAGACTACTGGACAATTTGACCAAAATGACTCCAGTTTGCCCTATCATGCGTTCCCAAAGTCCTTGAGGTTGGTAGTATGATTTTAACTGATTCAGGTTTTGCCAACAACCCCCCAACAAACAACTATTCATGAACGGCAAGCGCCCGAAACGGGACTTGAGCGGTAGTTCAGATCGGAAATCTGGGGACCCCCCAGTCCGCGAGGAGTCCGCGCCTTCAAATCGCCACTTCTTGAGCTTGGCCTCCTGGGAAGCTCCGCCAGCTCCGGTTGCGAATATCCCTCTGGGCACATCCACAAAATGCGTGCAAATTGGATGGATGAAGCCCGATTCGAATGGCGGGGTGCAAAACCACCTGGAGGGAACCTATTCCCTGGCAAGGTGTTTATCCACCACCGCAAAGCTTCAAATCCAAACCAATCTAAACATTGTTTAAATAAATACCAACTAACATAATTTTGTGCAAAAACACAAATACCCATTGCTGTTGACAACCAAACTAGGGATTACCTGGCGTTCAAGGACCCGGACCATCGACTTGGGTTTCAGATAGATTACCAATCACCTCGTTTAACTTGCTTGATTGGAAGATGGGAAGACTTCAAACGCAAGGATTGTTCTCTGGCCGCTAAATAGGAGGTCTCAGAAAAAAAAAAAGAAAAAAAAAGAACACCCACCCTGTCTCACTTTCTTTTGGGCAACTCAAAGTGGGCAGTTCGCCTTCGTTGACCTTCTAGCAGCCATGGAAAAAGCAATGGATTCAAAGCTTTCCTGGAATTCCAGAAGCCTTTTAAAGCTTGCAAAGGTCGATGGATCAACTGCCCAGACCTCCCGTGGTGGCGAAAAGGTGCGGGCACACCTCGCTTGGAATTCAGCGCGCTAGAACGAGTGAACATATTTCCAGTAGTAATAGGTTCCCTTTAACGCCAATAGAACCTTGCTTTGAATTTTTAGATCCATCCGTTTGCTTCAGCCACCTGGACAAAATGCAATAGTGATAGCGTGCCTTTAAATCCAACAGAGTCTTGCTTGGATTTTTAGATCCATCCGTTTGCTTCATAGTGATAGCTTCCCTGTAAATTCAACAGAGCCTTGCTTAGATTTTTAGATCCATCCGTTTGCTTCATAGTGATAGCTTCCCTTGAAATCCAACAGGGGACAATACAAAACGTGTTCATTTCAGCAAATGGAAGGATCACGAGAAGTATGAAGCAACTGCTGGGCGACTGGAGCGAGCCACAACCTCGAGCGAAAAAAGCCGCACACAGGACATGGCGCCTTGCCACAAACGTCGGCTCTCACTTGGAAACCCAGAACGCAGCTCACTTCCTGAGATGGCCAAAACAAATATGAACTTGGCCTTTACCACCAGAAGGTTCTTCCGAAAGAACCAAAAAGTAAGAGGATCTCAGGAAATGAGGCTGCCACTATAGGTAGCCAGCCATCTTCCTTTTGCAAAGTTCCCAGGGTTTCCTCATGGAATCACGAAAGCATGGAAAGGTGCTTGCCGCCATCCCCGACGACATGGTGGATGGACAAAAACTACAAAACGCATCAACCCCAATGAAACCTGGGATACACCACCCACCAAACTGGTGTGAACCCAGCGGAAGTTTGGCCCCCCCGGAAAGCCAACGAACCATAATTCTACTCTTGCGGCGTGATCTCGTTAAGGCCAGACCCCGCGCCGAAAATTCCATTCCAAAGCCTGCAAGCCTCCTTTGACTGGTCAAACTGACTGGCAAAAAAAAAACTGGAAATATGAGAAGCCCATGCTTCGAACTCAAACCCTGACCAACATGAGGGCACCAGGCCAACTCGCTGGCGATAAGGGATCAAAGGGACTCAAAGCTTGCCAGGCCGATGCATCCGCGGGCCAGCGCTCCTGGGCTTGCTGGTTCTTCTTGTCCGTCAACTCTCCCTTGATGGCGGCCTGATCCGAGGCCGGAGGTCGTGGCAGCGGGGCCCACGTGGTCCCGATATTTTGGGTGTGGTCCTTCTTTTTTAGGTTGGACCCCCCGGCAAATGCTTAGTGTCCTTGTGGCTTCTCTTTAAACTTTAACCCCCCCCTGCCGAAAACGGGTTCCCCCCGAAAAAAAGACGCAACCATTTAGATGGCTCACTCTTTGGATCCACTAGTCATTTTCGAGGGCGTTCTCCAGACAAATCACACCCAGCTCATGTGCACAGGCTATGGATTGGTGCCAAGATGGGTAGGCCAAGATGGTTACGTTCCTGCAAATCAACGTGGATCCCAACAACCGGGTCGGTCTCCCCAAAGAAAGACCATCCTCTAAAAAATGCCGCAACGTGTGGGGTTCCATCTGAAAAATGCCAGGGAACGGTATGTCCTGTTCTCAGATTGTTTCCGTGGGTTTCAAAAGTTTAAAAGGGAGCTTTTGTACCTATGCCAAGGGCTCATTTGGGTATGAATGTTACGTGGAGCCTTTGGTGCACATCGTTCACACTTGTTGGTGGGGTCATTCGATTTCACGGCCAGTCGGCTGCAATCCCCCAGACAGGCTTGCTCCAAAACCCATGAGCCATAGGCACGAGAAACTTGCAGAAGGAAACCATAGAGGTGTGGGTCAAAACAAAACGACCAGGGGCCGCAGGTTTTAGTCTTTGGTTCCATTTACTAGGGTTCCATTTTCGGTACGCATTTTCGACCCACAGCCAATAGGAAACAAACCAGATCAAGCCAGACTTCCGAATCTTGGGGTTTATCTTCTTTCCCCCCGACCTGCCAGAACCTTGGTCAAAGGGGATTTGCATTGTCTTTTTATTGGGGAACCCTCTTTTGGTTGGTTTTAAAGGTAAGAACACCACTTCTTTTTTTAGGGGGAGCCGTAAAAAAAGACACGCCCATTCGGGCCACCTCGAGGACCCTCTTCCGACCCGACCCAAAACAGAACAGACTGGGTCCATCGTGACCTTTGGCTACCTGTGGTGCTTTCGGGGTGGAACAGACCGCAGAGGTCCATTCAAACCTAAAAGCCAAGGAAGATATTTGCATCCCTCTTCTGTGGTTTTTTTGTTGCTTCCCTCGCCCCGAAGACCAGAGAACATATCCCACAAATTCAAGGGATGGACTCATAGGCAACCCTGTAGATCAGGCCGTACCATTCCCGATACAAACCCCTCAGTTGCCTGGGCCCAAACAGACCTCAGGGACCCCACAAGGCGGTCGATGGGCTTTTCCTGCCAATGGTCCCATGTACGGACCTTTGATCAACCCCCATATCTTCGGGGTTGAGCTGACTTCAGCCTTGCGCCTGCTCAATGCTTTTGGTTTCGGGACCGGCTCCGGAGCCTGGCCTCGAGCCACTCCATTTCTGGGCCGTCGTTCCGGTTGTTCAGGTGAATCAACCTCGGCCCGCGACCCCCACTCGCGGCAAAAACATAGCTTCGTGGATCCCTCTGAACCAGCCCCAAAAAGGGTCGCCTCAAAGAAACACAAAACCCATTCTCATCGGCTTGCCTCTAATTGGTTTGGATTGGTGGCTTGGAGGGTTGGGGCGGGGTGGCATTGGTTCGGATTACCTGATTTCAGGTACGGAATTCAGAGATTTGGATCATGAGAACATGACATTTGTGGGCCCATTCTCTTTGGCAAAGCCACCACCCCGCCCCCAACGTGGTAACTAGCTTGAATCGAGGAACCACACAACCTACCACTTTCTGACTTTGATGAGCCGCAAGAACTGCCGAACTAGCAACTCCGCTTCTACAAAAGCTATCTGCCGATTTAGGACACCTCAAGCTTCCGAATCCAGCCCGGCGAAGCCTCGCTCTCCAAGCCCGTGGAGGAACCACTGAATTTGCTTCTCCGTAAGGGCGGGCTTCGTTTGAGGGACTAGCACTCGAAAATATACAGAATTGGTCGCAACTCGGGGGCCCCAAAGTATTTCGCGGCCTAAATGTATCCTTTAAACGACCCTGAGAATGGTTACAAGTTAACTAGCATGGATGCTATAAGTATTGCAAGTATGGAACACATGTTGCTATTTAACAGGGCTTTGCGGGTGGATGTGGTTGGCTATCCGCCGTAGCGTTCAAGTTTCCTCGAAGATGGTTTCCGCTCCCAAGCTACAACTAGGTACACGAACTACTACTAGCCTCCCAGGGGGAAATGTGGCATGTATCCTTGATGTAGCGTTTGTTTTTTCCTCGCGGTTATCCCATTAAGCCTCGGGGCCCTGAAAGTTTCGATTTGGGGTGGACAGTTAAACAAACCTCGGTATCGCTTTGGGGGTGACCGAACCGAGCAAATCGATCAGAGAGAGTCGCTGTGCGGGAGCGTTCCCGTTGAGATCCGGCGTGGTGGTGTCCGCGCCGTGCTCCACCAGCCATTGCAAGCACCTGGATTCAGCTCGCGGCTCGCGGCTGGCGGCGGGGCCTGACCTTCTGACGGGTACGTCAGGGAAGTCGTTCATATCCACTGTGCACAAGTGCCCTAAGTGGGGAGCTTGACCCCCCCCCCAAAACGGGAGCTGCTTGCAATTTGTGCAACAAAAAGTGTATGGGGCGAGTCCAACTGATTCGCTGCTAACAAGCAAGTTCATGAGCATGATGAAGCTACATAATTGACATCTGAGCGTAAAGGAGCAGTCAGGGACACTACCCATTCCCCTTTTCAAACACGCCTGCAGCCAAGCCTTGCCAGCCTAATTGCTTATGAAGGCCTATCTCGGGTTCGGAAGCCAAGCGACTACGAAGACCCCGTGGCCTGAACTCTGCCAGCTGTCACTTGGAGAGCTTCTCCTCTGTCAACTGAACAACACCTTGTACACACCCAAACATGGATTGCCAGAGCTAATTACTTAGCAATCTTTGCGCCTCGGACCCACTTTGTTCTCAGCATATCCATGATTGTCAATTCTCAAACCAGACAAATTCCACCTGCTGCATGGGTGCGGATCTTTCGTATGATGCATCCTGAATGCCCATTGCATGAAGCTAAATCACAGTTTAGCCGAAAAGGGCACCCTCAAAAACCAAAAAGCACGCTCACTCGAGCTTCAGCGTCCTTTTGGTTCCCTCTTATAAAACACCTCAAAGGGGCACCCCTCCCCCCAAAACAAACGCATGGCATGAAACGAAACCAGAGTTTGGCTCCCCCGCCACCCCTAAAAAAAGGGGGGAGGTCCTCCACACATAGTTCCGCGCCATCGCATTTCCACTTCGAATTGGTCGCCGGAAACGTCCCAACTGCAGGCGGTGGAAGCTGGGTGCGCGCGCCAGGGGGTGCCGTAGCGCACCGAGTACCAGGCAGGCCTCGGAATCGATGGCTTGATGTCTGAGAGTGCGTTGTCTTACCTTCCCTGTTGCTGAGCAGGGAATGAGAAATGGAATGAACCTGGGGATTCCAGACTAAAGGAAACCATGGGGGATGGATTTTCTTGGGGTCATTCACTCATTCCCTGCTGAGCACCAGCAAATTTGTTTGGGTTCTTGTCAAGTTTGCAAACAACAACAAACACCCAATGCGTTTCTATAAACAACAAGCAAGCCCAATGCAAGGTTTTATGACAACCCAATGGTTTGCACGTTGGGGACTGCATCGTGTTCCTTAAACCTCTAGATGCCAGAACGCATGTGATTCTTGTATGTTGCCATGGTTTACCGCTAGTATCCCTTGTGGGTTGACCCCGTCTTTGGAAGGACACTGGCCCAATAAATGGTCTACAGGTGTGTCAGCCAACTGAGATCCGTTCCCCGGCAAGATGCCGTTCGATAGCTCCTCGAATAGATCAACCCCGATAGATCCGGCCCAAGAACGCCTCCCAAGATCTGCGTGACACACCCCTCGCGAACAAAGATCTGCTGCCAACATCACTCAAAAGATGCTTCCTTAATTTTCATGGGGGCTGGGGGGGGGGGAGGGATGGGGGGAGGGAGCACGAATAAGCTCATTAAGCCCTTACCTGCCCCTGCTCCTATGAGTTTTCAGTTGACTGAAGTTGCGGCTGGCTGGTTCTCAGGGAATCATTTGTGGGCTGGAAATGAACCGTCTGGGATTCCTAGAAAACCAGTCGGATGCTTCTGCAAATATTACAATTCCCTTTTGAAGCACAGCATTTTCAATCAAAGGACCTACATGGCCATGGGTCAAAAGCCCGTAACCCCAGTGAACCTCCCAATCCACACTAAAATAGACTAAAATGGGTGGTGCACCTACCCCAAAATGGCACTATTGGTTTTGACCCACAGCCACATGGCAAAAACGCTCGTAGACTTGCTCGAAACCCATGTTTGCAGAAGTTCAGTTTGGGATCTGAATCTAAATTGGTTCAGCCTTTTACTTACCCAAAGGACCCCCCAAAAAAAAGGTTCCCAAAAAAAGGCTGACCTTTGGGAACTTTGACTCAACACAAGTTGGAAACCACAACTCACAGGTCGATTCGCTTTGGTTGCTTTGGTGCGGTTTGGGATGGTTTGGTTTAGTTTGGTTGACCCTCCAAAAGGCTGCATAGTTGCGCTCAACTGGGCCATATGGCCCAAGCAAATGTGGCAGATCTCACCATTTTGACTACAGGGCATAGAGTTTGCAGTTTTGTTTTTTGTTTGGACAACTCGATTTTTTGGTGTGGACAGCTCGAGGTTCCGTCGTTTTTTCATTGCAGGAGATTGCAACTCATGATGGAATGCTTGCTTTGTTGGGACCAGATGGTGGAATGCCTGAGTGCACAAGGTGAAACAAAGCCCGGGGGTCTTGGAGGGAACCTCACCAAAGAAGATCACTTCCCCACCTGGGCAAAGTTACCCGCGGTCCACACTGGGGGCCTTTTTGTGGGAACCTTGATCAACCCCCATGTGCACAAGGTGAAACAAAGCACGGCGCAAGGAGGGAACCTGACGCTCGGAATCTGAGAGCCGTGGCGTCTCCCCGTTGAAGGTCTGCGCGCTCAGCTCTTGCTCGGTGCAGGCCTGCCCGAGGCGAAGCATTAAAAACGGGAGTGAGGCTATGAGGCTTGGTAGTGGACCGGCCAAGTCTTGACACCTCTGGTTTGCCACAAAATAAGGTCTTCCGAACAAAGCTTGAAGTCGTTCAAAGAAAGGGAATGAGCAGTTTTGCGTGGGTGTGTTCATACGGAACCCGTTTCGGGGTGGTACCCAATTCCACCAGTTCCGCCAGTTCCGCCCGTTCTGGAGCGAGCAGGCGACGCCATGAAGCTCCGGCGTCCGACGGCTCTGGTATTCGCCTTCAGCATGTCCATGTTGCCATACATGCAGGCCTCAGGTATCGGCTCAACCGCAAAGACCCAAAGGCTCAAACGGATTTTGGACCATTCCCCTAACTTAGGTGGTGCGGAACTTAGCTACGTTAACAAACCCTGGTTGTCCTTCTGCATTCCCGGGCCAATGACCCGAAGGGTGTGATCTCAGGGCTTGGAACATGGGTGTCTTAAAATGGGGGACACCTCCAAATGGCCGGCTTCTTTTGGTTGTCCTTTATGACCAACAGCAAGGATACCCCAAAAACAGACCGAAGGCATGAATCCCGAGACTCGAGTGAGGCTGCGGCAATGTGAGCAGGACCCCAACCAAGGAAGTTGGTCAAGCCGTCCAACCTGGTGCGCTGAAGACTTTGGTCAAGGTTGTGGAAACTAATTCACCCTCGTGATGCTAAAGTGGGGTTCGCGTCACCGAGACTACTTGGTCACTTTGAAGGGACTATCCGACCTCGAACCGGGATCAGGCAAAATGAACAAATGCGTATGCTCTGTTGGGTAGGGAACAATTCAACAACGTGTGCCGTTTGGCGCCCAACGTACAAAATAACGGTGCTGCCCCTTTAGTCCCTTGTCATGCAGAAAACAAAATGTGGTTGGCAAAAGAAGCAGATTTCCCGCAAGGCCCGTTAACACAAAAAGAAGCAGGCTTCGCAATTGTCCAATGGGAATGTTGTCCCTGGGGTCATCAACCCTCCCTTCCCAAGTGGATGGGCCGAAACAAGTCCATGTGTCTTTCGTTACCACTAAAACGGTCAAATCCCGAGTGGATGTCCCCAAAACAGTCCATTTCTTTTATTTGCCAAAGCCGGTTCTCTCCAAGCCCAGGAACTCAGGAGTATAGAACCTGTCAGAATTTTCGGGGGTTCCTCCCAAGCAGGTCAATCCAGGCAGGTTCCAGCGTTCGGGGCGCCAGTCAGCATGGCATTTGTCTGGATTATGAGAAATTTACACAAGTCAAATGGAAGTCATTGCGACAGTCATACGATTCCAACCCAACCCCTTCAACCCTCTACTTTTGGTTCCCCTGCGGTCTAATTCAGCCGTTTCATAGCCCTTGATGACACAGAGGGAGGGGCGAGCGGGGATTGAATCCTATGCTCCATCAAAACTACCACAGGATTTTCCCAACAAAAACATGGGGAAACATTTTGGCTGCGCCGCTGGCTTGGGATTTTCAGAGCTCGCTCCCATATCCTACTGATGGACGAAATCCACTTCGCACCACCGAAGAAAGCCTGGAATGATCCGATTCCCCTGTAAATGCCAACAAGCAATGGCTCCCCATGGTTTCAAAGTGCTGCAGGATTTCGTCCATCGACAGTATGTACCAGGTGGACCATGATTTTTAACTCATTTGCCCCAAAACACCTAGAACTAGAAGCTGGACCTTTTGGAACCTTTAGTAAAGTTGCCAACATTGGGACACCAAAAGGTTTTCACAGGTCGATTCGTTTTGAGCAAGTGGCTGTAGCTCAAAACATGGTCACCTTGCTATATTATGGAAACAAAGACTAAAAACTGCGCGGCTTGCCCCATCTGTTGAGCCACCCCCAAATGGGTGTGTGGTTCTTTGATGTACCCTTTAGGTTGCTTGGGGAAACCAAAAGGAGAACCAAAGTCATTGTTTGGGTCTCCTAATTTTGACACATTCGTCTATACACCTTACAAGCTGTGTAATTTTGACCCAAGCTTGCTGGTGCTCAGTAGGGAATGAGCGAATGAACCCAGAGATTTCGAGGAGGCTGGTTTATCTCGGGTTCATTCCATTTCTCATTCACACCCAAGTGAGTTGACCAAACCCTTGAGCCTCACCCCGAGACACCTCTGCAACCCTCTCACTCGGTGCCCGGCGAGCCGTTGAGGCATGCGTATGCGTAGGCGTCGGGCTGCAGACGGGCCAAACGCAAAATGGTTTTCCTTTTAAACCCACCCAACAGGGGTGCCGAGCCTCAAAAAAAGACACACCTTTCTTTTGAGTATCCCCTTTCCTTGCTGGTGCGATTGGTAGGGTAAAGGAAGACGCACCCCTTTTTTGCTTAGAGTATCCCCCTTTTCTTGCTGGTGCGACAGGTAGGGAATGACCGAGTCCGGGTGTTGGGAATGATTTGGTTTGGGGGATTCCAAATTGAAGGAAACCATAGGGGATGGCTTTTTTGCAGGTCATTCCCTGGTTCCCTGCTGAGAACCAGCAAGTTTTGGCTTCCGATGTTTTGAGGGCCTTCAGGTCGCTTTGAGTAGCTGATTCCGAGCCAGCAAGGGAAGCCAGACGGTCATCATCCTCCATGCTCCTTTTGAGGGACAAGCTACCCTCCCACCAATGCGGAAGTGCACAGATCCCTTTTGGAAGACGATTCCTCTTGGAAGGGAGCCTATACCTTCCATGCTTGTTGCATTGTAAAGCCCCAAGAGAAGGGTTCTCCACTCCAAATCAAAATCTTAGAAGCCGCAACCTCCGTTTGCTGAGGGTGCCATCAGCAAATCGCTTGTTTGGTTCTGGCTTTTTCTGCACGACACACCAATTCCCCTGGAACCAACAGGAAGAAACACGCGTGAGTCAGAATCGTAAACCAGAGGCGATGTCCCGAGAGCCAATCATAGTATAGACAAGTAACCCGTCCGCTGCAAACAAAGTGGCCTAGACCCAGAAATACATGGCTAGCCTTGGGCCGTAACTCAAGTTGGACCAAGGAGAAACTCAGAGATCAAAACTTGGTTGACGTTGAAAGGGGAGAAAAAAACAAATTTTAGCAGTTAAGTGGGGATTTCAACCACTAAACCACAATAAGCCAAGATGTAAATAGTTTCTCAACAACAACCATGAAAAGGTAGATTCGCTTTGGGCAGCTGGCTGTTGCCCAGTGTGGTCCTGTTCCAATCTTGAGCAGCGGGAGTCGGCATCCGAATTCGCAGGCCCCGGCCCCGGCTGACTGCTGGTTGGGCACACAAGTGACTTGCCTCAAGACCAAACGGGAAGCAATATATATATATATATAAATATATATAAATAAATATATATGTCTGTTCTTTTTCTGTTTTCCTTTTTTTTTCTTCTTTTTTTTTTCTAGTGCCACCGAATTCAACAACATGGGCGGAAAGAAACAACTGCTTGGCCAAACTGAGCCAAAAGAAATTGCTGCTTGGATCGAAATGAACGAACCGGTCTTCACTCAAAGAACACAATGCCACAGTTGGTGAACACATGGTTACAACACGCTCAGGAAACACGAAGACACGCTTATCAGGCAAACGGGCTAAGTCTGGCTACGCATGGTTCCAGGGGTTGATTCCCCATTCTGTTCAGCCATCGTTCTTTTCAAAAACTGGCTGTTTCCCCTGGGTTTCTGATGGTTTCCTGAAAAAAGGATCCCTGGAAAGAATGGGGAAGGTACCCGTGCCCATTCTTTGGCGTTACCAAACAAAAACTGGGCCAATCCCCGGGTGCACTCCATTGAAGCCGTCTGAGGCCCGGGCACCAATGGTGATCCCGCTGAAGGGGTGCGACAAAGGATGCTTCACCTCGTTGGGCTTGAGCTCTGAGGTGTTTATTTGGTCTGAAGGGACGCCAAAGGGAAACCGGCAGCTTCTTTTGGGCCTCACAACGTGAAACGTTGTTTTTGTTCTTCTTTTGTCTTAAAGGGCACAAACAGGAAAACCACAGTTTGTTGGGGCCTTTAAGCGCGACACATGCTCAAATGGGAACCCCGGAGCTGGCCAGCTGGCAAACGCGGGGAGAAAGGCTGGGGGGCAAACAAGCCAGGCTTATATAGATTAGGGCTTCATCCATGGCAGCTGGAACGCTTAGTGGCTTTTGTCCCTCCACAGTATCACGGAAAACGACTCAACCTTCCCCACAACTCTGTCCATCGAATCGGGGGGTTGTCTTTCACCCAGTCACGAAGAGAATGGCAAAGAGCGCCCATGCCAAAGCTGGATGGAGCCGAGTGGTCATTGATCCCCTCAAACACGTGATTCTTTTGCCGCTTGCTGCTTGGAATCGTCATTCTCCAAAAAGCTGGTAGGATAATTCAGGCCAAGGAACAAGTGAAAAAGCAATCCCAGGCCTGCTCATCCTTCAAAAAGCTCCCAACAAAGGTTTATGGTCAACTTTATGCTGGGCCTGATCACAGTGCTGCCCCCTAACATTGCCAAATCAAACGATGGCCTAAATGACCACGGCCTCTATTGCAGTTAAACCCCGCCCAATGTTCCCGGACGTGTGTCATTCCATTCTTTGGGCCATTCAGCCTGGCCTTGGGCCCAGAGTTGAGCCGGCTGGAGAACTGGGCCACAGATGTAGCTCCAGATCTCAAGAGCGCCACCAGAGCAGAGCCAGATCTCTCCATCTCCCCCCCGGTGGCTCATCAAGGCGGTGGTATGCGCCTAAGTGATCCCAGTGCGCGGTCTCCTTCAGGACGCCGGATTCTTGGTGACCATCGCACACATCTTGCTGAGGGCGTACATCAAATCCGTGCGCATCAGCCAAAGAAGCTCACTCACCATTATTCTCGCCCAGTTGTCCAGCCATTACCCAAGTGACTCACCTCTACCCACGAAACAGGACGGCTCCCTTGCGACTTTCAGATTACCCAAAGCTCATTGGTTGGGTGTTGCTTCCAACCAGGTCACCCAACAAACCAAAGGCCACAAGGACCTCTTTTCTGGCCCATTTCGAGTGCTCTCATCGGTCAAGATGCGGCGGAAAAAAGAGATGCCCCATCCTGTCAGCCTGGGAATCCTCATGTTTCAGGTTCGGAATGCCCAACATAGGGGGAATTTCAAAAGGTCGACTCCAAGCAACAGTGGGCTTTGTGTCTTTTGTGTTTTGTTTCTCTCTCTCTCTCTCTTTCTCTCTCTGTTGCTCTCTCTTTCCACTGAGCATGGACAAAGGAGACTTATTTCCTGGTGGCAGAATTCCCCAAAACCAATTTAGTTCAGCAACTATGCATCTCTTCCTTTCGAATCAAGCGTTCAACACTTGGTCTTTGATGACGGGCCGTTTTTAATCACATACTCTTCTGAAGCCCCGCTGCTCCTTCCCTCAGGTTTGCCATGAGACTGGGAAGCCCATCTTATTGGGGGGTTGTTGGGGTTTCAGGGGACAAGGCCAAACGCCAAGCAGGCAAGAAAGCACCCCCAAAATGTGACCTCCCCCCAAAAGAAGAACATATACATCCCAGGAATGGTGGGTTTTCCTTCGGGTTTCCTTTTCCAAAGGATACCACCCCCCACCCACCGTTCGAAGCGACCAAGCTCGGCGACCAAACTCGGCCCTAGCCGCTCACTTGGCGGCCCGGGCCCACTTGGGCAGGCGGTACGCGTCGAACTTCTTGTGCCCGGGCCTGGCCACGAGCAGCGAGCAGCGCCCCTCGCGGTTTGGATCGGTTTGAGTTGAACCAATTCTGGGCTGCCCGTTTTCTGATCCCCTAAAAGCGAATGACTGTTAGTACCACTAAACACTAGGCTAAAAAGCTAAGGGGATGGATGGGAGTCACCAAGAATTGTTTCTAGAGGGCAACTGGAAAAACCACGAACCACCAAACCACCGGGCTAACCATTCCTGGCTGGGAATCCTCGAGAAAACACAAGCTGACCAAAAGCGGAAAGGACTCTGGATTCCCCTAAATGATTTCCAAAATGGTAACTTCCTTTTGGTGTCTTTTTTTGCGCCAACCACAAGGGGCTCCCCAGACAGGTCCAAAGGCATAGAGATGCCAAGAGCTGAGGTGGGCGCCTGTTCTCGGCCATGCCATCGACATGCTGGGCGTAGTTGAGGTCCCAAGACCTCTGGATCCGATGTTCGGATCCCACCAAAGAGGAACATGACATGCTGAACAATTTCAAACATCGCTCTCCAGGAAGGCTCTACTAGGCTTTTCAGTGGAGAGGATAGAACAAGGATACCGTTTCTTTTTGTGTAGTCTATTTTAGTAGGGGAACCCTCCCCCAACAAAGGGTACAAAGGCACTACTGGGACCTTGTCAAAAATCGAGCACTCCAGGAAGGCTCTACTTTATCACTTTAGCGGCCCAGGGGGGCCACCAGAAAGTGGCAACAACTGGTCCCTTCCCGATTAGGCCTTGGCCCTAGTTGGCCATGGCGTCAGGTTTGGCAAAGCCCATGGCAGTTGGAAGCTACCCGAGGAGAAGGGGCCCTTGTGTGGCTGAGGGTGGACCATGTCACCCACCCTCGCCCAAATGAACATGTGCAAAAAACAGCAAAATACACGTTGGATCGCTTTGGATGTTACTGACTGAGCAGGGCAACATGCCAACCTAGCTATTGTCAGTAAACCGACCTTCTTCTTTGCAGCAAAGAAAAACAACATGACAACTCAACATAGGGTCGATAAAACAGAGAGACACTCTTGCAGGGGAGATGCCCAAAAACCATAGGGGAGGGCTTAAAACTCCGGTTGCCAGAGCCCGTATCCGGTTGGGCTCCCCCAATCTACACTTTAGTGTCGAATGAATCTCGCCACCAGCCCAATCAGGTGGCAGGTCCTTCCTTTTGGTTGCAGGAAAAACCAAACTCCAAACAAGAATCCCGGGAAACAGGACGCAGATTGCAACCAACTCCAGTGTGCCCTCCATAGCCTGACCCAGAAATGGGGCGCTTGGAAACCAAACAGCGGCAACGAAGGAGGGGAAGTGGATGGGCAGAATCCTGTGCCAGTAGGGCATCCCAGTATTCAAAGGGCTTAACCCATCTTCACAAAGGGTTTTGTCCATCAAAAGGACACCTTACGAGTTTCACTGTGGCAAGGAAACCAAACATTGTTACTGGATGGTGTGGTGGGCATCTTTTACATAGATTTGGAGAGTCGTTTCCGTTGAAAGTCATAGGCAACCGCTGCAATCATCTCCAAGGTCGTTTGCAACAGGTTACAGGGCGCGCCTTTTTCAGGGGCTTTAAGGGGACAGCCGAAGTAAACTCTTCGGGATTCCCCTGCGAGTATGTTGAGACAACCCCAGACATGTGCCTGTAATGACCCAATGACCCCTGGTAGCCATTTTTCTGTCGGGCGCCCAGCTCTCCATCCTCCTCGTAGGGCATGGCTCACCGTTCACCTCAAGGTGTCTCTTCCCCACTGTGAGGGGGGGGGGGGGGGTCCGCGGAGATCTGAGAACCTCAGGGGCCCAATATTTCTGACTGACCTTGAGGGGCAAAGAGAGCAGGGGCGTCCCTGGGTTCAAGGGCTCACCCTGTCCCCTTGCATTCCTCACGGCGCTGGCTGTTCGTGCTGCCGGGGTTGGGCTTTAGCGGAAATGCCGCATGAACGCCCTAGTTGCTGAGGAAAGCCGACTGTGGGGTGCTGGTCTCTTAGCAGATATGATATTCACGGCGCAATTGCGTGTGCCAGAAGTACCTCTCTCTGTGCCTCTCTGTGTCTGTGTGTGGGTGGGTGGGGTGGCTCCAAAACCCTGGCATTTGAGTTGGCCTTCTGAGGGTTCCCCTTTTCCCAAACATCAAGAGAAACTCGCCTCTTGGCAACAAAACACACAAAAAAAAGGATGTTGGTCCCTGAAAAGAACGGACACATGAATCAAAGCAGATGTCTCGGGAGTTGGTCAAAGCATCCTGTGGAACTCGGAAGGGGAAGGCCATCAGTCACCAGTTGGAGCCATCTCATTGGCTGGACCCGCAACACGGATTTCGGCTCTCTCTTTAATTTCCCTAAACCACAAAACGGGGAGTACCCTCAAAAAACGGCACCCCCCGTTGAAACTCCGGGATGTAAGTAGCCAAACATGAAGCCGGCGAATGACGCAACTTCGCACCGATGTGACCCGAGACATGACAACCGAAGGACATCTTGCTGACGGGCAAAGAGGGGCAAAAAGTCAGAAGGCTTGGTGGGTTTCTGTGCGTCTTCAGGTCCACCCAGAGGCGATGACAAACCCAGAAAGCACTCGACTTGGCAAAGGCTGACGCTGAAGCCATTGGAACCCGGACCCATGCAATGGGTTCCACCAGTGTGTTCAGGGAACGGCTACCTCAGCTTTTGCCCCCGTCCCCGAGCATCGGGCATTTTGGGATTCTGAACCACGAGCTCAAAAAGTACCCCACCAACAAAGATCGACGTGCGCAGTCCCCATTCGAAAGACTACTTCCCTGTTAAGCCCCATGGCTTCCATTAAGAGGGTGGCTGCAACATGTAGATGTTTGAGAGGTCCCACGGCTTGCCCTTTTATGGAAGCGAAAGGCCCCTTAGATTTCCATCAAATAGAATGCCCAAAAGGTCGAATCACTTTGAAAGTTCGAAGGCCAACCCCCCCAAAGCAAATAGACGAGGAAAGAAAAAAACGGCAACCAGAGGATTTGGAATAAGACGCGCTTCGGTTGCAAGTGAGAAGGCCCCAACAGAAGACGCAAGCCAAACACAACAACAAACTCGCTGGTTGCAAAGAAGCCCCCCCCCCACGCCCCCCGGCAAAAACAACAACAAACACACCAACGAACAAACAAACCAGCAAACAAATAAACAAACAAGCAAGCAAACAAAAACACGGAGCTTTCTCGATCCAGTCTTCCGGGCGCTTCTTGGAGCATCACCTCCCACGAAAAGTCGCTCAACGCCGTGCCCTCTTGGAGCCAAGGCTGCGGTTGAGGAGGTGCGGAGGTGCGGAGATTTGTAATGTTGACCCCATATTAACTAACCCAAAACTTGATAAAAATGGGGGTTGGGGACCCCAAAATGGGGGTTGGGGACCCCTCCAGTGGGCAGATTCCCCACATTTCACCCAGAATCCGACACCCCTATTCATCAACTGACCTACAAATCAACAATACACATAACACATATATATATATATATTGTGTGAATGTAGGTAGATACACGTTCAACACATGTTTGTGCTCACACGTACACATATACCCAGGTCAGGTGAGGACCGTGTTCAGCAATCTAAAGAAGAGATGGACACCCAAGGAAAAAACAACACGGTGGTTGTGAAGCAAAAGCCTTTGTGAGGTCACAACATGTGCTTTGCACAAATGTAGGCGTGTGCGCAATGCTGAGCAGGTGAGCTTACCGTTTGGCAGACGCCTGCGCACTTGAGCGTTCCTCACAACTGCCAAAACACACCATATCTTAATAACTTGGGGAAAAAAACGATCCCCTCGCGGGGTTGACACCACAAACAACAACTATGCGGCCAGTCATTTGTTTAAAGCTACTGTTTTGAGAAACGCTTTTGCGGCATTGCCCTAGGTTGATTCCCAGTTCTGTTCAACCATTGGGCCTTTCAAGCCGGTTCCCATGGTTTGCACGACGGATCCCTCGAAACGGGGAAGTTATCCCTAGAGTCCCCGTAAAGGGACTTTATACACCACCCATGCAAGACGGATTGATAAGTCTTGTTAAGGCAACATGCCAAGGGCGTGACAGTTGGGCTCCGAGAATGTTGCGGGGAGGGTTGTAGATACTCTGAAAGTAGAGGATCCTAACATGCTTGGTTTCCATTTGATCTCCCTTTGAAACCAACCAAAGGGCATTTTCAACGCAAGGGGGCTTTGGGGGGGGGGGGTTGGACGGGGGGGTGGAGACTTGGTTCACTTCCTGAGTGGATTGCAACAAACGGGGCTTTGCGACCAAAGGTCTTGGGAGGAAATCTAGTCCTCTCTTACCCAAAGGACGAACAGGAAATTGAAGATGCTCACCTTTTAGGACTTTTACTAAAAGTGATTGCCAACAATGGGAAGCCCAAAAGGCTAAATGGTCGGTTCGTTGGGGCAACTGAGAATCCAAACCTCGCGCTGACACTTCGAAGCTGCTCTTTTTGCGCTGACATCACCGCATCCATGGGGGCGGACCTGGCGGTTCACCGTTCTTTGGGGCGGCACAAAGGAGGCGGCGGGTTGTTTGCATACCCGCAGATACCATCCAAAACCGATAGGGACCCCAAAAGCGATGCCCTAGTAAACATGGTCGTCCAGTTACTCAAATTCAAAGGCCAGATGTTAACACACCCTCATTTTGGAGGTTCCCCCAAAAAAGGTGAAGCACTTCTTGCGGATGCCTTGAAAAGGCAGCCAACAGGAACGAAACCGTTTTTGGGGACAACTTTTTTTGGCTGCACGTCAAGAAGGGAACCCACAGGGCTTGGTTGGGTGCCACAGTGGTACTTCTTCAGATTGCCCATCCCCTTTTGCTTTACCTTTGGGCAGATTCACAAATATGGCGGCTTAACACCCGAACTCTCTGTAAAGATGCTGTCCTTGCTCTTTGCCTCATTCCCGCCAAAGGCAAGAGTTTGACCGGGCCAGACTACGCTTCTTCGGCTGAAATTGGAGATTGGAGACACGGCAAAACTGCGGTCTCGCGGCCCCAACGCGTCCGAAGGGAGGCCTTGTGATTCAAAGACCTCAGCTCTGAAAGCCGCCTACGATGTTCGGAAAGTCCCTCAAAGAAAGAAGCAGAGACGGGCAACATCAGAAAAAAGGGCCAGATTCTGGCTGGAAAGTCGTCAACTCCTGCCTAACCCCCCCCCTCCAAGAAGGCCTTTCTCGGTCCCTGGTTCGGTGTTTGTCTGATAGAATTGGCAGCCAAAGAGTGACTTTTGGTTCGATTGAAGCGATATCCTCAAACTGAAGCAACTTTGATCACCCCCCCCTCAACAAAAAAAGAAAAGGAAAAAAGGCTTCAATTTAATGGAGCCAGGTTTTAGACTGGTTGAAGAGGGAACCATCTGTACCTCTTGGCACTTGCCTGTGGCCATGGTCAGCACACAATGGGCTCCTCGAACACACCACCCCATATTCAACCAACCAGTTTATTCATAGGGGGGGAGTCCGATTCTGGGTGAAATGTGGAGAATCATCACTGTTGGAGGGGCCCCCACCCCCCATTTAATAAAATTATGGTTCATCAATGTGGGGTCAACTTTACTTCGGGTCAAATAGATCAAGAAGGGCTGAACACCTCTTTTTGGTAGGGCTTGTCTTGCTTTTGGGAACTTCAGGAAAACAGCGACACCCTTGGAGCCCAAGTTCTTACTTTGGTCGCAAGCACTCCTACAGTAAAGCTCCAGAGGCTTGTGCAGTTTGGCCAAAGACCAGATATCCACGTTGCACTGCAGTAGCACGCTAGTTGACCTCGCACACTTGAAGCACCACCCCACATAAGTGTGTAATATCCCCAGATAACAAGTCTCCATTCTGTGGGTCCTCGGGCTGTGGGTCAACAATAGGTACCCAACATGGGTTGCCCGATCGGCAAATGGAAACATGGACTGAAACCTGCGGATTCCTGGTGGTTTAATTTTGACCCATGTCCATATGCAGCAGGCAGCCCAGAAAATGTTGCTCTTCGCGTTGGACGCGTAAAAAAACAAAAAACAACAAGCGCGGCATGGGCGCCCGTCGGAGGCCGCGGCCTGGCGAAGGGATATGTGGCCCACCCAAAACTGACAGCCTGGCAACAAAGAGGGGCGCAAATTGGCAGGGGCGCAAAGGGTTGATGAAGCAGCCGCTTCCTTGCCGACAACAAGTCAAGGGTATTTTCAGGGATGAGTTTTGGAGGGGATGCTTGCAATACCATCAATATAAGCTGATAAGGCAGTATATACACCCCTTATACAAGTCGTATATAACCGAAACAAACCCATCCTTGGAAAGTCAGTCACAACAGCCGGGTATCAACATGGTCTACCCAAACCCATGGAGAAGAAATCCTATGTTGTACGGCCGGCAGCTACTCATGCTCGAGCCTGTCCCTGTCTAACCTTCATCTACTCACTTGAACTCGTGGATGCCAACAACAACAAAAATGATCCAAACCCCCAAAAGTGACGACACTCCGACCCGGAAAACTCGGGACTTCGAGGCCCAAGGAAAGGGGTGCCGCGCAGCCAGGCGGGCGTTCGATGTCCCGAGCGCTCGGTCGCGCCTCGAGCTCACGGAAGCCCCTGCGGACACGTGGTCGTTTTCGTTCGAAGAGCCGCACTGAAACCACAAGGGCGTGCCAACTGGTTTAAACCCCCTTGTACACACGAAAAAAGAAACATTCGTGGACACCGGAAATGTGATCCCCCCCCAGTGGTCGCTTGTTGTTTTTTTTCCGGCTTTCTGAGTGACTCACTCAAACCAAAAGGGCGCCCCAACTTGTTGCTCGCTCCCCTTGTACACTCTTTTTCGATTTAGCAAACCTTCATGAGCAAGGCAAAAGTAGACCACCGGACGGTGTGTCAGCTTTGAGTTCAACGGGGTGACCCATGTGTTAGGAACCCTACGGATGCAAAAGACCCCTCGAAGGCTAAGGCTGAATGAGCCTGAATAGAAGAGCGACGCAAAAGAAGTCTCGAGCAGAAAGCATTTCAAACCTGGCGTCCTTCTTAAAGCATGCTTTTTTATGTTTATTATTGAAAGTGGCATGACCCATGGTAAACGGCTCCAAAGGGAAGCTACTTGAAATTGGCAACTCGTCGAGGTGTTTTACGCCAAGGGGCATTCACCCGCAAGGCCACTCGCAAACCTTGAAGTGGAAGACTTGTTTACAAGAGTCCTTATATGGGCGTGTCTGCTTTTGAGGGTGCCCTTTGCTTGTAAAAGGGAACCAAAAGGACAAAACAAAAGCCACTTTGGGGGTTCCCCAAAAGACCTGCCCCTACAAACATCACACCACCAAAATGGAACAGCTTATCTTTCAATGCCCCAGGCCAACAAATGATGCTTAAATCCCCCCCGCCCCGGGCCCCCCGGAACATAGACCTACCGGTAAGACTCGGGCAAAACTTGCCATCGAGGCTCGGAGCGGAGAAAGTCCCATCTCTCCTTCAGATCTGAAACATGTTCAACTGGGTTCGTCTCAAAATAGGGGAGCTCCAAACAAATATGGTTTCCTTGTTGGTTTCCCTTTAAAACCCCCAAAAAAGGCCAACCCTCCCAAAAGCCCAAGGTGATGTTTACCTCACGAGAGACACCTACCCGTTCTCCCGACAAACCGTCGACGGTTTTGAAACCCGCCTATCGGCCTGGTGCTCGGGCGTGGAGCCGCCTGCGTCCAAATGGTCTCAACGCAATCCTTGGGTCCTGTTGCTTTCAAAAGGTTGTCCTGAACTCACTTGTAAGGAACGAAGGGAAGTAAAAGGTGACCATCATTTGGGACCTTTACTAAAAGTGGTTGCCAAACAACGCCGTCCTGGTTCAGATCCACCAGTTCTATGTGTGTATCTATTGCTTTTCCGGGTGGCCTCTTCTACTCATTGCACCCAGCTACCAAACCAAACGCACTTCAACTTTTTTGGACACGTCAGCACACATCCAGCAGCATGTCCGTGCAGAACAGCTCGAGGGCCATCACTCCAAATTTGCAGCGCTGCCCCTGTTCCGGCAAGGACAGGCCAAGCGCATGTCTACCAGTGGGCTGATGAAACGCTCAACAGTTTGACTCAAATATTTGGTTGAAACAACCAGTCAGTAAAACATGGGGGGACAATGGTTTTGAGCCAATGAGCTTTTGGCGTGCGATGTGGCTCTTCGCCGATGGTTACAGCCTTGTGCTGCGCCAGTTGGGCCCACGACATTCAATGTACTTGTTTGCAAGGGTAAATAGCGACTACATCCTCCAGTGGAGAGGTTAGAATAAGGGTACCCTTTTTTTCTGTAGCCTATTCTAGTAGGGGAACCCGACGTAGGCGACTACGTCCCACTAAATGGATTGGAGTGGGTACCCCCTTGAAACCAAAGAGGGTGCTACCCGGACACCTCCAAACAGCTACCCTTTTCTCGGTTTGAAAGACAAAAGGGGAGCTACCCATTTTGAGTTTTTAGACTACCCCATTTGGGCGTGGCTCTGGAGTTTTAAAGAGAACAACATGGGGAAACCGCCATTTTGGGGGTCCGCCAAAAAAAGGTACACCCAAATTTAGATCCGGAGCCCCGTTTCGTTCCAAGCCAGGTTCTTCTATGAGAGCCGGCGCTGCCGGCCAAAAGCCACTCAGCTCGTGTCAAGCACACGACCGGTGGGCGGCTATACCTCGCTGGCAAGTTGGCCCAGTGAAAGGCCAAACCTGGTCAGCACAGCCAAGCCAAGAGACAGAAAACGAAGGAAGCACAAACAGAAGGTTGACAACCCTTGGTCTGTCAACAAAACACGTTGTTAGGAGCAAACTCCAAAAGGGGCCAGCAAACAAAAACACTGCAAATAACACTTCAACTAAGCAGACAGCAAACTACGAAAACGAAACACGGACATAAGCAAGAACAGAAATAACCAAAACACAAACCAATACTAAAAAAGAACATGTCATGTGTGTGTGTGTGTCTTTGGTACGTTCTTTTCTTTCGAAAGGGAAACCAAGGGGCACCGCAGCCAATTTAGGTTTCATCATCCCCTTTCGGGCCCAGTACACCCCTGAAAGGCTCATGAGGCCGCAGAAGGGCAACCCAACGCGAAACCAGCAAGGCCTTACTATCCCAATGTCTTCTCTCTCTTTTGTTGAGGAGGGGCGGGATACCGCAGTTTTCTGTCAAGCACCAGAACAAACGGGTCACGGTTTGAGATGTCCAGGTCCCTTGGGCGCGACAGAAAAGGCGAGCTGGGGAGGTTGCAAGGCCTCTGAAACCAGAGTACTCCAACATGAGCCACGTTCCTCGCTCAAAGGTTGACTTGCTGGCCAACATCAAGGGGACCTATGACATGAAAGTTAGCCTGCCCTACAACCATCTAGCCTCCCACTAGATGGAAGTGCACAGACCCCTGTAGAAAGACTACTCCTGGAAAGGGCCTTTTTGCACTTCCATGTTAGTTGGTGGGAGGGTAAAAAGTGCAAAGCTCACAATCGTTTCAAAACCTGAAGCAAGGGATGCCCAAAAGGTGAGCTCGTCTTCCCCCCTTCTTGGTGAGTTCGAAACCCAGAAAATAGGCAGAGCCATGGATAGGGCTCCCCAGATGTTCCTGTTAACCGTCGCCCCTTGCAAAGGATGCAACCAAAACTGGGCTGTCCTCAGATCCCCCGCTAAAAGTTTAACTGTTAGTGGGTCAAATGAAAATCCCCACTAAACACTAAAAAGCTAAAAAGCTAAGGGATGGCTGGGAGCCACCAAGAAGAGGTGATGTTTCAAACCACCCCTTTTCAAAGGAAAATATAGACCCTGCTGAGGCGCCACCAGCGACAAGGACTCGCCCTTGTCCTCCCTGCAGCGGTAATAGGTAGCCCCATCGCTGGGGAAAGGGGTCTTGTCCTGCATGGAGGAAAAGAAACGCGGAAAGCATGTGCGTTTTTTTCTTTGATGGTACCTCTTTCGGGTGGGGTATGTTAAAGGGGAATAAAAGGAACACCACCAAATTTGAGGGTCCAACCAAATTATTTTGACAGCCAAACAAGCCAGCAGGTCCGACCAAGCCCTCATTCCCATAACCCTGCTCATCCAGCCCCCACATTCCAACTCTGGGGCACACCATAAAAACATATTTAAGTTTTACCAGACATGTTGAGTTCCAAATTCATAAAATGACTTTGGAAGAGACCAGAAACCCAGGGGTTCAACAGCGCTCTTGTGTTCCATAGAGCATTTTCCAGACGCCAAGAGGGTTGGTTTCGTTCTGTTTCCAAACCCTATCCCCGGGCAAAAGAGAACACCAAGACAGGTTGTGGGTTAAGTGGGAGGAACAACCCACCGACGGGAACCCCCCGGAACCAAGACCATGTTCAGGTTGTTTGAGGTGTGGTAAGAACTACCGCACCCCCACCGCAACCCGGACCTCAGGTTGACCAAGCAACTATACAAACAACACAAAACCAAACAGACACCCACACAAACACACACACACAAACACAAACACAAGCACAAGCACAAACACAAACACAAGCGCAAGCACAAGCGCAAGCACAAGCACAAGCACAACAAAAAAAACAAGCACAAGCACAAGCACAAGCACAAACACAACCACAAACACAACCACAACCACAAACACAAACACAAAGACAAGGACAAGCACAAGCACAAACGCAAACGCAGACCCAAACACAAACACGCACACACACAGGCGGGCCGCAACCCAGTACATATATGTCGTCAACAGAAATGAGCAACCCCACCATGTTTTGCAATGAAGAATGATCAGGACCCACCTGTTTATTGAAAAACAAAAACGGACCCACCCCCTCCCCCCCGTCCGTGAAGCTCGCCGTGGCCGAAGACGCGGTGAACCGCAGCACCACACGGGCCGCGGAGGGCTTGAAGGCGTCGTCCGCGCCGTCCCAGCGGAAGATCACGTACCTAGTGGACCAAGGGAAGCACAGGTAAGCCACGCTGAAAGGTACACCCCGAAGCCCTGACAAGTACTTGAACGCAAAGCAAACAGATGGACACATTGAAGGGCCATTGGAAAGACTAAAAGATTTGGGGTGGTCTTTTTTGGGGGGCTACCTGTCTTTTTGTTGGCTGCAAAGGAAACACCAAAAGGAACACAGCCATTTTGGGGGTCCCATAACAAACACACCTGAAAACGAGTGGCCATTTGCTCGTCCCTCAAAAACCAGCCAAATAACGGTGGCAGTTAAATTTGAACCTTCTAATATGGCAGGCATGCCGCGTTCTTGAGCCCAAGCTCCCCTAAGAAAAGAAACAAACATAACTACTTAGCAACAAGCACACACACACACATACACGCCAACTTCTAAACGGCTACTTGTTTTAGGCTTGCCCGTTTTTGAGGGTGACGATTTTTAGTTGGCCCCAACACAGTGAAAGCGACAAACCTGCAACAAACAATGTGTTTTGGGAAGTTTCCATAGTATAATTTCAGACTGTCACACATATGGGGTGCCAATGACACGTGCAATAAAAACAAAACCAAAAAACTGAAAGCAACACCTCTGGAAGCCAAGAGCCCGCAAAAACCTTTGCAAGCAAACGAAAGAACAAGAAACGCCTCGGAGGATTTCCCGCGGAGCACAAAGCCATGGGCACAACCCCCAGAAACAGGCTGAGAAGCCGACGCGATTTGGCAGGCTTTCTAATAGACAAACTGATTTGAGCAGCGCCCTTTGACTTTGACTTTGACGCTTAGCGCTGTTTGCGTATTTATGAAGCGCGCAGCTCGACACAATGTGTGCGACATGGCTAGCAATGATTGGAGAGCTCCAAGAACAGAGACACTGCCCTTGTTTGCAACCTACCTCTATCAATAAATGGCATGCGTTCTTTAAAAGGCTAGGGGGGGGGGGGGGGTATACTGCCGACTTGCAGCGTGGGTAGTTACCAAATTTGGCAAGATTTACCCCTAATCCGGGAAAAAGATCAGAAGGCACACACACACACACATCATGAGCTCTGCTAGCCCTGGCGCCGGTTCACCACTGAGCATGGAATCCAAACGGTTTGGATTCCATGCTCAGTGGTAAACTCCTTCTTGACTTCCTGGAAGGGATCTTGTGAGAATCCATCAAGAATCCTTGCATCGAAGCCTGGTTGGGCAACCCCCTTCGAAGGCAGAAGCTTCGCCAGGCCATTGAAGACCTGCATCTCAAACATTCCATAATCCCACATGTTCGCTTTGCACCTGCAGCTCAATGCTTGGATTGAAGACCATACATGAAAGGGCTAAATCAGGAAGGGGGTTGGCAAAACCAGGCACCCGTTCTACATGGAAAACAAATCCGACCCCTTCAACAAGTACAATTGCTAAACCACAAGTAGTGATGTTTAAACGGGGCAAAAGGAACTCACTTACCAAAAGGACCTGGACATAAGGTGATGACCTTTTGGTGCCATCATGAAAAATGGGAACCCAAAATGTGAGAAACCAAAAGGTCGATTGATCTGGTCGGTTTTTCTTGACAAATTGATGGGAATTATCCAGGGAATCAATCTTTGGCAACTTATGGCAAATCAGTTGGCGTTTGGACAACAGACTGAGGAAATCTTAAGCTGGGCCCCGGTTCCCGGCTGAACCCGACCTCGCTCGCTTGATCCCTTGACGCCCGGCAGCTTCTTGCCCACCGTGAGCTCGGACAGCGTCAACGTGCCCGTGAGCTGCGCCGGCGCTTCCCCGCTGCGCACGTCCGGCTCGGACTGCCACCTAGCGGAATACTTCCCAGACCGTAGATCTTCAGCCTTCTCTTCTTTGGGCAAAATTCATTGAACCGTAGATCTTAAGCCTTCTCTTCTTTTGGGGCAAAATCCATTGAACACTAAGATGCAGCCTATTACTCTTCTTTTGGGCAAATTCCATGGAAAAGCAAGATGCAACCCGCTATCACTCACTCACTCACTCACTCACTCACTCACTCACTCACTCACTCACTCACTCACTCACTCACTCACTCACTCACTCACTCACTCACTCACTCACTCGCTCGCTCGCTCGCTCGCTCGCTCGCTCGCTGACTCACACACGGAGCAAACGCCACTTCTCGATTATTCTACACGGGCGCTTGTCGATGGTCAGCGCCAAAGGCAGTGCTTTTTCATCATCGAGGAAGCCCTGGATAGCCCAGCCGAAGCCCCGCTGCTGGTTGATGCAAGGGTAGCCTCAGGTGCGTGCGAGTCACCCAAGCTGAGGGTTATATAGGCCTCACCACAGTCCCAATTTAACCAGGTAGTAGAAACGGCTACAAAGTATTCCTTCGGGGTTTTGGGCTATTGGCTGGGTTCTTACAAAGCCAGAACTAATGCTTAATCAACAAAAAACAGCGTTTATACCAGGAGTTCAACCATGGATCCATACAATTAGCCTTGGTCAGTTTGGGAGAGAGGTAGGGGCACTCTCCAATTGTTCACACAAAACCACCAAAGTTGGACTTGGAAGCTCTACTTTGGTTGACTTCGTGCCCCCTTGAATATTGAAGAAACACCAGGATCGCAACAGAGATTGCCACAGCAGAATATGGGTATGCGTTAAAACAGGGGACCCCAGAAATATGTGGTTGTCCTTTGGTTTGCCTTTGAAACAAGCCCAAAACGGGTTCCCTCTAAAAAAAGTGAATTACCAGTTCACCAACCAAAATACCAGTTCCCTATGAAAGGCATCTTCACGGATGAGGTGCACGCACGCAACAATTGGCCTAGATATGGCTGGGGAACCCAACTCGAGCTTCGATTTGCCCTTGGCTTCAAAACAAGCCCAGGAGGCCTTCCTCATAGATTCGGCCTTTGGGCGGTCTGTTTAAGCGAAAATTGTGCGAAGTTCCTGGGGTATTGGCTGTGGCTACCTTGTGGTTTTGAACTGGTTTCACGGGCGCGCCTTGGTAAATTAGATGGGATTGTGGGTCGTCTTGACTGAGGAACAAGTCAGGATAATAGGGGGACGGCGTGTGTGTGTGTGACTATTTAGCCCCTTCTACTCACTTCCTGAGTAGATTAATTTGCAAACAACAGTCGTTAAACTGGTCTTCCCAAAAAGTGTAGCGTCCGGAAACTTGGGGGGGCTGGGTGCACCGGGGTTGTCCTCGGCTGTTCTTTTGCGCCGCGGCGCCCACGTAGTCGCTGCCGGGGCAGTGGGCGAAGAGGACGTAACTGCCCGGTAGGCTGGCCATGGTCCGGTAGTAGGTGTTGGCATCTGCCTACGCGAATCTGGGCTACTCAAAGGGACTATTTACCTTTGCGGGCAAATGAACTTTGTAAAAGAATGGCTTCTGCATTTTTCGGGAACCCAAGAAAGTATTTACCTTTGAGACTTTGAGGGCAGATGGAATCTGGTGAGTCAAAATTAAACCACCAGGAATCGGACCGGTTTTAGTCATTGCTTCCATTTTCCGATCGGGCAACCCATTTTGGGGTTACCCTAATGTTGACCCACGGCCATCTGGGCTCCTCAAAGGGACTATATATTTACCTTTGAGAGCAAATGAGCTCTGGAAAGGAACGGCTTCTGCATTTTTTCGGGGGACCCAAGAATGGACCCATGAACTCTGGAGATTTCATGGCTTCGGACAGTTCAGGGAGGAACTTGCAAACAAGTGAGGGTTTGAGGTTCCATGTTGATCTGAGGTCCGAGGAGTTGAAGGTGTATGCCAGGGTGAGTTAGTAGCCGTTTGGCTTGACTAAACTGGCAGGGAGCAGCGGGGGGGAAGAGGGGGGGGGGGTTGTTGTGCAATCCAAACAACTGTATATCCCAGCCAACTGTATATCCCAGCGCAGCAAGTGACCCTGATAGAAAACAGGAACCGCTTTCGGGTTGACACATTTTAGTGGGGAGGCCACCAAACACTGAATGACTGGATTGGGACAACCGTAGTTGCATGTGCTCATTCTCATCGGGACAACCATCAAACAACCTCTGTTGAATGGGGGGTCTGGAATTCTTCAAACCTTATCTTGGGCCAGGGGTGGTTGCCTTTTAGTAGGATATTCATTTACCATTTTAGCGGCCTGGCTCCTATCACCGGTGTCTGGGTTCATCCAAAGTCAACATAACCGGCTTTTGGTTTCCCTTTGGGTAGCTTTACAATCGTGATTACTATCGCATCCAGCTACCCAAGCTGAGGAAAACGAAGCCTCCCCCAACTCACAGACCCTCTCTAATTCGAAGGGAAACAAGGCCTGAGTGATGGGCTGTTCTCCCAAAAACGAATTGAGGGCTTCTCGCGGCCCCACTGGGAGGACCCACGAGACATTTCTATGAAAGACCGGAAGTCTCGACCAGTGAGCATGTAAGGATCCGCATTTCAGAGACAATGGGTTTCCTCAGTTCCCGCACGCCCTGAGTGCATGGGCCAACACAAGTCCAAACTTTCTGTTTGCTACTCAAACGTCGTCCCAAAAAGGACAAAGTCCAGACTCTCAGTGACTCAGGGGCAAGTTCCAGAAAATCTTCAGGTTTCGAAGAGTAAACAAGATTCAGAATCAATCTCGAGTGGACTTTTTTAGAAAGGTTTGAAACAGAACGATAGGCTTTCATTTGCTGACGATGTCACGGTGTCACCAACAAATATCAGCAGAACTGACCAGCGGCCATCTGCCTTAACCTCATCGTGTCTAACCTTCTGCCCAGGTTTTGATGGGAAATACTAGCAGCCGCCGCGCATCGGTGTAGTGCACCACGACGTCGTCGTCATAGAAGTTCTCATCCGTCAGCGGATGGTCACTGAGGATACCCACCACAGGCTCCACGTGGGAGTAGAGGCCAAAGGGAAGCCCGGGGTAAACGGGATAGTGGGCTCCGTTCAGCATGATCATCCAAACCTGAAAGTGGCGGCAACAAATGGCAAAAACACATTCACCAACAGAACATAAGGAGAATACACATTGTGATCAGTCACCAAACAATAATTAAATTGGGTCTGTCTTGTTTGAGCGTCTTCAACCACCAACTTTGGAGGTGTCCTCTACAAAAGACACACCCATATATATATATATATATATACAAGAAACAAACACCGGATGCAAGGATCCTTCATGAGGCCCGTCGCAAACAAACACTTTTGAGAGCTCGTGAATTTATGTGAGACGTGTGTCAGGATTTGGGGACACTGGACAATTGGGTGGCCCCGCTCCACTTTGGCGCAGCGGAATCTAACCCCCAGATTGATGTGAGGTTAGGTAATCAAAGGGCACCCCCAATTCCTCCAAACAATCGACGTCTCATAACTAACTTTGCCAGTCACCTGGTGAAAGGAAAAATCCCAAGATCAGTCCACCGCAAAGCCACCTGTCCGACCTCTCGCAGCACAGCTGATGAGAAGTTGTTTTTACTCACGTTCACAATGTCTTTTAAAAGTTTGCACTACGCAAACCACTTGGGCCTACATTCCCGCAGATTCACATGAAAATGATGCATGTGTCAAACTAGGGTCCCCCCCAAAATGGTGGTTTTCCTTTTGGTTTCCCATTTTCGCAACCCCAATGGTACCACATAAAACGTCACCCACATGGGGGGTCGCGTCAGGATGTGACCTCTACGAGATGCAAACGCTCTCAGCGCTCGCAAAACTCGCACGCAAATCCCAGAATTTGGGACCCCCACATAGGACCCACCCAAACAGCCCCCCCCCCCCCAAAAAAAAAAGGCCTTGAAAAAAGACTGAACTCGACCATGTTTGTCTTTTTGTGAAAATCAGACTATGTTGCGACACTTTTCCATGTTGACGGCTTGGCCGGGGGCTTGCTCTTTGGGGGGGGGGGGGGGGGCGTGCTGTGTTTCGGGCGTGGCGTGTTTCGGATTGCCGGGGGGTCCAAGGAGAAGTCGGCCGGGGTTTTTCCTGAGGCCCTTGCCAAGGCATGGCCATTCACCAGCTGCTTCTTGATCCAGCGCCGGTACGCATCCACCTCGCTGGGGTTAGTTCTCGGGGGGGTACCGGGCAGGTTCTTGGGCCCTTGATCCGGTCTAAAAACCAGCGTATACATAGTTTCATGCTTGAGCAGTTCAACAAACCTACACACACACACAACTTAATGCACAAATAAACAAGCAAACAAGCAAACAAGCAAGCAAGCAAGCAAGCAAGCAAGCAAGCAAGCAAGCAAGCAAGCAAGCAAGCAAGCAAGCAAGCAAGCACGAGACCAAACAAAGAAGCAAGCAAACACACAATAAGGACACAAACTAGTAACAATAAACAAAACTTTGAATCTTCAACAACCAAATAATCATGTAAGTAAGCACATACAAATAAACACAAATGTATATACATGCACAAATAGAAACAAACTAAATGCATTCATCAACAAAACCACAAATCAATGAATACCTATATAGATAAATAACTAGTAACACGTAAATAGATTCTTTAAAATATAATATACCGATGTGTATATATATATATGAGGCACGGTCGAAATTACCTACACACGCGGGAGTCTCGCTACTTAGTTTGAGAGCCCCCTATCGTTTTCCAGCGTTTTGTGTTTTCGGACGCGCAAGTGTCACGGGAAAGGAAAGGAAAGGAGAGGAAGGAAAGGGAAGGAAAGGAAAAGGAAGGAAAGGGAAGGCAGGAAAGGAAAGGGAAGGGAAGGGAAACCTCTGTGGGTGCAAGGCAGTGTGTCAATCTGTCTAGTCAGGCCCGTCACACAGAAGCTATTCAACACTGCGCTTCCCCGCAGGCTCGCCCCAGCACTCACCCACAACCACTCCTCCCATCGACAAGGCAAGCGCACTCTATTTACCTCGCAGAGCGACTGTCGTTGCTGCTGCTGCTGCTGCTGCTGCTGCTGCTGCTGCTGCTGCTGCTATCAGCTGCTATCAGAACTGCTACTGGAACTCATGCTCTCTTCGGAGCTTGAGTTGGCAGCATCAGCAGTACTGCGCCACCACGCTGCGCTGTTCGCAGCTTTCTCTTGGCAAGTTGCTTCTTGCGTTGCTCGACAAGAGCCTCGAAAGTAATTGCTTCGTGTGCTTCAAATTGACTCCGGCTGACAGCAGGTGCTGCTGCTTTTGCTGCCGCTTTGTCAAGGCATTCCCCTCGTGGAGGCGAAGAGGTCCGATCTTGGTGTCCCACTGCTTTCTTCTCGCACTCCATTAGCCTCGCCTGTATTCCGTCTGCGGGTCTTCTATAGCCTCCAAGTGATGTTAGGGGTCAAGTTCACGGCGCTGACCATGGAGGAAAACACGTGGCTGCACACCTTCACGCTCAACCTTTTGCGGGATTTCAAAGGAGTGGAGCTCACACAATATGTCTTGGAGATTTGGAAATCTTGCGCCACCATCTTAAACCTCTGCGCGGCTGGAACTTTTTTGGACGAGTTGTCCAACACCACAATCAGTGGAGGCGTTGTAGGATCCCTGGCGACTTGCGCACCGTGTAGCAAGTCCAAGGTCTGCTTCAGATCCTTAATTTCCAAAATGTCGATTCCGCGCGCCCGCGCTTTCTTCATACACTGTTCGAACATCCCGGATAGGCGGCGGTCAGCCTCCAACTTCACGATGTGCTTCTCCACCCCATAGTGCGCGATCACCGCTTCTTTGGCAAAACGCAGCAATTGAACCACAGGTTCTCGTAACCGCAAAAATGAGGCCCAGAGTCAGACACAAGATGCACACCATCAAGCGCTTGGTCGCCTTGCCGAAGTCCTAGGGCCATCTCCCCGCACTGGCACGCCCTTGCGCTCGTGTGGTCCAGGATATCACTCAAAATGAGAACCCGGGTTTTCAGCACATGGTTCGGGGAAGTAGGCTTGTGCTTAGAGATCATGCTTCCAAAAACGGAAATCTCTTTCCGTGCCTGAGCGTAAAACTCTTCACCCGTCTGGCGCGCTCGGAGCGGCAAGGTCACAAGCTCCTTCCAGTCAGACCGAACAGTGACGCTCTTCTGCTCTGGCTGTTCCTGCAATCGAGTGAGAGCAGGCTTCTGGTGCTCATTTGCGGCTTGATGGAATAAATACGCGTCCAGAAGCTTGGTGAAGCCTTGTAGCTCATTGCAAGCGTCTGCCTCTGCAGCGCGCAAGTCGATTCGCCGCCTTTGCGGAATCCAGAACCTCTTGCGCGTAAGGCGGCAAGACCGCAAGGGAACTGTGAACCTGCATGTTTGCGGCAGGTTTGCCTTTCGCTATGGTTCCAAATGAAATGTCTAGCTCACGAAGATGTAAACCAGGCTGATGTTCCAAGGGCCGGCCTGCTACAGTCATCAAACGCCGAGAAGTAAGCTGGCATGTGTGCAGCCAAAGAACCCCGCCAACGCGAGATGACATCTGCAACTTGAGGCATCACTTTCTTCTGCAAGTCGTAGCAATAAATGCACCAATCCAACTCCACCCAGGGAGGCTTATACTGCTGCAGGTGCTTCCTCATGATGCGGGACATTGTGGAAAGACTCGTGGCTTCATTGACACTGGCTGTGAAAAATCTGTGTAGCATTGGATGTCAGCGTTTTGACGAGAACCCACTCTTCCTGCGATCGGTCAAAGCAAATCCGACTGCTGCCCTGCGCATGTTTCTCCAAGGCCTCCTCCACGCGAGCTACTTGCGTCTTGTCCTCTGCCTTGCCCTTGCGGCCGCGAGGCAAATCGCTTCTGTTCTCGTCTGCGATCCGGCGCCACCTATGTTCACCCATCACATACTCAGTCTTCTGCGCTGCCTCGCGGGACACAAAAAGACTCCGCACAGCTTTGTCCACATGATCTCCCACAGCCTTCGCAGGCGGGCTGGCGTTGTTGCTTGCAAAGCCAGGGCTTGCGTTCAAGGCGGACAGGAGTTGAAAGCATCTGCTACAGTCATCTTGGCTCTGGTCAGGGTTCTGAATGGCAACGGCAAGGAGTTTTGGAAAGTCTGCCCACGTCTGACTGACACAACCCACTGCCTTGGACAAAGCTTGTGCGGCATCAACTGGGGTAGGAAACCCCCGAATTTCCGCAGCAAGTCTTCGAAGCTCTTGTATCCTTGGGTCTTTGCAATCTTGGTTGGAGGCTCAGCTTCCCACGGCTGGTCTTCTACTACCCTTTCGCAGATGGAGCTGCAGGAGGGTCTGAAACTGCGGGGCCGACAGATCTGGCGGAATACTTGAGCTTCCACACATTGCTTTGACCCACGCGGAGCACGTGCTATTCCGGGCTCCGCCTCCTGAGCTTGCTTCACCAGAGCCTTGGCCTTCTCTTTGTCCTCAAGCAGCTCTTTGAGGAGCCGCCTCAGGCCAGCCATGTCCTTAGCAGAGCGCCCCATGGCACCACAGCACTCAAAGACTCAAAAGGAAGATGTCTTGAGCTCGTAGTGGGCAAGCGGTGGCCCAGCGGCGTTTTTGTGCTTTTTGGGTATCGCTTTGGTATCGCTTTGGTATCGTTTGGGGTATCGTTCAGATCGGCCCGGAAAACCGGAAACTCCGCTCAACCTCCTTAGCCAAGAACTAACCACACTGCGTGCGCGCCTCCCCAATGCAATTCAATCCAGCTAATGCCAGCCCGTCCAAGCAAGTGAGTGAGAGAGTGAGGGAGTGTGAGAGTGAGAGTGAGAGTGCGAGTGAGAGTGAGAGTGAGAGCGCGAGTGCGAGTGAGTGAGTGTGTGTGTGTGTGTGCGTGAGTGCGTGCGTCCCTGCACTACTGCTACCCTAAACTGTCGCCATGCTTTTGGAACATGCTGCCAGAGCAACCGGTGAGCGCGCATGCTGCAAGAGCAGCCGGTGAGCGCGCAAGAGCTTTTTTTGAGCGTGCCTCCAACCCCAGCTCTTGCTATGCAAGCGTTGCCCCTGCAAGAACACACAAAGCGTGTCACACGCAATCAACGCAATTACAGTAATCTCCACCCCGCAGAATCCGCCAGTGTCGCACTTCTGCTGACATGGCGCGCACTGTCGAGAGTGCTTCAGGCACTTGGTGCAAAATTGCCACGCTGCGACTGCAACGCAGCAGCGCGCAGGCACGCACGCAACATGCGCATGTGGAACCTGTACTTTTGGTCTTGCAACTGTCATTGAGCTTGCACGACCAACGAACTTCATGACGCTTTGCGCCGCAAAGCTTGCACTGCTCCTCGTGGTCCCACGCGCGACCCGTGGGGTTCATTTGATGAGCAGCACCAAACCAACCAACTGCATCTGCAAGCTTCGCTTTCGCAACTGGTGGAAAGCTTCACAATTGCAGGCTGCTTGCTCCGAAGTCTTTTGCGGAAGGGCTCGAGCTCAAGAGCCGGTGTGTCCTCGCACTCCTGCGCTCGCGCTCGACTCCTTACTTGCCCAGATACAATGGAAAAAAAGGCAACCAGGCTTCTTAACGAGACTAAATGGGAAAGGAACTCAGAAAACAGGTGCCACACTTGACAACTGAAAGGCCGATCTGGCGTCTGAAAGGAAGGTTTGTGGCTGGCAGGCTCGTGCTCCTCACACACAGCCCGATTCCTCAGCAACACCCGCGCAACACGTTAAGCGCTGCTGTCACCAGTCACACGGCACTTATGTCTCCTCGGCAACAGTGACCGCCTTTCCAGCAACTACTTGGTCGGAGAGGTCACAGGACTTGGCTGTCAACACTTCTCTGGGCTCCTAACGAAACGCGCGGGGAGCTTCCTTTCTTGGAAAACGCTCACAGTGGATTTGAGCATTCATGTTACCCCTAAAGCTCCTCAGCAACGGAGGCAACTTGCTCTACTTCGTCAGGGAGTTCACAGGACTTGGCTTCCAGCACTTTTGCGGGCTCCTGCAAAAGGCTCGCAAAAGTGTTCAACATTTGCGTTACCATCAGCAACGCAGGCCGCCTGTTCAGCAACTGCTGGCTCACAGTGTTCGTTGAAATTGGTCGCCGGCTTGTCTTTGGGGTCCTGGCGCAACACACGCAATTTGACAACCAGCCGACCACCACCGACCACCACTCACCAACCGTCGCAGCCGACAACAGGAACCAACCGCAGCCACGCAGCAACAGCCCAGCAACGCAAACAAAACCGCCCCGCCGCCCGCCAAGGAGCAGGAGCTGCTGCGTCGCCACGTAGAAGTCGTAGAAGGACCTCGGCCAAACAAACCGCAACATCGGCAGTTCCCCAGCCACCTTGTATCCGTGCAGCAAGGCCTGCTTCTTGGATCGATACTGAACACCGTCCGGCGAGACTCAAATGCCTCAGATGGTCTCAGATTCATACACCCTTTCACGATGCTCACTCACTCAATCACTCTCTGGCTTGCTGGCTCACTCGCTCGACTTCATTCAACGTTAGCAGCTTGCAACCGAGCTTCGGTAAGTGTTGCCTGCTGACACGCCACTCAGCCGATACAATTCATGAACGGACCACATGGCTCCAAGCGAAATGGCTCACAAAAATGGGTTGTTCAAAATGGGGTAGGGGACCCCCAACCCCAATACTCGTAGTGACGGGCAACCGCTGCCATTGGACATTCTGAATTTGAACAACCCAGGAAGAAAAAGGCTGCAAACGCCTGCGGAGAGAGGCGGGAGTCACTCCACCCGGCTTGCCCGCGACACAAGCGACAGCGACTGAAGTATTGGGCCCCCCTATCTCAGCAGATCCTTTGTAAAGACATGTTTACAACCAAAAAATAACGTAAGTGTAAACATAATTGCCTCCAGGGTATTGTTTTTTGAGAGTCCCCTATATCGTGTTCGATGGTTTTGTGCATTTCAACAACAATGAAACGCCGAATACTAAATTCAATAGAAGTAATTTTGACGGTACTTCGTATATATATATATATATATATATATATATTATGTTGCACACACATACATACGGAAACGACTACATAACTAACTAACTAACTAACTAACTAACTAACTAACTAACTAACTAACTAAATACATAAATCAATAAACACACACACACACATAATAGAACACAACTAATACATGTACATGTAATCAGTTGGTTAATTACAAAATAACATATAAACAAAACACATACTGACCTTATCAACCACCTAACTAACTAACTAACTAACTAACTAACTAACTAACTAACTAACTAACTAACTAACTGAATAAATCAATAACATAACACTATCACTGGAGAATACATGACTAAGTAACCACGCCAACAGACAGCCAACGAAAGCACATTTATATGTACACAACACTCAGTGCATACATAAATGCGTAAACCAACACATAGGGGTTGTGTTTGAGTCAAGGACGCAACCTAAGCCATGAGGCTCGGCAAGATTGGTAGTCAACATGGCGCGAAATCGTGGTTTTCCTCTTGAAACTAACCGGCAGGCCTGGCCAAACCCGTTTTTGACACTGTTTGGTCGCTGAAATGGTCCAAGCCCAAGTTCGTGAACTCAGGGAGTAAGCAAATGTGTGCGGTGGTTGCTGCGGAACCCTTTTCGGACGGGGGTACCCAGATTCTCCAGTCCACCAGTTGTGGTGCTTTGGAGCCCATATCTATGGCCTGCCAAGCCGGAAATTGCGGGATCTCCCGTGGGTGGAAAAAAACAAATTGCATCCTGCCCCAAGACCTTGATGTGGGATCAAAGGAGTCAAAGGGTTGGTTTCGGGGGTTCCTGATGTCTAGTCAGAACCCTAAATTAGGTGCTTGTCTTGGAAGAGAAGCTGGGAATAAGTTTTCATTGAACCAGTGGCGCCCCTTGACTGTCAACGGAGAGAAAGGAATCTAGTACTACTGCGCTTCCTTTTTTTCCGGGGGACCCGCGCATATGGAAGGAACTTGACACAATATGAGCCGCTAAATGGTTCGGGGCACACGACATGATTCGATGACCATGTATTGACTCAAGTACTCAGCCCCCGTTTTGCTCAGGCTAATAGCGGGTCTGCCCAACCTTTAATCAAAGTTGATTCAATGGTCCTCTTGGTCAGTCTGCTTGAACACAGAGCGCTGCTGATAATACCAACTGGGGAAATTCACTTCCCGAGTGCATTGGCCAAAAACAGTCTGAACTGTCTATTTGCCACTAAAACTGTTTTCCGAAAGAATATGTGTAAACTCCAGGAACTGAGGATGTGAGGAACATATCACATCTTCCGAAAGGGAAGGCTCACTTGGTATGTACACCCTGCCTGAGGCGTCGGGGTGTTCTTGTAGTCGAAGCCCTCAGCCTTGATCTTCAGATTCCTCGCGAACGGATCGCGGATGGCTCAGGAATGGGACCCGGTTCCTTTTTGACGACCCATTGCTTTTCAAATCCGACCTCCACTTGGCCGTTTAGATTCGGGCCCAAATGCAGATGCAGGCAAAAGTGATGAGAATGGGGGTGTGGGGGTGCTTTAAAAACACATTTTGACATAGCCCATGCAGCCTTAACATAGTTTCTCGTAGCGGACAGGGTCCGCTTAAACATCCCAAGGGAAATCTTACGTGGACCAGGCCGCAAACCGGGACTTGGGACCCCGAATAGGGCAATTTCAGGTGGGTTTAGAGACATATGTGGTATATGTCCTCCACACCTCCACATAACCCATCTGAACATGCCCTTCAGTAAATGTACCAACCACCTTTGAGTCATATATATATATATACACATATGTCACATTTGTGTATAATTTGTGTGTTTATATAGATTTAGTGATGTCTTGGGCATCTACCCTGGATGGCCCGCAAAGCGGCCGGGCCAACACGTGAACACGACAGCTAGCGTTGGCAAATCAAAGCACCTCACGACAAGGTGCATATGACAATCAGACGCATGTTGAACTCATTAGAGCATTTGTTTTTTTCACGAAACTGTAAAAATGCGTGCATGTACATGTATTTGCGTTCAAGAAGTTGACTGTATTTATACATGTGCATTTATACCTATACGTCATGTAAATGGTATTTTGGGATAATGGGGAACCCGGTTAATCCAAAAGACATGGTTGCCAGAAGCGTCTCCCAACGGGTCATGGCCCTTTCTGTGGGCGCCCAATGGATTTCACAAAGGCCCTTGTTTGCATGTTGATTATGTAGGATGTAAGCATTGAAACACGTGGACCTAGGAAGGGACCCGAAACCTTCACCATGCGAGGAAACAACATGGGTGTGTCCCTGCACGATAAAGGCCTACCTGGAAAGGAAGACTGACGTACATATGCATCTCTTTTGGAGGTTGCCTTCGGGAATCCAAAAACATATGTCCAGTGATAGATTGTCCTTGACACCAGAGGAAAATTAACATATTATTGACGCAAATGGAAGTTATGATCTTGAGTGGACCTGATTTAGCTTCCTACATTACTTGCTTGCTGTTGACCCTCTGGCAAAAGTTAAGAAAAGGAACTGTTTGTGGGTATTGAATATCCAAGCTGCTTCAACCAAAAAGCTGAAGTCCAAAGATCCAACGAAATTGCCATACAGATTAGGTCCAGGTTCTTAAAGGCCACGTCGATGTTGGTCGCCAGGATCTCTTCGTCGTGGCCGCCCCCTGGCACTGTGTGGTTCCGGACCTACGGGCAACAAGCAACGACCGGCACGCAGGGCCCCCTTGGAACATGTCCGGGCATGGGCTTCTCCGTCTTTTTCATCATGCCCTTTGAGCTTGGTTTAAAGGAACATGAACATATGAACCATTTTTGGGGGTTCCATGGGTTCCATTCTTTGTGTCTCTTGTATACGTGGTAAATAACTACCTCCAGGTCCACCTCCAAAACCCATAATTACCTGAGAATACACGTGACAAGAACACCAACCCTTGACCATGTGTTTGATTGTGGTCCATATGAGTGCGTTTGAAAAAGGGGACTCCCAAATGGGCGGGGCGTGGGGGGTGGGGGGGGGGGGTGGCAAACCCAACGCGAACCCAAATGGATCACGGGGGCCGAAATCCGCTGGTTGTTTGCCCGGCAGGCTTGGCCGTTTCTCTTGAGAAAAAAATAAATAAATCCTTGCCATTTGGGAGCTCAAAATTGAACCGGGGCAGAACGCAGATTTTAGTCTTCCATATATCAAGGTTTTAGTATTCCCCAAGGTCTGATGGATTCAACACATCTCGTACCTTTGCAAGTTAGTCCGCAGATTGACATGACACCCAAGCCCTCCATTTCTTGGCACGGAATCTGTGTTTTCGCAAAAAGGCCGCTCCTTGCTTTCTTTCCGTAAGAACAAGTTGCAGGCGATTCTTGGAATCCCAAAGGATCTGGTTGAAATGCAGCTGATACCATTTTTTTAATGAAACACCTTGAACAATTGTGGTATCCCACATTTGATCATTTGCTTGAGTAAGCAATCAAGTACTTGTAAGTCATGACGATTCCCACTCCGACTCAAGACGGGAATTGAGCAAGCGCTTCAGCACATGAAAGCAACCCTTGAGAAATTGGAACCAAGAGCTTCGCGTTTTCGGAAAATCATTTTGAGACACCCACGGGTCCACGGGCCCAAGACGCCAGGGCTTAGGGGGAAGCAATGCGGTTCTGGGAGGGGATGCTAGGGTCCCTGATGTGTCGGGGTCAAAATGGTCAAAAGTTGCGGACGTCTTTCCATGTCCCTCCCAACCACAAACGGGATAGGTTGACCGAATACCATGACATCATTGGGGAAAGGGGGGCAACTGGATAATGAAAGCTTGTGGGGTCGTGAGACCTCCGATCCTGGATGTGCTTACCTTGGCCCTGGTCCAAGTAGGGAGTTTGGCCAAATGAGGCAGCCACGGTGTCCCAAACCCCTGGACTCCGTCAACAACAAGACCGAGTGAGATGTGTTTTTGACGCTGGCATCCATGTTTGAAGAGAATCCAGAAACCAGGAACCACCTCTGCTTCGTATTCAGTCTACGGTTCGACCGGATCAGAAATTCTTTTTTAGATACGACGCTCTCGGAAGAAACTCAACGGGAAACCCAACCTGAATTGGTCCAACTTATTTTGAGAATCACCCACATAGGCTTGACCCGCCTCACAAAAGAAGTGTCGGCTCCATTGTTTGTTTGTTTTTTTTTCGCCACGGAGAACACGTCCACCATTTAACCTCCACATCTGCCATATTTTGTCTCAGAACGCCCCCCCCACCAACTTTTACTTGGTTTCCTTTTGGGCACTCTCAAAAAATAATTAGCCAACCCCTACTTTGACACCTACCCACATGGGGGTCTCCTCAGAAAAGGGGGGTTTCCACACGCCCAAAGGTGCCCCCCCTCCCCCCGCTGCCGCCGCGCCCGAAGCGCCTGCTGCTGGGAGATCCAAGCGCCCTTGGCCATAGCCGCGCGCTGGATGGACCAGGACCCGCAGTAGCCCCCGGCATCGTCCTATGAGACGTAAACCCGCGAAACACCTGCAACTGAGAGTGTCGTTGTCGACCCCGCAACATGGCGTCGGACGTCTTTTTGGTTTTTAAGCTCCCTGTTTTCAAGCTTGTTTTAGGAACCCCCACAATGGCTGCGGCTTTCGTTTTGGTTTCAAAGTTCCCTTTTAAACCAAAATCAAATCTTCCAGAAAGCCAAGAAAAGAGCCTTCTGATCAGAAACATCTGACAACTTGTCTGGTAGAGATTTGGGTCCTAAGGTTGAGCCAAGTGAAGGTACCAACCTAAAAGACGAACCCAAATAGGGGGCTCTTTTTCTGAGGGTACTCCTGTGTAGGGATTTTAAGGGAATCTAAATGCAAACCACTGTTTGGGTGGTCCCCCGCAAAAAACAACTCCCAATGGGTCCTCATAGATTTCAAACAAATGCTCATCTGAGTTCACGGGAAGCCAACGAGCCTGTTTGTTAGAAACCGAACGGAGAACGGGTCCCCGGACTTACTTGCAGCCTGTCAAAGAGAAGACCCACACAGGTGGGTGTTCTCAAATTTGATCCCTTGTGATCCCGTTTTAAAAGCTTACCTTGTAGTGGCTTAGATGGAAACCCCCACAAAACTCTAAAACCTAAAACCTAGGGGACGGCTGTAGGTTTCCCTGTAAAGGGCACTGAATTAGGACTGGTTGGATAAGATTGTTGTCCTCCTGGTTTCCCTTTCAAATGCCCTAGCCTGGTTTTCCTGCTTTCAATTTAGGAATCGGACCAAGCATGTCGCAACTGTTGCAACCGCTACGCCTCCTGAGGCCCAACATGCAGAAGCTTCCCGGCTGTTTGGCCTGGAGTTTGTTTGGTGTATAAGGGTTTGGATCCTTGTGGGGTTCTCAAAGGTTTCCTAACCTCGGACAACAAATTGGTGGGTAACTTCCCCATTCCTTCCAGGCGAAATGGTTGGTTTGGAAAGAACGATGAATACTTGGCGGTTCCCAGAAGTTGGCAAGGCAAGCAATGTGTCCGACGCATTTGGATCAAAATCCCACATGGGTTCTCATAAAAGGGTTCCTTTTGGATGCTACATGGTAGCCTTTTGGTGCAAGTTGGAACCCACTCATTCGACCGCTCATTGGGGCTTGTGCTTTTGCGAGGTGCCCTTTTCAGGTTAAAGGGACAAAGGAACACCATTTTGGGGCTCCAAATCTTTCATGTACCCTCCAAATCCCTCGCATTCCCATTTGGCCATGGGCAAAAGCCAAATCTTACCCCCAGGGAACATCCGATTCAATCCACACAACAATAGGTTCTAAATTGGGTGGTGAATTCACCTACCAACCAAATCTTGTGGTGAATTCACCTACCAACCAAAATGGGATCCCATAACGGTTTGGACCACCGCCATTTGGGTCTGGCCAGGCGTCCCACTGGAACCCTGGCTGCGTGGTGGCGATCCGCTCGAACTTCCGCACGGGCTTGGAGCACTCGGGGGCGCGGCAGCCCTCCTCCGCATGGGATTTTCAAACTCGAGCAGGTAAAAACCTGGTTGCAAGTTGCAAAAAAGGCTGGCTGGTTGCCTAATTTAAATCTTAGCAGTTAAGTGGATTTGGATTTCAACCACTAAACCACAATAAGCAAACATGTAAAGGGTTTCCCAAACAACAACCATGTAAAGGCCGAAGGCTTCCCTTCGGGCCATGCAGCAGTGGTTCAACCAACGGGGCCTTCAGAAAGCACGAACCACAAGCGCGCCTCTAGGGACCAAGAGTTATGTCCAACATCTTTCACCTTGCCACTGACTCCAGTAACCCCAAAACGGACTTCGGCTTTCCTCTGGGCCCCTTTGAAAGCAACCAACAGGGGTGCGCCCTGAAAAACCACCATGTGTCCACGCTTTTTCACGTGGTCCCAAATAGATGTGGAAAACTCACCTGGTGCGCTCTATTTGGGTGTGGGTCAGAATTAAACCGGGACCGCAGGTTTTAGTTTTTGTTTCCATTTGCCAGGGTTCCATTTTGTGTATCCATTTGTTTGACCCACATCCATTTGTTTGATCTAGCAATTGTGGGCGATTTGGCACCCACAAAGCATCCGACTCAAACAAGTGGCTTCTCATTCAATAGGTTTCTGGATGCAACTTGCTTTCTTTGATGCAGCGCTGGAGGTTGTGTCTAAACACAAAGGGACAACACAAGGAAAAACTGCCTAATGGGTTGTAGAGTGTTTGCAAGTGGTTCGCAAAAAGGGCTGGTTGACTCACAAGATTTCAACCTACTTGCTCAGAATGATGGAAAAAAGCAATTTTCAGAGGTGTCTTGACCTTGCGTGCCTTCAAAACCTGCCACACAACGTGTCAAACGGCCTGTGCGTGCTAGCGTGCTTGCATGCGTGCGTGCGCGGGCGTGTTTCAATTACCAGGAAGCTCGCCAAATGGTCGGACCACATAAGTTGACTGGCCAGAAAAACCTTGTACGCTTTGCGCCTTTACTACCCTGGCCAACCTTAGACCTGCCAAAGGGACAGGTTTTGCTAGGTCAAAGGGACAATGAAGGAAGCCCAAAAAGATTTAAGTGCAGCTAGCTAAGTGATGCTAACATGATGCAGACACACAACCTCAATGTTGCCAACTGAGCATCTCAGGGCTCAAACAGGTGCCTGTGGACCATAGTGGACTAGCTAACCCCGGGTAACATGATGCCTACAGAAGCAGACATCGAATGGGACGCTTGATCTTGCCATGATCATCCGTTCTTCGTTGTTCTGGTTTGTCCTGCTTCTTGATAAGTCTCATTTAGCAGCACCTGACTTGAGTGCTTGCGTTTGTCAGCCAAGTCTCTTCGGTTGATCCAGCTCTTTTGTTTGGCCAAGGGCGCGTCGAGTTAACCGCTCGTGAATTTGGTATTGAACACGCGAGCGGACAGAAACCCAGTTTGGGTGTAGCCGTGTCTCAAAACTTGCTGGTGCTCTGCAGGGAATGAGGGAATGACCCTTATAAACCATCCCTTGTGGTTTCCTTTCAGGGGACCCCTGGGTTCATTCCCATATTCACTACCTATCGCACCAGCAAGAAAAGGAACCCCCAGAATGCCGCTTTTTCCCCTACAAGGATGACCTCAGGTAAAGAGGCGGGACGCAACATTTTGGCAGGGTGTTTGGGGCCCCTGGTGTCTTGGTGTCAAGCCTTCAGAAGGGGCTACCCCGTGACAAGTTGAAGCCTTTCTTAGGGAAGCAGTCATTCAAAAGTTGATTTGCGGTGTCCAAGATCTGACCCTTCTTCTTTGCGGTCGCGGTCAGATCCCCTGCCAAGTGCTACACATGGACCCCGAAGTTCTGTCACAAACTCTCTAAATGCCAAACTCGCTGGGAACCGCAAAGTAGCCTCAATGTGGTACGAACGAAATCTTCTGGGCCAGCCATCAATTTCTCACCGCCCAGCTTTTGTATGGGGACTGCTTCGCGTGGCCAAAGGAAGCCGATTTGGAGATGGCTACCAAGCATCGGATGGTTAGGTCACATCGAAAGGCAAGCGAGGGAGGCAATCTGGGCATTTCGCTCAGGGGTTCCCTCGAACCGGTCCTACAGGGATTGATCTCTGGCACAGAATCCTAGGTGGAACAGCTGTAAAGTGTTTTCCCAAAATCAGGGGTTATTAATTGGGGAACCAACATTCAGGGACAGTCCCCTTGGTGGGGGTAGGGTGCCTGAAACATCATCCAACGAATGCCACGCTTGCCTAAACTGATTTTATTTTGCCGACAAGGGAGGTCCTTCCGAAGTCGATAAAGATGGAACATCGGATGCCGCAGGTTTTGCCCCGAAACCAACATACTGTTGCGAAACATTATTTTCAGGGAGGGGCAACCAAGAAACATTGATTGACATGTTAAGAGGTTTTTAGGTTCATATGTAGGCAAATTTAAGATGTGGGTGGGTGGCTTTTGAGGGCACCCTTTTCTGGTTTGGTTTGAAAGGAAACCACCAGGACAGCCACCAATCAACAGGTTCGCCCTACTTTAATGCAGAGCCATGCGCCCACCCCTGAACATCAACAAATCCCCAGAGTCCCCGCCCCAAACATCGCCCTAAACATCAACAGATCCCCACAATCCTATATTTCCCCCAAGAGGAAACCGAAAACACAAAAACGCATTGGCAACCAAAAGTCACAATGTCGATTCAATATCTCCTTTTGAGAGGCTCCGCAGAATAAAACAAGAAGCAGGTAAAACACATCAGCATGTCCAAATGTGACAGGCCAGTTGGCAACCAGAGATCCATCTGTTCAGTGTCTTCTGAGAAACTCCGTGAACAAAAACAAGCAAGCAAAAGCATGAGCATGTCCAAATTTGTGACAGGCCTGGAAAATGTGACAGGTTTCCCACGTGGGAAATCATCACTTTTGGAGGGGAACACTATACTAATGAACAGGTACACACACATCAGCATGTCCCAATGTGACGGAGTCCGGTCCTCAAGGAGGCCCTGCTTGTGGGCATGCAGCTGCTCTAAGATCTCTTCGTCCCCCGGCAGCGCCCACGCGCCCAAAGCGCCGATGGCCAGCGACACGGCGAAGCGCATGGCTCCAAAAAGGGGAGGGATGGAGGGATCTCGGAGCCCAAAACGAAGAAAACAACAAACCCAAGCTCAAACAAATGAAGCACTCAGTTCCTGAGCGGATTTGCAAAAAGAAAAGTCGCGTGCTTAAATTTGTTATTTGAATGTTCTTCGCAAAATCATCTTTCGCGCGCGGGTTACTTTGGCCCGGCCCTCAGCGTGACCACAGCAACCACACGATCCACCAAAACAAAAAAAACGCGAAGACAAGATTCCATCGCCAGCCATGGCGCTTGGTGGATCCAGGCTTTACGCATGAATTTCCAAGATCTCAGGGAGTGAGACAACTGTAAACACATGTAAGCAAACTGCAGAATCGTCGCTGAAACCGGCCAAGAAGCCCACGACATGGGACATTTCGGCTGCGGTCGTGGTCGAACTGTCCAGCTCGTCGCGCCAAAGCAAGTCCCTCCCAAATCTAATCATCTGTTCACAATCAAAAGCTGGTGTGAAAAATGGACTGCCCAGAACCAGGTGACGAATTCACAAGGCGGCTGTTTATTATCGGGATTCGGGATTTTCCCAACCTTCTTCCACCTGGGTTTTGATTGTGGCTCATCTGCCCAACCCCCCGCCCCACCACACCATCCCCATCGACTCCGCTGAAATTTTGGAGACCCAACGCAGCCTGCACCTCCAGCACCTCCATCACGGGCTCCTCTTTTTGAACTGGCGGGTCCTGCGGCATCGATGTCCGGTCTCTTTCGAGGGTACCATTTTTCAAGGTTGGCTTGAAGAGAAACCGAAAGAAACCAACCCATGTTGGAATTATATTTCGGGGTTCCGCGTCGTAGTTTGGCGGTTTTGGCATAAGAAAATCTTGCCTTTTTCACATGTTCCTGCAGCCCAAATTGCAAAGGGCCTGTCCAACTTATGCAGTTCAAATCGATTGAAATGTAAATGTAGTTGGAGATCTCAAAAGGCAAAACAAGCCATTTTCCCCAACAGCTGAAAGCTTTGGGGCAGGATCTCTTTACCCCTGAGAAGGGGACGGAATGATTCATGACCAAGGAGTGTAAGTTAGGGTTTCATTGGAGGCGCACCAGTGCACCACATGTGGCTCCTCGATTCATCCTTTGGACGTAGGCTGTGGGTGGATTGGATGTAGTTGGCTCACGAGTCCCTTCTATGTCCCTTTCAATATAACCCCACCAGGGAGAAACTCAATTGATGTCAACAACCACTGTACAAGAAACTCAGCAATGAGAACAACCAACAGGGTACCAACTTTTTTCGGTTTTGTCTATTTTCGTAGGGGCTTCCCCCTTCCAACCAAAACCGAAACGGTAAGAGGTCGAAACGGCGCTGGGGGCCCCTAGCCCCTCGGAGTTCAGCATCCGGCCCCGGCCCGGACTCCTGCCACACGCCGCCCAGCACGTCCAGATCAACACCTGGAAGAAACAGTGACTCAACCTACCTGGCTCAAAACGAAGGAAACACCAGAAATTGGACTGCACCACTGGGAACCAACAAAAAGAAGCTCAAGCAAGCTCAGTACTTTTTCTGGAACTTGGAGGAGTAGCCCCCAGCTCCGAATGCACATTTGCTATGTACCCCATGTCATCTCCTTCACCGCCGAAGATAACAGAGAATCTTGATTGTAGAAATAAATAGAACTTGGACCCCACATAGGCTCTAGGTCCTCCAGTAGAGAGGTTAGAACAAGGGTACCAACTTTTTTCTGCAGTCTATTTCAGTAGGGGAACCCTCCCAACCAAAAAAGAAACGGTAAAAGAAACGGCACTACTGGGGGACCTGGGGCGTTGCTTGCTCGATTGAAAACAAGCCAAAAAACATCAAACCGCCAACCAGCTCAAAGCCATTCCGGCCGAAGCCGTTCAGGCTGAAACAGGTTCTGAGCACTGAACAAACACAACCTCTCACGGGGTCTCTCATAAAAAAGCGATCTGATCGATCGCCGGACAGGGGGGGAAGAAAAAAATGGGCATTCGTTTCGGGGAAACCAAACTATATCCTTCCACTGCTGGTAGCTCCTTAGCTTCAAAAGCGAAAAAATGGATGCTCCCCAGCTCCTTGGCTCCCTTCCAACCACCCCCCTTACGGTTTGATCATTGCAGGCAGTCATAGGCACGAGCCAACTACATGTCTCCTCTTGCTTGCCCTTTAAAACCCCTCAACCAAAAACGGATACTCCCAAACAAGACAGCCTGGAAGGGTACCATACCTCTTTCTGGTGTAAAGCGACACCAGCAGGAGAACCATTTTGGGACGCTGAATTGACACGAAAATAGGATCCTATCACAAAAGGCAGTTGGAGTAAACCATGAGGTTGTCCAAACTGAAACTACTCAAATGGGTTATGACCATTCAGTGGGAGTGGAGTTGCGTGATTCATGGCTCCACCGTGTTCGAAATGGTCGCCAAAATACATAGGCCCTGAAGACCGTCGAATTTCCCCGTTAGATAAGGGAACCGAGGCTCCAAAATACCAAGTCTTGGTCAACGTGCAACCTTACAACTAGGATTTTCTAGCCTCATCATTCTAGTTAAGAAGCTATAAGCTGGCCAACCTGAAAAATCGCATTTTCTAGCCTCATCATTTTAGTCAAAAAGCCATAAGCGGATACCAGACGTTGATCCAGAGAAGTTGGAGCTCTGAGAAACCTGATCCCGCCTTTGCTTTCTCGGCGCCCCTGCGATCGGAGCTGAAACCAGGTAGGACAGGATGTTTGTTCTATGAGCACCGTTCAACAACTAGCATTGGTTGCCGTACTTTAAAACCATACCTCTGATTGGAGCGGAGGCCACAATCAGTGATTGTGTAGTTGATGCCCTATGATTCTATGATGCTATCATGGTTTAACTTAGACTCATAGTGCCTCACACCATTATGATTGTTTAAGCCCGTGCTATATGCCTCAGAATGGGCGGTTCCCCTTTTGCGTGGCGTTTCCAAGAACCCTAGCTGTCCCCTCATTCTATTCAGGGATCCTTCTCTCCAGAAAATTGGCGACAGTGAAACGGGGTTTCTGAAGAGAACGATGGGTGACGGTGGGGAGCCAACCCGCAACCAAAAGGAAAGCCCTTTGGCGTGCTGTTTTGGGATCACCAACTTTCGGTAAACACGCAAACAGCAAAACATGCCATGCACTTCTCTGTTCTCACCTGCAATCGCCCAAGCCCCTGCCGGGCAAAGGGGATTCTTAAGAACCTCGAGCTAAAGCATGTTTAAGGTGCTTGTCTTTCTCAGCCTCGGGTATTGCCACCAACCCAGCGCCCCGCTCCAGGGCCCCATTTGCAACATGCTTCCTCTTGGACACCTGATCATGGTTGTGAACCTTTCCTACTGATGGCACCGACTGTTTGCAGGTCAGACACATGCGTAGTTCCCACTTACCATCAGCAAACATGCAACCAACTGCAGTACAACTAAGATACGGCCCCAAGTTTCATTTTTAGACCTCGTTTTGAGTTGGTTCCAGAAGCAAATCATCGCCTCAAAAGCAAACTCTCCTTAAATCGGGCTTGCCAAACTTGTGATGTTTAAGCAAGGGGAATTTGAGCTAGAAGCCAACAGTCCTATTCCCCAAGTTTCCAATCGAGGGAATCCCCGAAGGGCCAAGCATTCGCAGAGATGAGAATCCACATTGTGTGTTTTTCTCCTGCAACTGCTGGGAGTCTCTCTCAACGTGGCGGTCCCCCTTTTGGTTGGATTTGAGGGGAACCCAAAAGGATAACAACTATCTTAGCGGGACCCCTATTCTGCGAAACACCCATTGCAGGTTGTTTCGTCCGAACCAACCGGTAACCCAGTGGCAACCCCTTTTAAACCTAGCCAAGAGGGAACTATCGCTTGAACCCATTGGTGAACAACCCTCCTTTGTGAAATTTGTGCCGTACTGGGTCCCGATCCACCGTGAACCACGGCCAGTGAGGGGTTGTCAAGAAGGGGTCAATATGGAGCTGCCTTCCTTTACGGGACATATATGGACCCATCCTTTTGGCTTCCCTTCAAAAGCAACCAAAAACCTACCTTCAAACAAACAAGCTACCCACATCTCGAACTGGAATGGTTTTTCATGAGTCTGAGGATCCCTCAAGAATCTTCAAGGGATCTCTGCGAAGAAAAGGCTTGTTTTAGAAGAAAGGATTTCTGAGGTTCAACAAAGCCAGGTTCCTGCACAGGATTCACAAGCAGGGTTTGAGGGTCACAAAAGGAAGGGTTCAAAAAACAAGTGTCGAGGCTGAAAACGTCAAATGGGGTCAGGCTGAAAAGGACAAATTTCCAGCCCCTCGTGGCCTTCATTTGGGGGAACTTTGGCAGGTAGCTCAACGCCAAAATGAGCGTCAAATCCGACGCTAAGTTGTGCTTCCCAGTTCCCTGAACCTGCTTAAACCATCTATTGCTTGAAGTATCCGCTTCTTCCCTCCCCACATGTGGCCATGGGGCACAAGCTATGGCGATCCCATTTTGGGGTGGAACCTCCATTTTTGATCTTCAGGGGCTTCCAGGGTTTTGACCCACAGCCATGTGGCTAGGGCGCTCCCACCTCTCGCTCCCTTCCGTTCCGCCGGGACCTGCTCCGAAGCCTGCGGAAGCACCGTGCCCAGAGGAACTTGCGGGCCCGTTGTCTTGGTTCCGTAGGGAATCAACAGGGTATGGGTCCAAATTAAACCAGGGCACCGCAGGTGTTAGTCCTTGCTTCCATTTACCAGGGTTCCATTTTGGGTTTTGACCCACAGCCAAGATGGGTTTTCAGAAGGAAGAAATCCCCGTAGAGAAAACCACCCGTTGGGACGATTCTCGGAGGTCATTCGCCAATTCCCTACTGAGAACTAATGAAGTCATGGGGGGTTCTGCAGCCCGGGAACCTCAAAATGAATGTCTTCGCTTTGGTTTCCCCTCATGACAGGAGGCGCACCGAAATGGCTTCCCTTCTAATCATGCGGGTCACAAAATTGTCGGTAGTCTAATGCTGGTTTGGGCGTAGATGAGGGGAACAACTCAGCCGTGGATGAGTCTAAGGCTGGGTT